ATCGGACAAAAAAGATTCACTCATTCAGCCTTAACTGAATTCAATAAACTACCTGATAATATAAAAAATTGCAGAAATATAGGTATATTCAAAAATGAAGTAAAAAAACTGATTATTTCTCAGCGGACTGGATAAAATTAATCATGCCATTTTTTTTTTTTTTTTCATTTACAAATATTATTCTTTGTTTGCCAATTTACAGTTGTTGATATATTTTGAATTTGTTTTGTTCTAAAATTTGTTCTATCCGTCATTCGGTTGCCCCCTTACGAGCAACCCTCAAAAGTCTTCGAAAGTCTTGTGCGAGCAAGGAATGACGGGGGCCTTACCTTTTAACGTGTGATCCCAAACACTTCAGAAAAATTTCTGCAGTCGACGGGGATCGAACCCACGACCGGCAAGCGAATGCGAATTAGAATATAGACACTCTGTCCGCACGGCTACCTGGCCACCTGAATGATGCTATGTTTACCTATAGGTATATAATTATGTACTTCCTTATACCAGAGCCTATTCTGTCTGGAAGTTATTTGTTCAATAAATAAATAAATAAATACCCTAGGGCCTAGGAGGAGAGCAATAAGGAGAATTTCAAGAAATGGGTACCGAACAATTTGGAATTATAAACAAAAATGGTTATTATGAACAAACATGGTTTTGTACACCTAATACCTACATGCCATAGGAGGAGAGCAATAAGGAAGGCATGATTACCATTAACTTACATACCCCAGAGGAGGGTAGCAAAAGGGGAAATATGATAGAATGGTGACCGCAATCAATTCTTCGAAAGAATTGCTATACAGGGTGTCCGGGAACATGTGGGAAATCTCCCGGATATGAAGAAAACACGTGAAAAGAATACTATAAGCAAAGAATATAGGTTAGTCACCAAGAAGCTCCACTTCAAATGCGCGGAAAAACTGACAAATGACCTTGAATTTTTACTACGATCAGATGTCAGCTGTATGTTTACTGTTTGTCAACTAATTTCTTCTCAGAGATTTGGCAAATTTTTCAACAGTGACAAAAGTGGATTTAATCTGCACAAAAGCGATTATTATTTTTATAGACTTGTGTTTTTCTGCTAAGTTTCAGTGGAATCATCATCATTTTTCGTTTCTTGTTATCATTTTACATAACCTCAAAATATTGTGGTATAAGTGTAGGTATATTTGATTTTTTCTAGTTTCTAGGGTTGCTGAGGTAGAAATGATATATTTTTGTAGATAAACTTGGCAATGGGGAGACCTGGAGGACTAAAATGTGCAGTCAAAGACTGCAAGAGTAAGTACTTAGATAATAATCAACATACACCATTGAGATTTTTTAGGTTCCCTAATCCTAGGACCCAAGAAGTGAGAATGAATTCATGGCAACTGGCGTGCAATGATGAATTGATCAGGGCTACTGATCCTATGAAATTGTATGGAAGCATGAGAATTTGCAGTCTACATTTTGAGGATCATTTGATAGAAAAGCACAAACTGAAAGAAAATGCTGTTCCTATACTAAACTTGGTGGTGAAATGGTCCTGATTTTATTGTATTTTACATACTTACGCTTGATCTTATAGGTATTTTTATCAGGCTCCATACATGAGGAGCATTCATATTTTAGTGATGAAAATATAGAAGTAGGTCATTTTATGGAAATAGAAGATAGCTCTGAAGATGGGATGGACACAAGAGCAAGAAGCATTGGTACCCAAACAGAACCAGGTATGGTGGACACAGGAACACAGACACTTGTGCAGAAGTCTGATTCTCAAGTGCAGACAGAAAAGCAACTTTCAGCTATCACACCAAGAAAAATCAAATTAATCAAGAAAATAAATGTGGTATATTGAAAACTATTTCCTACATTTTACTGATTTATTTTGTTATTGATTTGATTAAAATCTTCATTCGAAATGATGGTTATTTTTATTTCATATGTGCAAACCTACCTTGAATACTGAAGGAAATAATTTCAAGGAATTTCTTAAATGATTCATTTTATTTCCTTCAGTAAGACTGAGCAGAATGATTCATCAGCTTATGGAAAAATAAGATGAATTGAAGATGTTCATTTAGAAGATATCCTGAAATTTGTTCCTAACCTAAAATTACAAAGAGAAATTCCACATTGCACATAGGTAAATGATGATTTATCGTTCACAAAAACAAAATATCCTCATGTCCTGCTTAAGTTTCTGATTCATTGGCAAATCCTTATTGGCAAGTCACAATAAATTATTATTAATTTCTATTATTCCATTGACAATAAACTATTCTAAGGTAGATTCACAATGTCCACCTAATTTTGTAGAATCGTGTTGTGATTGGGTGAACATACATTTACGCGACGGCTGTCAATCTATCCACCAATGAGGATTTGATACGTTGAACGCGGATCGCTTACTTGTAAGTTGTAAGCGCGCCTTCAATACGTATGTCAGTTTCAAAAAATCAATACTTCAACCTGCTTCCAACCAATGAGCGGAGCGTAACCCATCGTGCCAGTTCAGTCAGTTGGGTTATTTCAAGGTCATCATCTAAGTTTCACTATTTCATTCATAAATACTCCAAGTGGAATCTCTTTCCCCTCTCCTCTTTGCTATAAGTTCATATAAACTTCTTTTGTATCGGCCTCCTCTTCGGAGATATGGGCTCCCAAAGAGCTCCCATGGAATTAAGTTTTTGGCACATAATTCTTGAACCAACAGGTATATTTCAATTTTTTTTTAATATGATGTATACTAGGTAAGACTCTTCAAATTACTATCCAAGAAAGTGTTGCGAATTACTCACAGCTCCAGGGACGGACTAGCTGTGACACTCATGGGCCCATTTTTTTTACGCCCTGTATGATAAGAACTCTGGACAACGTTTTTTACATACCTCTAACTATTGACTAAAAATTAAGTACTCTTCATTCATGTCGCTAATCATAACCGTTTTCGGAAAAACGTCATTTTATTTATATCATGTATTTAGCGTAATTTTCCACGGTAACCAACATAGTTTCAATAAAAAGTTGAACTTTAACTGCTTAGTTAAAAACTTCGTAACAGGGTTCAACATGGGCTCCATGAAGTCTGATACACTCGCGAGCACGACGAATTGAGGACTGCTGTACCCGCCACAATAACCCAGCATTGTTCCTTATCACATCACAATGAAACGTGATTCTCCGTAGAAGTTCCTCCCTAGTATCGACCGGAGTGGAATACACCAAGGTTTTGAGGTGTCCCCACAGGTAAAAATCTAATGGCGTTAGGTCGGGAGATCTAGGAGGCCAGGCAATAGGTCCTCCTCTACCTATCCAACGGTTTGGATAGACGTTATTCAGGTGCTCCCGCACAGCAACGCTGAAATGAGGTGGTGCCCCATCATGCATAAAGTACATGTTTCGGCGGGTTTCAAGTGGTAAGTGCTCGACTAAATCATTAAAAGCGTTCTGGAGGAACTCCAAATAAAGTATTCCATTCAATCGTGCCGGCAATACGAATGGTCCAATCAAAAAATTGCCAACGATTCCTGCCCAGACATTAATTGATTGGAACTGATGTTGGCGATGCGAAACAATAGTGGCATGAGGATTTTCATCAGCCCATACATGGGTGTTATGTAAATTCATGATACCATTTTTGGTAAAACCTGCTTCATCCGTGAAGAGAATAGTGCTAATGAAGTTTACATTATTTCGTTGCTGATCCAATAGCCAGTTTGCAAAATGCATTCTACGGGGAAAATCTTCAGGAATCAGTTCATGCACTTTTTGCAAATGATATGGGTATAACAGTTGTTCTTGAAGAACTTCATGTACTATTGTTTTCGACGCATTAAACTGCGCTGATAATTTTCGAGTGCTCGTTGAAGGAGTATCATATACAGCATTTAAAATATTTTCCTCTAATTGCGGCGTACGTACTGTTCTTCCCTGACCAGTATTATTACTTCTTTTTCCAAAATTTCCTAAAATTATGAAAGAAGTAAATAACATTACCTTATTATACCTTATTAAGAAGAATCGCCCACCATTCTCCCTTAGACGTTGGTCAACTCGTTGAAATGTCTTCTGATCTGGAAGAGTGCGATTAGGAAATCTGTCGTGATATAACCTTCTGGCTTCCAAAGCATTGGAAGATGCAAGACCATACATCAGATGCATATCTGCATACTCAATAAACGTGTATTCCATATTTCGAATTATTTCACAATTAATTTCACAACGAAATTCAAAAATCAAATATCAAAGTAATAAGGAATCAATGTATCAGTAATGTGAAAGTTGACAAGTTCTAAAATGAAGGATATTTATTTATTTCTAACCTAGCAACGTTTGCAAAGGTAACTCGAAAAAAAAGTATCTTTTATCGAAATACGCTAAATACATGATATAAATAAAATGACGTTTTTCCGAAAACGGTTATGATTAGCGACATGAATGAAGAGTACTTAATTTTTAGTCAATAGTTAGAGGTATGTAAAAAACGTTGTCCAGAGTTCTTATCATACAGGGCGTAAAAAAAATGGGCCCATGAGTGTCACAGCTAGTCCGTCCCTGGAGCTGTGAGTAATTCGCAACACTTTCTTGGATAGTAATTTGAAGAGTCTTACCTAGTATACATTATATTAAAAAAAAATTGAAATATACCTGTTGGTTCAAGAATTATGTGTCAAAAACTTAATTCCATGGGAGCTCTTTGGGAGCCCATATCTCCGAAGAGGAGGCCGATACAAAAGAAGTTTATATGAACTTATAGTATTCTTTTCACGTGTTTTCTTCATATCCGGGAGATTTCCCACATGTTCCCGGACACCCTGTATACACATTGACTTGACAGATAAATAATCAGCCTGTCGAGACTCATCAATTCTTTGTTGAAAAATAGTATGATAATAATAATGTATTGAGGAATCTCAAATTTCAAGTTTGTAATGACAATCTACATACAGTGATATTCTTTTGAGAGAACAGTAGACAAAAGTACCATGTATGCCTTTATCACTTACCTCTACTTGAATGTCCCGTAGCAATATCTTCAAATGCTTCGTCAGAGTCTGTCTAACGTCAGCCCATTGCGATACGTCACCAAAGTCGTCGATCCTCTCACTATCAACCACCAGTTTGAGTTTGTTACGGTACTCGTCGAGGAAAACGTGAATTTTGTGTCCATTATACAGTATGGTGATCTTCCCGATGCACATTTTCTCATTGTTGTTTTTACAAGGATGATTGGTCACAAGAACCTAGAAAGTATACATCGGAAAAAATCAGCATTTTCACCAACAAATTAGTAATATTTTTTTCTGACAAGATGTTCAACTTCGGTAAATTTACTAACAATTATTCATTAGAGAAGACGATGAAGTGAATTTTTATCCACAAGTCACAAGTCAATATGGTTGGACAAACCATTATATGATCATTTGAGAAACTCAATCCTATCATTGGCATTTTATTCGAAATTCAAAATTGCATACCTGTTATACTTGAAGAGTTATTTATTTTTCTCTTATTTATTCAAATTTGTAATATTTGAATCGATTTGGGCAAATACGAATATTATAACACATCAGCATGATTACATTCATCTTCTATTATATGGTTGACGTATGTTGGATTTGTTTTCTTTTTCATCTTATGTTCATGAATGCGCTGATTAAACGTACGACCTGTCTGACCGTTATACAGGGGTTTCTTAAGTACGTGTAGAAAATTCAGGAGCATGTTGCTGACGTCGAAATAAGAAGAAAAGTTCGAATAAATGTATGTCTGAAAGTTATTCGTTTCTGAGATACAGAGTGTTGAAGTCTTTTGCCTTTTGTTAGTAAATTTCAAAACAATCGTGATATTCGAATGAAGTTTGGTATCTAGGGGTATTTTTAATGACAATATCAAATTTTATGTTAGTTTGTCTCTTTCGTGAGGGTGGCCCCTCCTACATGTCTTCTGGGTCTTTTGAAAAGACATAACTTTTTTGTGCGTACCTGTATCACGTTTCATAGTAGAAGAATAGATTTCTAAAACGTTTCTGTGTGAAAAATATATTCTTGGTAGAGGTCGCTGCGAGCAACTGTCTTCGAGTTATCGGGTTTGAAATAATCAATGCAAGTAATTTGATATGATGATAGGAAGTTGGAATTCAAAATTAATTTATTCAGTAAGGGAGATTATTTTTCTTCAATTCCATTTTAAAATAGGAATCGGGAATGTTACAATTTAATACTGATAATCATAGCAGTAATTAAGATCAAATTATTACTTAAACAGTTGGTTGAGGAAATTGATTAAAGTAATTGTTCAAAGTGGCCACCTTGCATTTTTATGCATGTGTCTCCTCGTCGTCTCATAGATCCACGTAAACGTTCTATTATACCAGGTGTATTTCGTATAGCGTCACATCCAGCAATGATCCGTTGACGAAGCTGATCTTCTCTTCCTATTGGCACCGTAAAAACTAAGACCTACAAGTGACCACACAAAAAAAAAAACGATTGGATTTGAATCCGTGGACCTCGGAGGCCAGAACTGACATGAAATTTGATATTGTCATTGAAGAAAATCCCTAGAAACCAAACTTCATTCGAATATCACAATTATTTTGGAATTTATTAACAAAAAACAAAAATAAGAATTCAACTATGACACTCTGTATCTCAAAAAAGAATAACTTTCGGACATATATTCTTCTTCTTCTTCTTCTTCTCTGCACAGGTGGGCGGGTGCGTAGACCCCTGCACTCAGGCCTCTTCAGTCGGGCCCATTGTGCGCCCACTTGTCCTGTGAATCAGCTGGGCATGCCGATTTCTTTGACGAAATTCAGCAGCTTCCTCAGCTGAGTCACTTTCACATCCTTTAGGTGCAGTACAATGCTCCCAAAGGCAGCTTTCCTCTGATGCACCAGCTCGGGGCATTCAGTGAGTATGTGTGATGATGTTTCATCATCCTCCAAGCACCATCTGCAGATGGGATCATCTTTGATCCCTATGAGTTCTAGGTGCCTGTTGAGGTGGTTGTGCCCAGTTAAGAGCCCAACTACCATCTTGAGATCCCTTCTATTAAGTGACAGGATCTCTCTCGTGAGCCTTTTTGAAGGTTCCTTTATATGGAGCTTTGATTGTCTCATTCCTGGTGTGTCCCACCATGTTTCAAGGAACTGCCTCTGTAGCATTTCCTTCATGAAGGACATAGCCGTACTATTGGGTATTCCCAATATCGGTTCTGGTCCAATGGGTGTCGTTCCTGAACCGATCTTGGCTAGTATGTCTGCCTCCTCGTTCCCCGGGATACCAGAGTGTCCTGGAACCCACATGAGGCTGACTTTCCTAGTTTCTGACATATATTTATACGAGTTTTCTTCTCATTTTGATGACAGCAACATGCTCCTGAATTTTCTACACGTACTTAAGAAATACCCTGTATACCTTAGGGCAAGATCCACAGTTGAGTTTGTATACCAATGATTTTTCGAATTCAAAAGTTTCGTCTTTATTATTTTTAATGAACCTTTCCAACGTGTTATTTGTTCTATATGCTAATTTTGAGTCCTGTTTATGTAGAAATAAAAAAAAAACAAATTGAAATATCAGATCATATTCTGATTGAGCTTATTGCTTCTACTCGCCTGGAATTTATGCTGCTTATTCTCATCCGGAATATCCCTCGACATAACATACACGCAATTCCCGGTGACGGTGAAATTATTCTCGTCATAGGTGACGTATTTGAGATGCGGCAGCACGTTGCATTCGCAATCCTGGCAGCTGGACGGCTTGATGCAAGTGTCGGCCTTCCTGACGTAGCCGGGCGGGCAGTAGCAGCCCGGGAAGCAGACGTTGTCCAGTTTGGGGCACACGTTGGGATCGGCGATCGATTGACACGTGGGCTCGCACTTTCTCTGGTAGCAGTCGTGGTAGACTAGAGGTGCTTCGCAGGATGTTGCTGGATGACATCAGAAGGTTACGAGTGAAAATCGGTTAATTATCGCATTGTGTACAGTAATTTGTTATATTTTACCACCCACCTATGTCCTTTATCAAATGTGATGGAGGAATAGCTATTTATACAGCAACATAGTGAAGAAAATCTTTATCTTTAAATCTTTACTACCAAGGTGTACGTAGGTGATGGAGAAGTTGATTGAAATGCATATCAGGGAAAACTTTATCATTGAAAGGCCACTACATAAAAACCAGCATGCATATCAATCGGGAAAATCCTGTGAAACGGCCGTTCATCAACTGGTGGGGAAAATTGAAGCCTCAATAAGCATAGCTCTGCTGTGAGATCTGGTTATTGACGAACTCCTGGAAAAACTAAACAATGTAGGAATTTACTCACAAGAGTATGCAGATGATGTCGTCATTCTGGTAGAGGGGCAGCATCCTGAAATTAATTCAGACTTGATGCAGCGAGCCCTGAAGATAGTAGAGGGCTGGTGCAGAAAGGCAGACCTCAGGGTCAATCCTAGTAAAACTGCACTTGTGGCCTTCACGAAAAAGAAGAAACTGGACAAACTAAAAGTTCCCAGACTGTTTGACACACAGCTAAGTATGACACAGGAGGTTAAATATCAAGGAGTAACCCTAGATGCTAGGCTAACCCAAGGTTGGTAGAACTGATGACTATTTTGTAGAGGAAGGTTGCCTCGATCGCACCCCGCGAGTGACCTTGAGTAACTCATGACGTAATAGGCCCTTTCTTTTGCACGAAAAGTGTAGCACTCTCGTACACTTCGTGTATGATATGTACGCCGGCGATTGGCCGGCGCATGTATTGAGTTGACAGTTGTCAGAATTTTCGAATATTTGAACCATTTTGAACTTAAAAATGTAAAAATGATAATTTGTTCGGTCACTTCTTGTTAAAATTCGTACAAGTGTAATGAGACTAGTGAATTTAGTTTGTGTTTCCATTAATTTCCATAAGATGAGTCTATTCGTGAGAAATATGGATTCAATTTTGGCGAATATGTTCTGCCCATTTCGATGCCGAGGATTTTGAACGGCACAAGCAGAATTGCTAAATCACACACCAAAGAGATGAAAACTCAAGGTAGGAATCCCATCACTAATACCAAATACAACAAGAGAAACCAGAACCAGACCAGTTGTGAATGTTGAGATTTGCTGAACGGGTAAAATGGACATCAGAAGATATCACATGTGTTTTCAAGTTGAGATATTTGAGCAAGAGAGTACGTTACCCAACGAAGAGGAGCTATGTTTATATGAGAGATTCCTTGAACTATCCTTCATTATAGGTTCACTTATAATAGTAGTGTTATTTTTCATTAATTTTGTTCAGAATCATATTTTGTTATTTTTTTATGCTCAAATACTCTGATCAATTGCTCTGTTTTTGACTACAATATAATCAAACAATGAAATACTATATTTCCTCTTGTATTTTCTATAGGTATCTAGGAAAGTTTGTCAATTTTTCAGAATACAGAGTTATATATTGATAAAATAAGTGATCTGTTGTGTATGAATATTGGTCCACTGCTACTACTTCTGGATCATCAGTTGATTATTCGTATATTTTCTGTAGTTTCTTGTTCACATTATCTGATTTGCAGGATATTTATAGGATGAGTAGGTTCATAATCAATGCATAAGTAATCACTAGCTCCATAATTATGCTCCATACCTCGAAACACACATACCTGGTACCAGGACCTGGTAAATAGCCTCTGGAACAAAATTTCAGATAGGTATTCCTCTCTGTACTACTGATCCATCCAAAATTGCCTTCTCATTTCGAAGATTGAAGGTATTATACAGAAGTATATGTAAATATCCATATTTTATAATGGTTCTTACTTATAATTATATACAATAAATTAATATAAATATGCTGAGCAGACCAAAAAGTTTGTATCATGTTTGTATACTCTATTTGGTAAACATTTCATGACATGTCGCTTTAAGGTTGACAACTTGTCATCTTACTGCCTGTGCCGTCACGAGTGACCGTTTCCCCCCTTGCCGCACTATCGATCGAGGCAACCTTCCTATACAAATTATAATCAGTTCTACCAACCTTGGGCTAACCTGGAAAACTAAACTGCGAAAGACTGTCAGCAAAGGCGAAATGGCACTAATGGCTGCTCGGAGAGCGATTGGTAATACATGGGGACTGAAACCACGCATGGTACATTGGCTATATACTGTTGTGGTGAGACCAATGATTGTATATGGATCGCTTGTCTGGTGGCCTAAGACTGAACAGAGATCAGCTATAATGGAGCTCTCTGCATCATAGGTGCAATGGAAACCATACTCAATATTCCGCCTCATGAAATCTTCATCAAGGCGGAAGCGAGGATGGGGGCACACAGACTGGAGTGTAGTGGTAACTGGCATGCTAGGGGTGACTCCCTGTGACATACAAAAATAATCAGCCTAGTTTCAAGCCCACTAATGGAAATGGGAAGTGACAAAATGCTGCCTAGAAATAACTATTACAGACCCTTCAACACTCAGCTCTACTGGGATGAAATGGTCTTGACAAACTGTCAGGAAGGCACGGATCTAAGACTGATGAGGGTACGGGAGCCGGAATATATGGAGATAGAACTAGGATTTGTGCTTCCTTGGGGAGGTATGCTTCAGTATTCCAGGCAGGGGTGCATGCTATTGAGGCATGTCTGAGAGGCATCGTGAGAGGATACAGAGGTAAACAAATCCTCATATGCTCAGATAGTCAGGCGGCCATTCAATCTTTAACATGCAATAAAATCAGATCAAGACTGGTCTGGGATTGCCTTCAAAGCCTGCTAACCCTGGCTAACCACAACAAGGTAACTCTTCTATGGGTGCCAGGGCATAAGGGAATTGAAGGCAATGAAGCAGCTGACGCTCTTGCTAGGCAAGGGTCTGCGGCATTGTTTATGGGACCGGAACCTGTGTTCCGTATCTCCAAAACCTCAATAGGCGGCTGGCTGGCAAGGTGGATGCAAGAAAGACATCAGGCATACTGGAACAATGTCCCAGGACAAAGACACAGTAAACTGATGGTTGGAACACTGTCGAGAACAGTGACTAACGACATTCTGAGCCAAAACAGAAGTCAGATCAGACAAGTGACGGGACTAATAACCGGTCACTGCCCCTTGAGGAAACATATGCATCAAATGGGCATCTATACAAACGAACCCATATGCAGACTATGCAATGAGGAGGAGGAAACTGCCACCCATGTAATATTGGAGTGCGAAGCACTAGCGCGTTGGAGATACAACCTTCTGGGAGCATTAAACTCTCGAGAGGCTTTTCCAACGAATGATTTGGTGAAGAGGCTGCTAAAAGTGCTAAACCTCATCAAGGTAGCGAACCTGTTCACCTGAGTCAACAGCATGATCAGGATTACAATAGGCCCAAAGGCTGCAGTGTTTTGGGCTTCGAACCCTGACTGATCACACTGCTATTAATTAATCAATCAATCAAGGTGTACGTTGATTTTTGTTCCCCTCTATCAATATATTTCAATCATTAGAACAGTTCTTCAACAATGATATGCGGCGTCTCCTTTCCACCAATATTAAAGAGATATGACTGAACATATGAAAGCACTTCTTTTCAATTATAATTCAAATCTAGTAGACATGACCATGACAGCATATGACAAGTAGTTATTGATATATGACTAGATACGAGTGACATTCCTGCGCATCTCGCGGTTAATTATAACAGATGTGGATATGTCTTCATTGACTATTAATTCATAAAATCACAAAAACTACCTTGGCAGAAAAAACACACCTCACTCCTTAGGTTCTATAGCTAGTGGTGAGAAAACTTATGTTCAGTTGGGTGTCCAAATATAATGAATAATCCGTTACATATTTGGATGAGTGTATTTTTGGAAGTATCTACACTGGTCTTCAAGTTATCTCAATCACAGTGAATGTAAATTAGTTGTGAACAAACACTCATTTTTCCGCAGTAGTGCGGGAAAAGTTTGCCCACTCTAGTGCGGAAAATGTTTTCCCACACTACTGCGGGAAAAGCAATTATATAATATCCTCGCAAAATATGAGTGGTGGGTGACACAATATGAATATTTTAGGTATTTTTGTTGCAGTATTAAGTAAGTTTGTACAAAATCATCCATCAAATTGCATTGCATTGCATTTATTGTGAAAATAAAGGAATATTGAAAAATATTATTTGATTGTTGTTAAATCCCCTCATAGCCTTTGATCTGATGTGGAAAACAATTGTTGTCATGTCAATCAAAACACAAATTAGTTAGTGAAATTCTCAGAGTGACAGTCAGAGCGTTACTGTCATTTTCGATTCAGTCGAATTGCGATGAAAAACTTTCAGCTATAGATGCGATACAGATGAGTAATTGCCAACGAAGTATTAAGGAGGGTATGGAGAAGCACAACACGAGATTTATTGTCATTCGGGTCAACGGCATTCGCGTGCGGGAAAGTGTCACTTACTTACAAAATTACTATTTTCCTGCTGACATGGATTTGATAGATAATTTTATATTAAATTCCATGCAGAACTGCAGTATTGAACGGCAGATTTATTCGAAATCATTTTGCAGCATAACTTACGACAATCTTGCTTCATTCTCCAATCCGAAATGTCGATTTTGGAATCGGCAGAAAGACAGTCGACTACGAACGATTGCAAGGCTTGACATCTACAGGCTTCTTCGGCCGTATGGTTATCAGGAGAGCGTTCCATGCAGGCGCAAGTCATTTCCAAGCAACGAGAGATGAAGGCGTCGATATCGACGGCTTTAGCACAGGGTGATAGAGATGTTTCCCTGAAAATCAATAGCATCAAAAGTTGGAAGGAAGGAAAAATTAAGTTAATGCAATCTCCAATAAGTTGGAAATAATATTTCAACCATACATATCACCAAGCAATAAATATTCAAAAGATGAAATTACATGGAAACCTGTATGTAAAAACAAACACCAAATGTATACTTTCAAAAAGTTGAAACCTCAATATTCGTAAGAGTGCGTCATTTTCGACCAGCAAGCAAGCATTAAAACTGGTTGAGCTACCTGCGCAGTATATACTGTCGTGACATTAGCATGTCTATGATCTCTGAACAATGAGTATTTTCGGTAGTATTTTGCTCGATCGATCTTGAGGAGTTTGTTCATATGTCTGCTGTTACTGGCTCTTGTCATCTAACATATTGCAATTGTAGGGGATTTTTTCCGCAACCAAACTGTGGACTGTAATGCCTCTATTCACTTGTATATGATTGAAAAGCCCAAGTAAGTACTTTTGGACATTTGTCGCAAACGTAAATACTTTTGTTATTGTCTGGTCGAATTATAACATAAAATAGTCTTGGACTGTATAGACGTTTCTCATTTTATTTCAAGTCAAAATTGACAACAACCAAAAGTCCCTTATACAGGGTCAAATCTTACATTCACAATAGGAAATTAACAATAATCTTCAACATTCTCCCCCCTCTGGAGTATCAGGATTGATATCCAACCGACACAACTTTGCAACAGGTCGCCGGAAAGTCCCAGTTCTGGTTCGGATATCTGCCACTCGTATCCTGTTATCAGGTCCCCGAAAAATATCCTCTACTATGCCCATTTTCCATAAATTTCTTGGCATGTTTTCTTCTATTATTATCACAACGTCGTTTTTTCTCAGCGGTTGTGAATCATTTGTCCACTTCGTTCTCTTTGATAGGGTTGGCATATACTCTTTCGTCCACCTTTTCCAAAATGAATTCGCTAATTGTTGTGTCTTATGCCATTCCTTCTTTACGCATCGTTCTCCTTCAAAATCTGTTAGAGGCTTCTCCCCATTTGACGTACCCAGTAAGAAGTGGTTTGGAGTCAGCGCTTCCATGTCAGCAGGGTCAGTCGAAACGTACGTCAATGGTCTGCAGTTCAAAATGCTCTCTACTTCCGCTAAAACAGTTGTCAGAGTTTCTTCTTTCAGTTTCTGTCCATTCAAGATTGTGTTGAATGTTTTCTTGACACTCCTGATCAGCCTTTCCCATGTCCCTCCCATGAATGGTGCACCTGGTGGTATGAACCTCCATTTGATTTCTTGCAGGCTGAGATATTCCTTCATTTGGTCGTATTCCATTTCTTTCTTTGCTTTTTTCAATTCCTCGGCGGCCCCTCGGAAGTTTGTCGCATTATCAGAATACATTTCTTTAGGAATTCCCCGTCTGGCTATCATACGTCTGATTGCCATGATGGCCGCATCTGTGGATAAAGAGTGGGCAACCTCTAAATGAACTGCCCGGATGGACAGACATGTGAATATTACTCCCCAACGTTTCTCTGATCTTCTGCCGATTGTAACTACCATGGGTCCGAAGTAATCAATACCAGTGTACGTGAAAGGCCGTAGGTTGGGGGTCAGTCTCATCACAGGTAGTTGTCCCATCATCGGAATCGAGGGCTTGCAACGGTTAAGTCGACATTTCATACAGCTGGAAAAGACAGATTTCACGGCAGCTCTAGCATCCAGGATCCAATATTTCTGTCGCAATTCATTCATTACTATTTCCACTCCCTGGTGACCGAACTTCTCATGGTATTTCTGAATCAAAAGAACAGTGAATCGGTGTTTTGGATGAAGAATGTATGGTCTCTTTGTTCGGTCAGTCATGTAAGGGGTGAGGTTTGTCCTCCCATCCAATATCAACAATCCGTTTTCTAAAGCTGGAGTGAGTTTTCGTAGTCTACTTTGACGTGGTAGGGATTCATTCTTCTCCAATTTCTTCATATCATCAGAAAACGTGTCCTTTTGACTTTGGCGAATCCACCTAATCTCTGCATTCTTGATCTCATCGGGTGTTAAAACATTGTCGAGCACTCTGTTGCACTTTCGGATTTTATTCATTAGGACTTCGATGAACCGAATTTCCCATGCCGTAGTTCGAATTAGTCGATGATAATTAGAAAATTTATAGGGATCTGGTAAACCTGTCTCCTCAGTAACGTTTTCCGTTACGTGGCTCACAAAGGTCTTCTCAACTGTTGACTTGCATCCATGAACATCTTTCTGCATTGGCCAAAGAGATTCATCAGCGCTAAGAAATTCTGGGCCAGAAAACCATTTCTCAAAGGTAATTTCCTTGAATCCTTCATCGCTGTATGTCCTGGTAGCTAAGTCAGCTGCATTGCATTTTGATGGTACCCAACGCCACTCATTAGTATTCGTGGTTTCTTGTATTTCTCCCACCCTATGAGCTTCGAATTGTCCGAGTTTTTTCCCATCATTTTTTATCCAATGTAAAACTATCATTGAGTCTGTCCAGTAAAATATTCGGTCGATTTTTATCTCTAATTCTTGAGCAAGTGTTTTTCCCAAACGACTTCCTAGAACTGCAGCTTGTAATTCGAGGCGTGGCATCGATATTGGCTTGGTTGGGGCAACTCTTGCTTTGGCCATTACTAGGGTCAGATCAATCTTGTCATTAGTGTGTACTCTCAAATAACCGACGGCTGCGAAGGCTTTTTTACTGCTATCACAGAAAATATGTAGCTGAATAGACTCTGCATGATGAATTTCTGTTGAATAATTTCGTGGAACACTGAGTGTATTCAATTTTTGTAAATCAGTCATCCAACATTTCCATGTTTTGTAAACATCTTCATCCACCATGTTATCCCATCCTATACAGGATCGCCATATATCTTGAATCATTATTCGTCCTCTAATTGCGAAGTTGACAATGAGGCCTAGAGGATCGAATATCGACATAACTATTTTTAATACTTGTCGTTTCGTTGGCACTTGTAGATCATTGAAAATTTCGTTTTTCAATCGAAAGATGAATATGTCTTTCGACGTATCCCATGATAGTCCCAAAAGTTGTTGCAAGTTATTCGTCTGAAGGTTCAGGTCTTTAGAAATGTCTTCTTCGGCACACAAGTAACTCATTATTTCTTTCGAATTCGATGTCCATTTCACCAATTCGAATCCTCCTGACTTCTGTACAGTTCTCACTTCTTTTATTATTTCTTTTGCCTCTTCGATGGTGTCCGTGCAATCAAGATAATCATCGACGTAATGTTTCTTAACAATTGCGTCCACGATTCGTTTTGATGATGCTTTCTCATGTGCGTTCAAATTTTTAATGTATTGAGCACAAGCAGGAGAACACGTAGCTCCAAAAGTCATAGACTCCATTTCGTAAACTGCACACTGTTGGTCATATTCTCCGTCACGCCATAAAAATCTTTGAGATGGTTGGTCTTCTTTACGTATCTTAATTTGGTGGAACATTTCACGTACATCTGCACTAAAAGCAATTTTCCTCTGTCGGAATTTGATCAAAATACTAACTATTGACTGAAGTAGATCAGGGCCAGGTAATAAATTATCGTTGAGACTTGTTCCTTGGGACTTCGCAGCAGCGTCAAATACTAGACGTAATTTATTAGGTTTGTTCGGATGTATCACGCCAAAATGTGGTAGATACCAGCTTCTAGAAGGTTCGCTGCTGGCTTCTTCCATTGACAGTTTCCTTGCGTAACCTTTCTCAACGTAAGCTTGTATATTCTGACAATATTTCAACTTAAATCCTGGGTCTTTTTTCATTTGTTTTTCAACACACAATAGTCTTCGAAGAGCTACCGATTTGCTTTCTGGTAACTCGATATCATCAGATTTCCATAGAAGACCTATCTCAAATCTATCACCCATACGTCTAGCTGTCGTTTTCATTATTTCTAGAGCTCGAGCTTCTTCTTTGCTTGTTTTTATTTCTGATGTGCCAAATGATTCTAGACTGAAAGATGTTTTTACTAACTGGTGCAGATAGTCGTCTTCTTCGGTGCAGATATGGAATATGTAATTACTACTGACTGGTGCTGAACTTTTGGTATTTCCATGTAGAATCCATCCTAGGTTTGTTTTAGTGGCTATCGGTAGTTCTTCAGGACCTTGTATAACTTTCCTAGGAACACTAATGCGTACATTGTCCTGTCCAATTAACAACATAGGACGTTTCTTGATATCAGCAAGTGGAATACCTTTCAGATATGGATAGTTCATCCACTCTCTGGAATCTATACTTTGAAAGGGCAAATTCAAATCCTTCACAGTTCTGACATTTTTCATTGTGAACTTTTTGGCATTTTCAAAGTCACCTGAGATGTCTAGGTTCATACAGAGCGATTCTTCATGTTCATACGTGATATGATTAGTCCACTGTATACAAAGTGGTTCTTGGGTTCCATTCAGGTACAGTTGATCAGCAATAGAAGAATCCAACAAGGTAACAGTTGATGCTTCATCTAACAGGGCTACCGTTTCGATGCAGATATTTCCTGAACCATATAGTATAACATTGACCATTCTCAATAACACATTATTATTCCCTAAACCAAGGGTCAAAACGTTCTCACTCAATGTGTTACTCAAGGAAGTTGTAGCTACATTCTCGGTAGGTCTGGATCTTAGTCTGGTCTCTACGTTTGCTTTATGCATAAGTTGGTGATGATATAATCTACAATTATTTATTCCACAAACCTTTCGTGATTTACATTTCTTCGTTTGATGGTTCCTTCTGAGACATGAAAAGCAGAGTTTCTTGTTTGTTATTTCTGTCCAACGAGTATCCACATCTAGGGCTTTGAATAGGTCACATTTGTCAATGCTGTGCTCTCGTACTGAACAGAAGGAACACACCGGTTCTAGAATCCGGTTGGTCAAGTGAAATCTCTCATATTTCTGTTGAGAATAATTGTGACTCATTTTTGTTGTCTTCGGTGTACTGACGTAACATGCAGCTTCAGCTATTCCTGCCAAACAGTTTGAAAAATCTTCTAAGTCGACAATACCTTGTTTTGCTTTAACACTCTCCCCCCAACGTAATCTCAGATTATTTGGTAGTTTTTGGTATAGTTCTTTGATCAATTGTGGGTTTTGTAAGTGCGCATCATAGTTCAGAGACTTTATTGTAGATACTAGGCAAGTGACGTGATTCGAAAATTGTATGATGGTCTCCATGTCATATTCACGAATTGATGGCAGTGTTTTCACTCGAGATAGGAGTACATCGATTATTTGGTCTGGTCTACCAAATCTCATTTCTAAGGTTTTCAGAACCACATTCAAATTTTGCGGAGACATCATCATACCTTGTACGGCAAATTTCGCTTCTCCCCTGAGGCACTTGTTGAGTTTCATCATGCATTCCTCAGGTGAAAAATCACAATATGCAGAAATCTTCTTGAACTGGTATATAAATGTAAGCCATTCATCTGGTTTTCCGTCAAAGATAGGAAAGTCTTTATCACTTGTGTGTCTTGCATACATTTTTTCGCATTTATTGGGAACCATGTTTTTCAGGACATTTCCTAATGATTCACATAAAATCTTGATATCCGAATTGTTATCAGATGGTGAACAGCGATTAATTTTAACGTCACCATCGTATCCACATTTATAGTCATTGAATCCTTCTTGTCGTGTCTGCTTTATCATGTTGTCCTGTCTATCAAGTTTGAGAAATTCAGAAGGATTGCTAGTCAGTTCTTCCGGATCCTCTGGTATATTATTCACCCAATCTGCAACGAATGATTTCGCAGAATGATGTGATGAAAGTTTGTCGTCGGATGGCTCCTTAGTTGTCACTACAGGGTATAAACTTCTTTTGGTGATACTATTATTCCTATCTGAATTTGAAGAATGTTTACTTGATTGTCTTCTTTCTGAACGCGACTCTTGTTTGTCTAATAGTTCTGACTCACGAAGCTGAGCTTCCATTTCTAAAATCTTCAGCTGATTTTGCTGCTTGATAATTTCCATTTCAATTTTTTTGTCTAGCTATCTCAATCTCTAAAGCTAACCTGTTTCTTTGCGAATCAACAGTAGATGCCTTTGATTTCACCGAATGTCTAGAATTAGCAGCCTGACTCTCAACTTTCGATATTGTAGAATGTCTTGAGTTGATTGGAATTGACTGTACACTATCAACTCGTCTAATATCTCCAATTGATGATGACTGAACTATTCCTGGTGTGTTATCAATGGATCTTTCCAGATTGTTTTCAAGTGCTTGACTTCTTATATTTGAACTACCTTGTCCAAATTTCAGAGGCCACAGATAGTCTTGGTCGAGGTGTCTATTGATACCTGCAGTTTTTCTCCTCGTATCTGATGTCACAGATTCTTCGGCAGAGGGTTTACTCGTCATTTCCGCAGATTTCATTTGAGGACTAATCTACAGCTTCCACAGGACTTGTCGGACGGTTCGATGGACCACAATGTTATTGTCTGGTCGAATTATAACATAAAATAGTCTTGGACTGTATAGACGTTTCTCATTTTATTTCAAGTCAAAATTGACAACAACCAAAAGTCCCTTATACAGGGTCAAATCTTACATTCACAATAGGAAATTAACAATAATCTTCAACAACTTTGATATTTGGATTGATGAGAAATTAACATGGGAAAAGCATATTGACATCCTCATAGGAAGAGTATCTCCCATTATTGGTGCTTTAGGAAGATGTCCGAAACTTAGTACATATACATGAAATATTATTCTCTATTCACATATACTCAGTCGAATCAACTATCTCATAAATATTTGGGAATCTTGTTCCAAAAATAGTTTTAACAAAATTTCTGTTCTATATAAAGAGGCATTGAAAGTATTGTATCGTCTTCTATATGATACTCCACGAACTGTATAAGGAAACAAACACATTTTCTTTGGATGAGCACTTTTTAATCAATACCCTCAAAATTTCCTATTATATCATCAACAAAGAGCTTAAATCAAATTTTATATTGATTATGAATTTCCAAACCAGTAATCACACTCTACTTGTTTCATCTTGAAGCTGCAAATTCTAAATTTGGACAAAAAAAGTTCACACATGAGGCGATTTCTGAATCAATAAATCACCAGATGATATCGAAAACAGCCCAAATATTTTATAATTCAGAAATAAAGACTATGAATCTCCTTCTTTTTTCTTCACTGTTTTTTCCCTTCTTGTTCACTATATTTTGAGATATCTTGATGATATGTAAGTTTTGTTCACTATTTGTAATCTCAATTATACAAGAGTCAATAAAACTTCATGAATGATCTTATACCAGGAATTACTGTCTGCTCATTCATGTCATTTATGCTTCATATTCAGTAAAAATTATCTAATATTAACTGTGTATACTTATGATTGAATGATATATCAATTTGAACAGAAAAAGCAAGTCGGAAATAATAATCTGAGTGGTCCACGCGCAGGTTCGCCTTTGTGGATCTACTCTGTATTTATTTACTTCCAGAAACTGTCAAATGCTATCATTCATGTTATATATAAGATTTTAAGTAAGAGATAATTGAAAGAAATGTGAATGTATGGTATCATATATATTATGTGTGGTAAATAAATATTATTATTATTATTATATTATTTGCATAAAATGTATCAATGAAGAAAAGAATGCAATAACTGAAATAAATATAAAACTTCGAAATATAAATGTATAAACTTTGTTTCGTCATGTAACAATAAATTTGGCGAAGAGTACTTAGGCTTTTCAATTATATACAAGTGAATGAAGAAATTATAGCCCACAGTTTGGTAGCGGAAAAAATCTCCTACATTTTTTGGTCCTTCGAGACGGATTTCCATCAATTTCCAGCAGCAGACGATGACTGACAATGAAAGCTGTGATCTTAGCTAACCCTTCATACTTACTTGACCGAGTTACACATGTCCCAAGCCCGCTTTTGCACGTGGATCGGGCAGACCCGCGCCTCGCATATCTCCGGCTGGTCACGTGCTAGCGCCCAGCTGTCCCCGAACTCGACAGACGTCCTCGCCACGCTGCCGTCCGGCTCTCTCTTGTCGTCGTCGGGCAGCCCGTTGAAGTAGCCGCACAGGCCGTCCACTTTCTCGGACAGTTTGCGGACGACGCCCAGCTTGAAGATGAGTTAATGCTTATACTTGATTCTTGAATGAATTGGTGGCGAATTCCGTAATGAAGTTCAGATCATGATTGAAACAAACTGCCTATACCAAATACCTTGGTATTTGGATTGATGAAAAGTTAACATGGGACAAGCATATTGGCATGCTCAAAGAAAAAATTTCCCCCATGGTTGTTGCCTTAAGAAGATGTCCAAAACTTATCCCAAATATAGCAAATACCGTTCTATAACCTCACATCCTTAGTAAAATGAACTATCTCATAAATATTTGGGGTTCAGGTTCCAAGAATAATTTCAACAAAATATCTGTACTACTTATATAAAAAAGCATCAAAAGTACTTTATCGTATATAAATATATACAGGGTGTCCGGGAACATGTGGGAAATCTCCCGGATATGAAGAAAACACGTGAAAAGAATACTATAAGTTCATATAAACTTCTTTTGTATCGGCCTCCTCTTCGGAGATATGGGCTCCCAAAGAGCTCCCATGGAATTAAGTTTTTGACACATAATTCTTGAACCAACAGGTATATTTCAATTTTTTTTTAATATGATGTATACTAGGTAAGACTCTTCAAATTACTATCCAAGAAAGTGTTGCGAATTACTCACAGCTCCAGGGACGGACTAGCTGTGACACTCATGGGCCCATTTTTTTTACGCCCTGTATGATAAGAACTCTGGACAACGTTTTTTACATACCTCTAACTATTGACTGAAAATTAAGTACTCTTCATTCATATCGCTAATCATAACCGTTTTCGGAAAAACGTCATTTTATTTATATCATGTATTTAGCGTAATTTTCCACGGTAACCAACATAGTTTCAATAAAAAGTTGAACTTCAACTGCTTAGTTAAAAACTTCGTAACAGGGTTCAACATGGGCTCCATGAAGTCTGATACACTCGCGAGCACGACGAATTGAGGACTGCTGTACCCGCCACAATAACCCAGCATTGTTCCTTATCACATCACAATGAAACGTGATTCTCCGTAGAAGTTCCTCCCTAGTATCGACCGGAGTGGAATACACCAAGGTTTTGAGGTGTCCCCACAGGTAAAAATCTAATGGCGTTAGGTCGGGAGATCTAGGAGGCCAGGCAATAGGTCCTCCTCTACCTATCCAACGGTTTGGATAGACGTTATTCAGGTGCTCCCGCACAGCAACGCTGAAATGAGGTGGTGCCCCATCATGCATAAAGTACATGTTTCGGCGGGTTTCAAGTGGTAAGTGCTCGACTAAATCATTAAAAGCGTTCTGGAGGAACTCCAAATAAAGTATTCCATTCAATCGTGCCGGCAATACGAATGGTCCAATCAAAAAATTGCCAACGATTCCTGCCCAGACATTAATTGATTGGAACTGATGTTGGCGATGCGAAACAATAGTGGCATGAGGATTTTCATCAGCCCATACATGGGTGTTATGTAAATTCATGATACCATTTTTGGTAAAACCTGCTTCATCCGTGAAGAGAATAGTGCTAATGAAGTTTGCATTATTTCGTTGCTGATCCAATAGCCAGTTTGCAAAATGCATTCTACGGGGAAAATCTTCAGGAATCAGTTCATGCACTTTTTGCAAATGATATGGGTATAACAGTTGTTCTTGAAGAACTTCATGTACTATTGTTTTCGACGCATTAAACTGCGCTGATAATTTTCGAGTGCTCGTTGAAGGAGTATCATATACAGCATTTAAAATATTTTCCTCTAATTGCGGCGTACGTACTGTTCTTCCCTGACCAGTATTATTACTTCTTTTTCCAAAATTTCCTAAAATTATGAAAGAAGTAAATAACATTACCTTATTATACCTTATTAAGAAGAATCGCCCACCATTCTCCCTTAGACGTTGGTCAACTCGTTGAAATGTCTTCTGATCTGGAAGAGTGCGATTAGGAAATCTGTCGTGATATAACCTTCTGGCTTCCAAAGCATTGGAAGATGCAAGACCATACATCAGATGCATATCTGCATACTCAATAAACGTGTATTCCATATTTCGAATTATTGCACAATTAATTTCACAACGAAATTCAAAAATCAAATATCAAAGTAATAAGGAATCAATGTATCAGTAATGTGAAAGTTGACAAGTTCTAAAATGAAGGATATTTATTTATTTCTAACCTAGCAACGTTTGCAAAGGTACCTAACTCGAAAAAAAAGTATCTTTTATCGAAATACGCTAAATACATGATATAAATAAAATGACGTTTTTCCAAAAACGGTTATGATTAGCGACATGAATGAAGAGTACTTAATTTTTAGTCAATAGTTAGAGGTATGTAAAAAACGTTGTCCAGAGTTCTTATCATACAGGGCGTAAAAAAAATGGGCCCATGAGTGTCACAGCTAGTCCGTCCCTGGAGCTGTGAGTAATTCGCAACACTTTCTTGGATAGTAATTTGAAGAGTCTTACCTAGTATACATCATATTAAAAAAAAATTGAAATATACCTGTTGGTTCAAGAATTATGTGTCAAAAACTTAATTCCATGGGAGCTCTTTGGGAGCCCATATCTCCGAAGAGGAGGCCGATACAAAAGAAGTTTATATGAACTTATAGTATTCTTTTCACGTGTTTTCTTCATATCCGGGAGATTTCCCACATGTTCCCGGACACCCTGTATATAATTATATACCAGCGACTCTTTCATTAGTTCGAGATCCGCAATTATTTCACGAATTTATGTAAGCATGAGCATACCTTGACGTCACCAGCCTCGTTCCAGATGATCCAGAAGCCGTACCGGTGCGAAACAAACAGCACGGTGTTGCCGATTTGGGATATCGCGAAGTCGTCACTCTGTTCGCCAATTCCTACAAAATTAGACAATATAAGAAGAAGAGGATAATGATGAAAAGAGCCCTAAAAAATGTGGAAAAAATTTAATGAAAAACGATCGTTTGAGATTTTTTTCCCATTCATCATAAATTTCCATTAAATAGTAAAGTAGAGTTAATTGGAAAGACAAGAGTCATCATATTATGATTTAAAATAATTATCTAATTGTGTAAATCATCATTTACTCTTTCATACATTTTTCTGTCATGAACTGAATGTTTCTTAGAAATAATAAAGATTATTATTATTATTATTATTATTCTAACATTGTCTGTCAAAGGAGACAATGCTATTCATTTACACAATCACTGATTGAACTGCTATGATGAATTGAAAATGCATCAAGCTGCATTTCGAGATGATAAATTATATGAAGTTTCTTCAACAAAATTGCTCTTGTTTTACTGTGTTCGATACATCAATGAGGTACTCTGTTTGTTATTAATTTTATTTCCGTATCTAATATCACAATGGCTCCATTGTGTTATTATTTCGGGAAAATCTCATCGCCCAGGGAATGTCAAATTTCAAGTAATTACAGCTCTGTCTCATAGATGAGCATAACTTGGGAGGAAATCAGATGGCTACAAGACGAATAAATCAAAAATGTCGCTGTCGCTTGCTACAGCCGTAGAAAAATTATAGTTTATAACTCGAACGAATTGCTAATTTCCCACTCGCATGATTGCAGACATCGCCATCGGTTCATGATGCAAACTTCGCATTCTCGTGGAAAATCACTATCATTCGATTCTCGTTGAACAATATACTTTATCTACAACTATGGAGTCATTCATACATTGCTAGCTCGATTTTCAACATTTAATGACAGACATTATTGTGATGAATCGAGTAATAAGAGTAATAATGACAGTTGGATGGCGTAATAATCTGACATCGTCTTGTCAAATTCAACTAAGTAGGTATTCGTTCTACTAGTTCTACTAAAGCACACCACTATACTACTGTTTGTGAAATACACGCAAATTCAAAAGACTCCCTTACCTTACATGGTTCTCATAGTTTTAATCACCCTAAATTCTACGAATACACGAAAAAATGAGAATTCACTGTTTTTCATTCTCAACAGTGACTACCATCATGAGTAACCATAATCATTAAATAGGACTTGACACTTGACAGTTGCAGATTGGCTCACACTTATGTGCGGGCTATTCGAATAGATTAGTACAGACCAATCAGAACCATGGAATTTCATTGTTGATAACTAGCGTCTAGAGACAGGTTACTACAATAATTAATTATCGCGGTGGAGGAATGCAATAGCGGAAGCAAGTTAATGAATAATCTGCAATAAGTAGTATGATTCATTTTTCGACTGAAAAGTGAAATGGCATATAATACCTGGTAAGATTGACTGATTGTGATGATGATGTGATTGCACAACTTCTTTCCTGTTAATAAAAGTTAGATCCAACATTGTTTATCATATTTTCACAATCAAAATTATTGAAATAAGTTATAAGCTGTTCGTTGATTGAAATTTTTGTCAATAAGTTTTCGACGAAATTAATGAGTAGGTATTTCAAATCAGATTTAGTGATTTTGCAATATACTAACCTTCATTATCAAAGATATATTTCTGAACTGTTAAATTTGCCTTGATATTTGAATAGTTGTAGATAAAGTATAGTATTCTACTCGCACATAATGACTATTACCCACTCAGATGATTACAGCACTCGCCTTCGGCTCGTACTGCAACTTTCATCTTCGTGGGTAATAGCCATCATTATGCGCTCGTTGAATAATATACTATTATGAGAATCTTTCTGAGAGACACAGTGACGTTGTGGAAGATTTCTCCAATTTGTGAATTATGAAACGAAAAAATCCGTATTTTCAAGATTCGGAATGGAATTCAATATTGATTAGTTTGTTACCTGAAAACGGTTGTGAAAGTACATACCTTCGAATGGTAGATTACTTTTTTTTCTAAAATAGGGACACATTGAGTAGGTACTCTCAGGTAGGTACTGTCACATTGGAAATGTTTTGATCGAGGTAAATTGAATATGATAGTTACCACACGAGATACCCACACGTGTAACGTTATGAGAACATGCTCAGTGACTAATTGAAATATGAAGTGAATAGGAAACTAACACGGATCACGAGTGTTCCGCGAAATTCTTTCTCAAATTTTTTCAACTTATTCCTCAGATTTTGCTTTGTATCAGTACCTTCAATTTGTTCCACGGTATACCGGTATCCATCAAATTCTACGGAGAGGTCTGGATGAATCACGAAGACATGTTCGCTATGCCGAACGATCAGATCTTGAGAGCAGGATTTTGTACAATTTTTCTTCACTGAAAATGATGAAATATCACCGACATCAAATAGGTCGGCAGAGCATATGAAAATATGGATCAATTGATATCTCAGCTGACCCTCAATAAACCAGAATCATTGATATGATTCTGTCCTCGTGAGAGAAAATAACTTGCCAGATTTTTTTCGAAATAACGATAAAAAATTATGCTGTATTTATGAAAATACCTATTCATTATTAACTTACAAGATACGTCCCATTCGTCAGCTTCAAGATCTCTCGCCAATACGTGATTGCAAATGTCATATTTGTATTCGACATTATCGAACGTATTGAATGTTCTTCCCGTTACATTGCAGACGGCATCTGGTTCTGGTGGAGGATTGCAAGAGTAGCTCGGACACCTAGAAACATAAAATGATAACTTTAGAATATATATTCACGTAACCAGTGATTAAACGCGTCTTTTTGTGTAGCAAGATCCCGTAAAATACAGACACATTATGTATTTCCTAACTACAGACGTAAAATATTGATAAAATATTTCGCTTGAACAGAAATAAGGACCAAATAAATACAAAAAAGTTGAAAGTCATTTCCACAAATGTTCATGAAATGAACAACAATGGTAGATGACGAGAGAAAAACAACTACTTTCTTGGCTAATGCCACGCAGAACATTGAATTACATCCTCCAGAAATCTATGCATCTATGTATTGTGACTATTTCGCAGTTGAATAAGCACCAGTTCTACATGAGTCTTACCGACTATGTGAAAAATTTAGTAGGCAAGTTGACTTCGCCCGTCACTTTGAAGTATTTGTCAAACAACAGTATGAGCAGAAATCAGCGACGAAATTCACGAATAGACTCGATTGATATTTCAATTAGTGGAAAACGACTGATTCAAGTTCAGATTTTCTTGTTTAACGTTTATTGAGAAAATAGCTTCCAGCGTCAGAAATAAAATTCTGGCATGAGGAAGTTGATTACAAACAATAATAATAAAATATCATAAGGTGACAAAGATAAAAATCTAAAAAAATCTAAGAATGCTAAATCGATCAAATCATAAAATAGCAACAAGGAATTATCAGCAGTTGACAAAGGGATGACATAGGGGAAGTGTCAATGGGAGTACCGCAGGGATCAGTCTTGGGCCCTATTATCTTTCTCCTATATATAAACGATTTAGCCTCTATTCGTATTCAGGGTAGATTCACCATTTTCGCTGAAAACACAACTATAATATGGCGTGGTAGAGATATAAAATACCTGAAGGAAACAATTGCTTCGGATATGACAGAAATTAAGCAGTGGTGCAACTCCAATAAACTTTGTTTCAATAAAACTAATTTAATTACATTCAAGTTCAATTATGATGATTTATTCTTGTCGAGACATATTATTATGAGTAAACCTAACATTATAGATTATAGATAGTAAGCTCAAATTTGAGGAACATGTTATTTCTTTGAATGAAAGAATTGTCTCAGGTTGTTTTGCGATAAAAATCGTATCTAAGGAACTGAATACAGCCTCAGCCAGGATGGTATATTTCTCCTTGCTCGAGTCTCTTCTGAGATATGGTATTGGTTTTTGGGGTTGATGTAGTGAATATTTATTCAATTCCGTTTTTTACTACAAAAAAGAGCAATTCGGTATCTGTCTGGGGCACAGTATCGTGATCATTGCAAAACCTCTATTCATAAATTAACAAATTCTGACACTGACTTTCTTATTTATTTTGGAAACTGCCAGCCTCATTCATGAAAAATACTCTGAGTTAACGGAACTATCAAACAAGAAATGAAGGTTTGTATTCCTTTACTGTCATATATGAGAGCAGAAAAGATATATAAACATCTGCCAATAGCATTTAAGAAAATCAATTAGATCTATATCTTCGACAATAAGGTATACTTTTGATTGATTGATTGGAAGTATCAATTGTTTTTTAAATGCTATTTCAAATTTTGAAATATGTCTGCAGTTTTTTATAATATATGGTAATTTACTGAATTCAGCTAAACAGCGTGGCTAACTTTTATTTTTGGCAAAGTATAGAAGTAGCAGAATCAATATGATATTGAGGAAGCAGCACAAAATGCACAGGTTACGTGAAGTCAGACGTTTCAAAACTTCTGTCAGTTTTGAATCGTGCCAAATTACTTGCGAAAATTAGAAAAAAAGGTATCGCCCAACGTCTTTGAAGCTTATTCGGTTTGAATGGGGTAGTATTGATCGTTAGTCTAAATTGCCCACTAAGAATAGTTTTAAATGAGAAGTGTAAAAAAAAGAAATCATAATCGGAATGAATCGATTATCTTTGTAAATCATACAAACATGTTGAAGTGTATGATGTATATAAACTTTTATATAAGAAATATTTGGTACCGGATAAAGACCACCTTGTGTTTAATCAATATATTCACTGTGTCATATTTTATAGTTAGACGCGACAAAGAAGTCCGGGAACGAAAGGAAGAGGATGCAGGCATTAAGTCCTTGGAGCCTAGTGATTAGTACTTTACTTGTATGACCCATTTAGTAGTTAGGTACTTGTATTACTCTTTATAGTATAAAGTTGTTGAAACATAACAATTCGAATTGCAATTGCTACTATCAATCTTCGCATCATCATATCATATCAAACAACCCAATAGATATTGATCCATAGGTCGCTGGTTCAAATTCGGCTCGAAGGACCAATTGATGATCGCAACATTTATGTTGTGCATAATGATTTTCATCAATCAATATCGAGCCATATAATACCTTTTTTCCTTTTTCGATGGTCCCGCCTCGAATACTGGGATGTAGTTCGCCTGGCATATCACGGCAGGACACTCGTCCAAGCTGTGCAGGAACTGCGGGGCAGGTTTGGCAAGAATGCACTTGTACTCCTTGCACTCTTCCGCTTTGCTGTTGTTGGTCAGTCCTTGCCGCGACGGCTGCTCGGTCAGTTTCGACGGACGTTGTAGAGTTTTTCTACCGGCTGCGAACATTAACAATCCGTCAAAGCATTTAGTGAACTATTTTAAGATTCAATAGGTTGAAAAGAATGACGTAGTAGCCTATCAACCGCTACACATATTGGAGATGTTTTTGAAATAAGTACATATATTCAGCACATTATTATGATACAGTCTAACGAATATTCCCATGATATCAGACTTTTTCTAATTCTTCGAATCAAGAGCAATTTTATCCCGGAAATTAAACAAAAAACGAGAAAAAAATCAAGTACGCCACACGTACAATTTAAATGATTGAACTCCGCGTGATTGTGCCTGCCGCATGGAAATTTTAACAGAGGTGATGTCAGATTTGGTATAGTGTAGAAATATGGGTAAAAAAGGGGTCTAACCCCAAATTTCCTCAGGGTTTGAAACATTTGCACTTATTTCAATGCTACCCGGTATATCTGTAATGAGAATGAGAATATCCAAAATGAAATATGTGGTTAATTCGAAATAGAATGTTTATCGATATACCAATGATCATTCATTTGTTTCAATCCAACTGGGAGATAAAATAAAATTGATAATTGTAATAATGTAAAACCTTGTGATTTGAAAGTATTGCGATGGAAAATAATCAAATTTAGCTTCAGAAAGATACAATGTGAAACATGAAAGAGAAGATCGACTTTGGTTGACAAGTATGCAGTTTTATATATAAAAAAACAGTTCAGTAGATGGCAGATAATATTTCCTAGACTACTAGTTGTTTTTAACTACATTGGACAAATAAAACAAATTTATAAGGATTTGATCTTGGTACACCAAAAATATTGTTCATTCATCATCATATTTATTAAAAAATAAACCATAATGTATTACATTGCATTCAGAATATAGTATTTATAGGTATAATATAATTTTATTCTAGTAATTCTCATAGTTTGAGCTGATCCTTGTTTGAGTGAATGAATGATTGAAATAATTGATACGTTATATGATCACAATATGAAGTTCTTTCTTGAATTTTTTGGTATTCATATTTTTTTAAGTCTTGTTGGCAATTCATTGTAAAGTAATAATCCATTATAATATATAGATCTCCTGCCAAATTCAGATTTGATTTTAATGAGGGAAAACATGTTTGTCTAGTTGAATGTGAATGTATATTAGCATTAATTTTAAAATTCAAATTGGAATGTTTATAATTGTGTTCGACTGATTGAACAAATGATAATATTTTGAATTCATATATTGATTGAAGATCTAATATTTCATTTGGTTTATAAAGGTTTCTTGTGTCTATTATTGATGTACTTACCCCTACTGAATGGAGCACTGGTTTTCCTCTTGTACCCTGAGTAAGTCTTGCGATTGTTACCCTTTCTTTGGCTAGTTATGATCGGAGATAGATATCCACGTCCAGTTTTGGGCACCTTCTTGTAGCCAGGTTGGCAACTCACGACAGGGCATGCCACGTCTAAATATAAAAAAAATAGTAATGTGTTATCAGAAGGTTTAATGTTTATTTCAATCATACAAATTCAATGAACTTAATAGACAATAGATCCACCTGATGGCGCCACGTAAACGTGAGGTCAGAGTTGGTAGAACTGATAAATTCCTTCAATTTCTTCTTCTCCGACAATGTGAGAATTGCTCATAAAGTTCCTCATTGAGAGTAGAAAACGTGAGTATGCTCAAGTCCTCCCATAACTTGAGGTTTCCTATTTGTACAAATATTCTACATAATTTTTTCCGAATATTTTCGATAAAACAGGCCACATCCTTTAGGGCTATCCGGCAAAATTTGGGGATTTTTGACTTTGACATTGACCTCACGTTTTAGTAACGCCTACTGGTGAAACTGAAAATGATAGCCTTCATTGACATTCGAGTCATGAATAGTAGTGTCCACTTTTGAAACTTACTACTGATGTTCATCATTCTCGAATAATGGAGGGCTGTGAAAATTAATCACACATTTTTTAAATAATTGATCAGAAAACTGTTATTCGGTTTTAGTTCCTAGAACTAATGACATATTCTTATTGAAGATCCCTTTAAACAAAGCTGTACCGATTTTTATCATTCTAAAATACAGGGATAGGAAAATATCAATTTTCTCAGAAAACCTGTTGTGTTATGAAGTTGAGTTAATTGAAATAGAATATTCGAATATATACAGGCTTCGAGAGTCCTTTTATTTAACTTGAGATTACTTCGAAATAGCTGTCACACAAACTTTTACCAGCCAATTTATAAATATGCTTATTTTTATAAAATGTCAAAATCTGACGTTTAGGGATTTCATCACATCTTGGTGGCTATGGTCTATCTTATGTGTAACAATAAAATAAATCAACAATTTCTCAACCTTTCTTGATTAATATCTTTGATGAATAAACTCCTACAGACATTTGTCGATATGACATTTTGACAGCGATAAAAAATCTATTCCAAAGAATGTCTTTTCCTCGATAACACACTACCACTTCTCAGTGAAAACATGTGAAAATACTGATTCAAATTGAAGGTGATTATTAAACTTGCGTCTGCGGAATCTGCCTCATAAAATGGAATAGTAGTAGGGACTTCGCGAAATCCCGTGTCAGTCATATCAATGTTGCCGGATTGTGCTGATTTTCTTGAAGAAAGTACTTCAATAATCTTGAATTGATAGGATAACCCAAAAAGAAGATAATCGCATTTTCATGAATTCACTTGGAAGTGAAAAGATACTATTCTTCAAAACAATACAAACTAACTCGGCCAAAGAAACCCCTACTCTAGAAAATAATATTTTCCAAGCTTTTTCTCCACAGTAAATGCCTCCACAGTACTTTTTTCAGGGAGGAACGAAAATATCCCTCCTGCATAAGAAACGACACTACTAATTTTTAAACCATCTAACCTTACTCGTCCTTAATGAACCTTCTTCCTAAAAAGACAGTACGTTTTTCAGGGAGAAAGGAAAAAATTCCTCCTGCATAAAAAACACAACTGTTTTCAAACTATCTTTTTTTTGAAATATTGTTTATTCAAGCAACATTTATTACAATACAATTCAACCAATGTAAAAAAATCTCCAATCAGTGCTTCAAACACTGGCCTCGAGATTAACAACATTTAAAATAAATACAGTGTTACAAGCGCAGTTAAGTAATGTTTATATAAACTTTCAATTTCCTAACAAAACTCTTATAATTGTTCAAGTCTTTTATAAAGTGAGGTAAATTATTGAATGTTTTGATTGCATCTACGATCGGATTTTTTAAACCTACATTTGTCCTTGTATATATTTGGTAGATGTTATTATGTGATCTTGTTTGGTAATCATGTACATCAAAGCAAAACTCAATATCAATGTTACTTTTTTGTTGATCATTAAGTATTTTATAAACAAGTTTGCATTGTTCTATAACCAGAATTTCTTTTAATCGAATTAACTTCAATTCTGAATAAATTATATTCGTGCTAGTGAGCCAATCATACTTGAATAATATTTTAAGGGTTTTGTTTTGCAATTTCTGAACTTTATCAAAGTTAACTTCTCCACACATTCCCCACACAGGCATAAGATACCTGAAGTGTGTTAAGAAATAAGAATTATAAACTTGAAATTTAGTTTTCATAGACAGATAATCTCGACATTTATACAGGGCGGATAGCATTGCAACAATTTTTTCAGAGATTTTGGAAATGTGTGGAGACCAGTTCAAATTTTCATCTACAATTAATCCCAAATATTTTATACACATTACTTTCTCTAAAGGTACACCATTTATGTTAGGTTGCATTTCGTCAATTTTTTTATTTTTCTGCTTAAATACAATATATTTGGTTTTATCAATATTAATTTTTAATTTATTTGAAAACAGCCATTTACGGTAAGCGATAAGATCATTATTTACCTGAGTATTGAGGGAGATTTCATCTGATCCTGCGTACAGCAGAACCGTATCATCTGCAAAGGTGAAATACCTTCCCCTCAAATTGGCAAGTTTGAGGTTAAGTACATAGAGGGAGTACAACAGCGGACCAAGGACCGACCCCTGAGGTACCCCGTAAGCACTGGACATCCAATCACTACTTGTATCTTGGAGTTTTACATATTGATTTCTGTCAAGTAGATATGTTTTAATTAAGCTGTACATAATTCCCCCAAATCCCATTCTAGATAATTTACTCAACAGAATATCTATACTCACCACGTCAAAAGCCTTTTTCAAATCAATAAAAATTGCTATAACTACTTCTTTTCTATCCACAGCCCTTGAGATATAATCTATGAAGTCTGTAGTAGCACCAAGTGTGCTACTGTTTTTTATGAAACCATATTGAAATTTATCGGTCAATTGGTGGTTATCAATGAAAGATAACATTCTTTTCTTCATAATTTTTTCTATTAGTTTAGAAAATACGCTCACTACCGAGATAGGTCTGTAATTGTTCATGCATTTTTTATCTCCCGATTTGAAGAGTGGAGTTATTTTACTTATCTTCAGTTCTTGTGGAAAAATTCCGCTTTGGATGATTCCGTTGATCAATTGTACTAGAATTGGTAGAATGTATTCTTTGAGATTATGTATATCCCTAACAGTAATTCCGTCGTGTCCGGGTGCTGAGTTTTGTCTTAGTTCCTTGATGATATCTAACAACTCCTGTTCATTAGTTAAAGGTACAGATATTGTGTTATCGTTATATAGTTCCCTGACAGAAAAATCATCATTCAATTGATTCATTTCAATTTCTACATCTTTCACAATCATTCCACCAACTTGGGAGAAATACTCGTTCAATTTATTTACAATATCTAGTTGACTATATCTAACCTTAATCGTCCTAAATGAACCTTCTTACTAGAAGTTATATTTTTCGGAAAATCACTCGAGAGAATTGAAAAAAAGCCGACAGTCGCAGGCATTGAACCCGGGTCGCCGACGTGGGATTCAAACGCACAGTCAACTACGCCACGAGTCGCGCTGATTATATTACCTCCTATCTAGGCGCTAATATTCAGATACGAACGAAGAAGCGATAACTAGCAACGCTGCACTCCCTCCACTATTCTAAAATTTATGGCATGTATACTCCCCAGACGCTACTGATTATTATTGATGTTCATCCATATACTGTCTTCTGTCAAACTATTCAAATTGGTAGATCTACGGTATCATAATATTTTGATGTCATTTTTTTCCATATAAAATCACAACTTTTGATGACATTGAAATTGATCATAATCATCTTGCTTGATTGTTTGTTTCTATGTAATAAAAATATGAGTATAATTTCAATATACATGTAGTAGGACAAATCAGATGATTTTCCCCAAAATGTCACTGCTTCGAAAAAAAATCTCATTTGGGAGCCAAAAAAAAAATCCAATCGTTGGTCAGTGACCCTTTGTTTCGAAAAATGTTTGAAGAAAAGAAATATAGAAAATATCACATTTTTACTCATCCTTCATCAAGAAAACACTTATGGACACATCAGAACTAACTGAACATATTCTTACTGAAAAAGGACGACATATGGAGAGTGGAATAATATTAAAATCATAGGAAAGGAAGATAACAACCAAAAGAGAAAAGTCCAGTAATCCGCTTGCATTCTTCTGAACGGAGACAATAGCATTGCTTTCTGTTCCGTCGATAGAATATGAAAATGGTAGATTCAAGACCAATTAATGAAAACATCCAGTAACTTATTAGTATACTAACATCACTCATTTATATGCGAACATCATTCTGTCACTGAGAAGTATCACACTATAAGACAATTTTCAAAGAATGATATTTTACATTTTCCATGTTGAAAACGGGAGCAGATTCGTTTCCGAAACGTCCAAAGATAGGTGAAAATTCCATATTTTTTTCAATATTTCTTCTCTTCAAGCATTTTTCAAAACAAAGTGTTACTGACCAACGATTGGATTTTTCTTTCAGGCTTCCTGAAATTTTAAACGCAATGACATTTTGGAGAGAATCATCTGATTTATCCTACTTCATGTATATTGAGATAATACTAATATTTCTAGAAGAATTCTCATATAATCAAACACCTTCCTTGATTAACCTACAGACAGTATTGATCATAATAATATTAATAATCATTACAACTTACGGGTTCGGGGCTTAGAAGTTGCAAATAGTGGAATATTTGTAATTATTTTTTCTGTGGTATGAATGCAATTGAGTTCGTCATCGGGGCAATCTTGGACTCCATTGCACCATAAATTGGAGTCGATGCAGATGTTGCTGGTCGGACATAGAGTGGTATTTTCTGGACATGGCTGGCATGTACATCCGCAAGTACTTGTGACCGTACTCCTCAAACCCTGTAATATAATGAATATCATTACCGTGCAGAAATGTAATTCCTCTGATAACAGAACCATTTGGAGTTTCAATTCATTCAACAGAACATTCATCAGGATGACAAAAGACAATCTACATGGTAACTTTTCAATTTTAAAATTTTCACAATTAACTTCTCTTTCTTTGAATTGGTTCACTTTCATCAATGATCAGAAATACTGAAAATACTGCCAATACTTTTATATGTTTGTCCCACTTTAATGGGGAAGTTTCCTTCAGATGAATATTCATAAAATGAGTTCGGTAGGTACCTCATCAGTTTTATGTCCACGCTGTACAGAATGACGATCGATAAATTCGAAATAAAGTCGAAAAACAATAAAAAACGAATGAAAAAAATAGAAGAAGACAACTTGGCATACAATACATAATCAAAAAATCAGATCAGCTCTCGCGGTGTTCCTGTCAGTATTTGGTGTAGTGTTAACGGGCTCAAAGTATTATATATGTTGATGATCTATCCCAACATTTAACATTAGCAGTCATACTTTTTGCAGACGATACCACAACAATCAGTTCATCAAACAACCTGGATACTCTCAGAACTAATGTGGAAACCCAGAATGAGATAATTCAAAACAGGTTCACAGCCAACAAGCTGACTTTAAACGACGATAAAACTCAATCGCTGCTTTTTACCCTACGGCACTATGAAACAACCCCAGCTGATCCGATGTTTATATTGACCCTCTTTTGACATGGGAAACTCATGCAACTGTGGATATTCTCATGACAGCTTACTTTGCATACTTCTATTCGAATATGACATATGCTATTTTAAACTGGGATCACTCATGCCACCTATTTAAGGTCTTCGGAGTTCAAAGACGCTGCGTGAGAGTTATCTCAGAACTGTCTTACAGAGACTGTTGTTATTTAAAATTCAACGAATTGGGTGTACTCACAGCTCCTTGTGCCTATATCCTCGAATGTGTAATCTATGTAAAAAAATTGGATGCAAATAGTACGGCTACGACACACGTAACAGAGGTAAATTTTTACCAAAATACCATCGCCTTGATATACCTCACAAATAATTTCAATGATTTTGTATCATAGAAATAGAAATGATTAAGTGAACAAGACCTAGGATATTTTAAATCATTTCAACATGTACATGATTGAAAGTATATACAGTGTGTCCACCTTAAGGACTTACCACCCCTGTAATATTGTTATTACCTGACCGATTTCGAAAAACTTTTTTTTGTTGGATAGGTATTTGAAATGTCCATCCAACAAGAGTGATTTTATTCATGAACTGTAATCGTGGCCAACTGCGACCAGCTTTATTGACCCATATTTGAGAAAGTACTATTAGGGATTTTTTTTCACAAAAAACAATGATGGATTCTGAATCACGATCACTTGAAAAACACCTTTACTGATTTTTATCATCATAAAACACAGGGTGTCCGAAAAAACGAACTGTTTTTTTTTTTGATAGGTGATCAGAAAATGTAGTATGGTGGTATTTTTGAGAAGAATTGATGACAAATTATTATTGAGGATCACTTTGAACATATCTGTACCGATTTTCATCATTCAAAAATACGATGTGTATGAGAAAACAAATAGAAAGAAAAAGTAGGCAATATTTTTTCTTCAACTAAAAAAAAATATTAATTTGATTTTTCGAACACCCTGTATTTGATGATGATGAAAATCGGTAGTTATGTTCCAAGTGATCCTGATTCATCTTTTTATTTTGAGTGAAGAATTATCAGGATGAAAAATATTGCTTACCTATCCTTTTTAATTTTTTTCTCAGACACATTGTATATTTAAATGACGGAAATTGGTACAGGTATATTTGAAATAATCCTCAATGATAATTTGAGATGATTATTTCTTTCTAGAAAAACCACAGAACTACATTTGCTGATCACCTATTTGAAGAAAATGATGATTCGTTTTTTCGGACACCCTGTGTTCTATGATGATGAAAATCGGTACAGGTATATTTCAAGTGGTACTGATTCAGAATCCATCATCAAGTTTCGTGGAAAAAAATCCCTAATAGTACTTTCTGGAATATGGGTCATTGCAATTTGTCGCAGTTGGCCACGATAACAGTCCAAGAATTAGATCACTCTCTCATTGGATGGGCATTTCAAATACCTATCCAACAAAAAAAGGTTTTTTGAAATTGGTCGGATAATAACGATTTTACAGGGGTGGTAAGTTCTTAAGGTGGACACACTGTATATTTGTATATTGTCCAGGTACATGTATATGTGTATTGACCTTTTACTGACTTACTTTCCTACAAAATAGATCCATTTTATAAAGAAACAAATTCATTTGCATGAAAATGACCAACAAGTTATGATTATTATTTTGTAATATAACGAGAGTGAAAAATTATTGATGCTATTGCAAAATATCCTCATTTATCGAAGTAGGATTGAGAAAACCTATTGTTCCATTTAATTTAATGTATTCAATGAACGATTTCCGGAAATCTTGATATATTGATGACATCGGCAACATCGTATTGACACAGAGAATCGTATTTCAACTCTGTATAAATGCGGCTTTTCAGAAAGTACGTCAAAGCGATGGAGCTGAGTTCCTCTTCATTTATTTTTTTCTGAAGTGAAATTTGATTTTACGGAGAGAAAAAAAGTATATATTAAATCTTCACAAACTTTACACTGAGATTAAAACCTCAATATCGGAAACTTCCCCATTCTTCATGAAACCAAATCCCAATTGAATACTTGTCTCATTTCTTAATGAGACAATTTTCAATTGTGATAACTTGATATTGTTAAATATTTATTGACCTATGTACATTTATTTATTTTTTATCCTTACTACAAGGTTAACTTCGTAAGGTTTTTCCCAGTTTATTCAAATTACCTTTATGTTTATTCCAATGTATATTTTGTAAACGTTTTTGAATAAACTTATATTATTATTTATTATTATTAAGATAGTCGTCTTTCTAATTAGTTTATTGTTTCAATGATTCTTTTCGAATTTTGAGATCGAGACTTATAATTTGTTTGTCTTTTTTTGTGGGCCCAAATCAAAACCCAGCTCTGAAAGTCATTATTGTTGATCATCTCAAGGACACCCTGTATTTAACCTGAAAACACCTGTTGCATAGGTCTATATTATAGTTTCGAATCGGAACATTTTATTTATCCATAATCTATAGTTGATGAATTTCTACCCCATATAAATACCTCAGCACAAGGAGTACATTTCTTCGGCGTACAGTGAGGTACTCCTCCAATTTTACATAAACATTCAGAACAATCTTCTTCTTCAAAAACAGAACCGACTGCGTACCTGAAAAAAAAATTGCTTGTAGACTGGAATATAGACCATTTCATTTTTTATACACGTTACGGATCCCAATGAACACAAACATCCCAGAGACCAGAGATGTCAAATTCATGTCTCGATAGGAAACAATGCGAATTACAAAAAAAAATCATTGGTATTGCAAGGGGACTATTTCTATTTATTTCACAAAACATTCGCGATATATTCGTCTCATATATTGATTTTGAAACTTGTGATTGAATTTGTGAGGCTCCCTAACAACCAAGAGACTCAAGCTTTGGCGACGCTAGCGATGAAACGTGTGTTGCTATTATTGGTCGATGGTGGGTATCCAATTCAAATTGACCAATAATAACATCACCACGTTTCATTGCCAGCATCGCCAAAGCCAAAATCGCCCAGCAATAAACTAAGCTTCACTGGAACCTCACATTCTCATGGAATAGCATTCATCATATACTGATATCAGTAGGAGTTGCTATTCGAGTCACGGATGTGATGAGTGGCATGAATGTGATGCCCTCTACTATCTCTGGGATCAATCTGTGTTATATGTTCAGAAACCCTGAACTTACGGAATGTATCCAACCATGCATGGGCACTGTGTCCTATTGACGCAATTTTCGCCGTCCCACCACAAATTAACCAAACATCTGCAAGCGTCCATCTCCATCTCCACCCGTTCCACTCCTGGACAATAATTGCACTCTTCAGGTGCGATCGTTGTTAGTGGAAATTCTGTCGTCAGTATTGCTGTAAAACGGTCTACGTCAGTATAATAGTAGGGGAGCTCAAGCGAAGATTTTGGGATTTACTCCAGCGCGGAATAAGGACATTATCGCAATGCTATTTCAAAAATATCACAAAACTTATATCTGAAAAATATTTTTGTTTTGTATCATGTTTATAGGGTAGAAATTAAATAGTGAATCCAATTTCATAAAGCGTCAATTGTATTTCAGAATAGTCAATTGAATTTCAGAGACCATCAATTGTATTTCAAAATGTTATTTCTGAAATATAAATGACACTTTCTGCAATTCAATTGACTATTCTGAAATATAATTGATACTTTCTGAAATACAAGTAACTATTCTGAAATACAAATGACGCTTTTTGAAATTGAATTGAAGCTTTCTTGAATACAACTGGAAAATAAGTAGAACAATTCAAATACATAATATCTCGATACTTACGGTACGGTTTGAAGCAACCATGTATTTCAACTCTCATCTGGATATTCTTGTGCCACTTGTGCGGTATGACCTTCAAGTACCGGGTATTTATGGGGATGTCGAAGTTGACGACCTGGGGCATGTGACCGTCATAGTTGCCGAGGAATACGATTTCTTTTTGTTGCTTATCCACGACCGGGTTCCAGTTCTTGTTGTCGTGCGAGTATTGCACAGTGAATGCTGTGACCCTTCCGTTTTCTCCGCCTTTCGTTACAAGGCCGGTGATGTTTCGGGGTTCCAAGAAGTCAAACTGGAATTTTCAAAATTCAGTTTCGATTTGGAAAAAATTTCCTAAACGATAAGAATCCCAGAGAATCTCTTTGAAGAAACGACAGAGTAGCTCTTTCAGGTGACGATACTCGTACCGCTAGATGATTAACGGTTCGCTTCTCTCTACCACATTGACGAATAAGTAATTGTTCAAAAATTATTATCAAAATAACTCATCAGATATTTCCATGAATTGTAAATCGTACCTCTTACGTGGCACCAGAAAGTTCATAAACATTTTGAAAAGGTTTTCACATCGACTTTTCAACAACATGTACGAATAAGTAACATTTAATAGTAACGAACTGAGAATAACCTTTTGCTAGGATGTGGAAGTTTTTTCTCTATATGATGAATGATATTATTGAGAATTTACCATGATCCATTCAGTGGGCGAATTGGTGAGTGGTTGCCACGAAGAATCGCCATTTAGTTTCAGATGTGTCTTACTGTGATCTTTCGAGATATCAGAACTGGTCGATATTTGTTCGTCGGCCATTGTGCCGTCACCAACACCCATTGGATCGTCACAAAATTGTGGCTTCATTGTAGTCGGCATAAACTAGAAAATGATAATAACTCTATTAGAAATGCTGATGGTGGCAACACACCAATGAGGGATTATCTGATTTAATTGTTTTCTGATTTTCTACTGGTCTGTCATCCTCTTTGATGGTGGTAATCTGAATATGTATGGAATAGAGAAATAAAATATGTTTAGAGTCTTGTATAGATCGCATGCACCCTTTTCTTTTTTGTTTACAAAGAATTGAAATAGTTTTTAACAATTATTTTGGCATACGAATTGGATTTCTTGGGATATTTCATTATTCAAACGTGCTATCAAATTGATGTGCTGTACAGGGTGGCCAACTAAGACTCCAGAGTTCGATTTCTCTGTTGTCTTGAAAGATACAAAAAAAATTCATGAATCAAAATTGAAGTAATAACCGAGCTTCACATTTCAAAATTTCTTTGAAATACACAGGGTGTTCCGTAAGGTCACAGCACATTAAAGCTATGTTTTTTTCATTGGAACACCCTATATTTTATTTCATTTTTGAATTCTCCCTAAAGATCTGATTTCAACGACCCATCATACTTAGGGTCTAGCAGTGAAAGTTATTGACATATAGGGTGTGCAAAATCGAGATTTTCCAAGTTCAGATTTTTTTTCTGTCGAAACTGTTCATTATTCGTCGAAACGGTTTACATGTCCCTATCTCAACTTTTCACTCACTATCAATTGGTATTCAATTGAAATTGATACAAGGTGGTCAAAAAATCCAAATTTATAATTTGTTTCAATTAAATGTCAATTGAACACCAATTGATAGTGAGCGAAAAGTTGAGATAGGGACATGTAAACCGTTTTGACGAATAATAAACAGTTTCGACAGAAAAAAATCCTGAACTTGGAAAATCTCGATTTTGCACACCCTATATGTCATTAACTTTCACTGCTAGACTCTAAGTATGATACGTCGTTGAAATCAGATCTTCAGGGAGAATTCAAAAATGAAATAAAATATAGGGTGTTCCAATGAAAAAAACATAGATTTGATGTGCTGTGACCTTACGGAACACCCTGTGTATTTCAAAGAAATTTTGAAATGTGAAGCTCGGTTATCACTTTAATTTGAATGCGAAACTTTTTTTTGTATCTCTCGAGACAACAGAGGTATCGAACTCTGGATTCTTAGTTGGCCACCCTGTACAATGCACAAAAAATGCAGCGGGAGACGAAGGAATACTATTTTTCAGATAAATTGTGATCTAAGAAGTACTGTCCCTAGTCACTCACATTTAGAATTTCATCTGCAATAGGACTTATTAGTTTTTAAAAGAAGATAAGAAGCTTGGATTCGTGCAATCAAATGGGAGGACTGGTCTGAAATGCTGACGAAATATGGTTGTGTGTGTGTGTTGTAGACATTTAAGGAATTCTAAAGAGAAATTACTATATATGGTCGTGTGTGTTGTAGACATTTTCAATCTGTTAACTCCCATTGTAGAAGGCATCCAAAAAGAGATTTGACACATTTTCAATCTGTTAGCTCCCATTGTAGAAGGCATCCAAAAAGAGATTTGACCAAGTTTTCAAATGAAAACTATGTGAGAGACTACAGTACTTTTAGATCACTCACCTGAGAAATCATTTATGCTGCGTCTCTCGCTGCATTTTTTGTGCATTGCCCAAGAAACACGAAATATCTTGAAATATTATCCATGAGGGTTATCACAAACAAAGTTCTTTATGCGCAATTTTTGTCGAGGATTTGGAAGTTTCAGATTTTGTTTATTTTTCACTCATGATCACCTTCCTATAGTTATTCTTAAAAAAACAGCCTGATGAACATGAGCAAACAAATGATTGGAACATGAAAATCATTGGTTAAAAATTTGAATTGTGATACACATTCTCTGATAGAATGGGCAAGTGGACTATTTTTTTTTATTTCTTAAATAGAATCATCACTCAAATACCTTTCCATTCCATATTTTTCAAGAAATGTTTGGTCGATTTCGATAGAATCATCAATATTGCCACGGTAATATTCAAACGACTAGAAATTTACCGCAACTAAGACATTTGAACCGGTAAACGTGACAACAACGCACATGTTGCCAAGTCTCCAACATTTACATGATTTTTTGTTCTGGAGTATAAGAAATATTTGGACATGCTGGTTGATCGGAAAAGTCGAAATTGAACTATAGTATCATGGCTTCCTTCTATTATGTTTTATTCAACGACAGGACTTTTTTTGATAACTTGATTATAATTGGTAACATACAACAACCTTGTTTCAAGAGTGGGAATGGAAGAATATTTGACCAATAACGAAACAGTCTCATCATGTCCAAATGGCGGCCATGACGGTACGTTTGAAATGAGCTCTGAAATTCAATTTCGAAGAACCAATACACTCATTATCAAAAATTAATTCAGTTCCCTAACGACACAGTGGAGTAATTGAATACCAATAATTATCAGTCCACTTGCCCATTGGGAATATGTATAAATATTGGTCGAGCGAAATTTCATTAGAAAATTAAAATCCTCACAGTTGCCGGTTGTGGAGTGGTAGCAACATATTTGGAGCAACCGATGTATTCTACTCTCAACGAAATGCCGTTATTCCATGTCTGTGGATTGATGCGTATTATTTTGGCCTCTACAGGTTTATTGAACATCTGTTTGACGGGCGTTGTTGTATCAATAGACCCCCGGAAAATCTGAAAGAGAGCAATTCATCATCACATTAATAGTTATTTGACCAACGAGTGTATTAATGAGGGCGATTAATGATCGAGATATTTTAACGTGCGAGCGAAGCAAGCGCGTTAATGTTCGAGATCATTAATCGCCTTTTAAAATACAAGTTGGTTACAAAATTTTTCCGTCGACTATATTTCTTATTTCTCCTGCAATGAAGGAAACTTGGTTCGCGAATTCATCATTCATCCGGAAACTGCTAAGAATCACCCAGTAGCCTTGTTACTGACATTAGTGACATTTGACATTTGTCGAAATGATCAACATAGAAAATAAATTCCTTGTGTTAGAAAACCGGGATTAAAATCGTGTCAGTAACTTGGAAAGGCGAACCCGTTAACGGAAAATCTTCGATGAAATCCATATTTTCGATTTAAATGCAGATTCCGTAAGTTATAGCATAAACAATGAATGCACGCGGTGTATGTTTGGTTGCCTATGAAACAATCGTGCATTAATAGACAAATTGATCATTAATTGGGGTCATTAATGAACGATTTCATGAACATTAAACTGACTCGTTAATACGAGGTCGACGGAAATAGTTATTTAACCAACTAGTGTATTAATCGCCTTTTAATATACAAGTTGGTTACAAAATTTTTCCGTCGACTATATTTCTCATTTCTCCTACAATGAAGAAAACTTGGTTCGCGAATTCATCATCCATCCGGAAACTGCTAAGAATCACCCAGTAGCCTTGTTACTGACATTAGTGTCATTTGACATTTGTCGAAATGATCAACATAGGAAATAAATTCCTTGTGTTAGAAAACAGGGATTAAAATCGTGTCAGAAACTTGGAAAGGCGAACCCGTTAACGGAAAACCGTCGATGAAATCCATATTTTTGATTTAAATGCAGATTCCGCTAGTTATAGCATAAACAATGAATGCACGCGGTGTATGTTTGGTTGCCTATAAAACAATCGTGCATTAATAGATAAATCGTCCATTAATAGGAGTCATTAATGAACGATTTCATATACATTAAACTTAGTCGTTGATACGAGGTCGACGGAAATGAATATTTCACGTTTATTCCTCTTAGTATTCATATATTTTTTCAGAGGGGGGAATGTGGGAAGTTTTGAAAGGTGATTATTCCTTTTCTAACGGTCCTAGAATATTGGAAAAGGGGCGATTCGAAGAAAGGGGATGAAAATCCGTGCTTCAGTTTGAGTTCAATATTGCCTCCTGCAGGCGAATTCCTAATTGATTTCGAATTCCCGCTTGGATCAATCAATTACATAATATCGAAAATGTGTTTAGATGATAAGGGCTTCAGAATACCGTCACCACTCCAGAAAACATCGAGAAGCTTCCATTTTAATTCAGTAAATTTGCATCTGATAGCACATCATCCGATGTATCTCAATTAAATATGTGTTCTTTTCAGTGACTAAGTTATTGAAACTTACCATAGGATAGTTTTCGTTATTCAGGATGTAATAGAAGCTATGGCCGTCTGGACTGTAAGTAATTTTATAACTCGTTACATATTCATCATACAATGGACTACCTCTGATGATGACTCCATAAACAGGTTCCTGTTTTCCGAAATCCACTTGCAAATATTGATCTTGATTGGAGTATTTCGGTGCCCAACTGCCTCCTACAAGGTATTATTTATTTATTATTTATTTATTTATTCTCATATGAATACATTTACAAAGACATACATATTCTAATATTATAAAAATTCTAAATTTTATCTACTTCACATAGGTTATTGACCTGTGTGTGAATTAGATAATTATTATAAACTTTTTGTTAAAAATTTTCAAGTTCTTAAAAATATTTAGATTAAATATTGATTATAAATTCAATATATACAAAGCACACAAACAAAAAAACAAAAAAAAAAAAAAAAAAAAAAAAAAAAAAAAAAAAAAAAAAAAAAAAATTATTTGAAGAGATTATCAATTTCTTTTGCATTATCCAAAAACCAAATTTTAATTTTTTCTTTGAATGTTACAATATTCAAACGTCTCAATTTTGATGGAACTCTGTTAAAAATTTTTGACCCAATAAAACTACTATGGTTTTGCATGATTTTGAGATTATGTTTTTCAAGTTGAACATTATCATTTCTTGTACAATAATTGTGACTAATTTTATTACTAAATGCAGTGTTTTTTTTCAAGAAATTCAATGATGCTTTATAAAATAATTGTTTGACATTCAGTATATGATTATCTACAAATAATGAGGATGATGGATAATCCAAAGGTTTGCGAAAAATTATTTTCAAAACATATTTTTGAATACTTAATAATGGTTTGAGATGAGTCTCATACATACCACCCCATCCAATGATTCCATATGACAGAATAGATTGAAAAAGTACATGATATAACATTATGATTAAATTTCTATTAACAATATTTCGTAAAAATCTGAATTTTGGAAGAGTACTTCTGAGCTTCTTAGGAATTATCAATATTCAGTATTATTAGTAGAATAAATATGATTGTGCATACCTGAATTTTCGGACACTTTACTATCCAATCTGGCGTTACTCGGAGCGAATATTTTGCTCAGTACGCTACTTGCATTAAAAGCCTCATCTGGAAGAGGACTATCCCCTTGCAGAAGGTTCATGTATCTGAAAAATCAAGGACACTTTGTCATGTCGCAGTAATAATAATAGCAATAACAATAACATATCTCAAGAAACATACATGTTTATGCAGGGACACAAGAGAAAACATAAACTGAACTAATATACAAACAAATCAAATATCCAATAAAAATTGACTGATAAACAGTTGAATCAGAATCAATCAATATAAAGAATACATTTAAGTTGTTACGATATATTTTTCTAGTTCACTATTGAATTTCGTTATTGATATATTTTATTCTGCTGGGTAGAATTATAAATATTTATTCGAGAAAAATATAATGATTTTTTTCCCGAATTGTGTTTATATTTTGACAGGTGACAGACCATTTTTACTGATGTGATGCTCAAGGGTATCAGAATGGACATTGAAAGCAAGATTCGAGTGTTTTTTTCATTTTCAGTGAAATGGATGAAAATGCAAACAGGGTGTACGGTAAGGGCATGTCGTAAATGAAGAAGAGGGCTGATATAGGCGACTGAGATTAAGATCGTAGCGCCATGACGAAGAATGTCGGTACTACTCTATGGGCCATTGGCGGATTGTTTACATTGTTTGGTAATGGTGTTTATGTTCATTTCGCTTTGAGTTTTCAAACGTTCAGCTTTGTTATTTGTCTATTTTCGAACTTTGTATTTTCCAGCGGTCTATTGTGTTTTGATTGAGGACTATATTATCTCTGTTCAACATTAGATAACCTCCCTATTGCTCCCTACCTCTAGTTGAACTCCATATATACCAACATACATAAGCTGTAAGTTTTTATCATTATTGATCAAGAATTCTCATGAAAACCTGTGTAGGATGTTGATTTCCAATTCTAATATATGGTTGGGATATTCCCCTGACAGCATGATATTTTTAAAAGAAAATCCAGCATACTTTTTGGGAATAAAATGTTCTTTCGAAGGGGAATTTACGTATACAGTTTCTACTTGACTTTTTACAACATAATCATCAAAACCCTGATTGATAAAATTCTTTACTGTTTAAAAATTCTATTGTTCATGAGTAAAGATATAATCAGTTTAAAATTTGTTTGTTTTTTTACCATCACCTCAAAAAGTAGGTATTATATTCCTAATAGACATACATTTGATAAGTGAAGTGTAAAAAACAATATCTCATTATGTTCAGACACTTTTTCCAATCTTCAAGTTATGAATCCACATCTTTCTCCTACCGACAACTTCCTTGTTTTACAAATTATTAGTTTCAAATACAGATTTAGACTGTCCTGATTTTTGAAAGGAATGAGAGCTATACTCGGGATTTTTTTGCTCAAGATGGACAATTAGGTACACAACAATAATGACTCATGTTTTTAAACGTATATAGTTCTCAAAGAAAATTATAGACAATTAAAACACAACTACTTCTCATACAAAATACACGCAAACTAATGTAATCAAAGCAATCAGTGGCCCATACGTTAGTTATATTAGACAACGGTAGAGGGCGTACTCCTTAGCATGATTCGCCTATAGTGAACCAAAATTATGTTGGTACTTCATATGAAAAAATATCTATCCCACTTCGTTACGGACCTTGAAAGTTTCTGCAAGTCTATACATATCTGCATACTCATCATTACTAAACTCATCAATGATGTTACCAAAGTATTGAATACTATCAAAATAATTTGATGTCAATCATGACAATGATGAAACACTGGAATTGGATAATTTGGAGATTGGATTCGTTTTTGGAAAACTTCAAAAGTGTTTAAAGTTTTAAAAGTGTTTTTTAACCGCCAGCTTAGTTGCAAAGCAACCCTCGAAAGTCAGAGACAAAGTTAGCTTTTTTAGTCTCTCAGAAATTGGTTGCACCCTGGTCAGCCGGTATAGTAGTTCGTTTGATGTATGGTGAAGGGGATTTTGAGGGTGCCGGATTTTGGTAATGGCTCTCAGGCTAGCTCTTTCTGCTACTTCCAAATTGTTCAGTGCCATCTTCCTCGTGTTTATGTATATTGGGTGAGCATACTCAAGAATTGGGCGGCAAATGGTTTTGTAAGTATGTGCTGCAGTTCTTTTGCGGGAATGGAGTTAAAATACAAGTAAACGTCATGATAGAAATTGCTGCTTATTCCAATATGGAGGTGCATGGGCCTGTCTTGTTTTCTCCATTCATTTCTACGCATTCTATTTCAATTTGTCAATGCTTTGTCTCTGTTTTTTTGCTCTTTGGACATAAAATATCCAACAATCAGACAAACTTTATACGTCAGTACCTTGGATATTAACTATTAGAATTCGTATTTTGAGATTCGCAAATCTCAGGTTATTCAGATGATGAAATGAAAATATCGAATATCTAAACCTATCATCAGGTGGGCACTTCGAAGGCGCAAACTCATTACGGCATGGAAGATGTCTTTAAGATTTTTAGCTATGCAGTGACCGCGAATGAGTCGAAAGACATTCCGGAAACAGCCAGCCATTTGGAGGTCTATTGTCGTCACTCTATTTATTCTACATACTCTAATACAGACTATACCTATTTTGCTGGCACGAAGGCGGTGGAGTCAACGTCGTCAATAGAGGCGGTGGCCTGGTGGGCGGCTTTCTGGTACGCGGTCTTTCTTGCTGTCCCAGTTGCCCGAAACCTGATCTTCCCTCTTCTCTTCCCTCTTCTATCTCCTCCGTTGTAGTGCAATAGCCTTCGTGGCACGAGTACACGTTATTTATGCACTGACATTCGCGGCAGCCGTCTTCATAACGAACTTCGCCAGGCTGAAATGAGTAATTATTGATGAATCGAATGATGGTACATGTTCATATAACGGGGACACAGGAGACATGTAACAGTCTGTAGTTTTTTTATTTGGAGAGATACAAATTTGAAATTCACAAGGGTTATATTATCGATGATGACGCTTCCTTTGAACCCAATGACAATTTTCTTCAACCACCTGTTTGATCGGGAGTAGACCCAACTTTTTTTTTTCAAAGGGCACCCTGTATATTTCTGTAGCCTACCTAATTTGTCTTGAAATTCTCTATTCAACTATGTATCACAATTTGATATTCGTTCATTAATTGGCTGTTGAATCGCATTTTATTAAAATACATGAAGTTGGGCTGTGGCTCGAATGCAATGACATTTCGATGCTTGATAGGCTTATAAAAACTAATATCATTACTTAGACGATATTATCAGAATATGTTCCATACCCTAATCGGTCCCAGAAGATTTCCAATAATTTCATTACCAATTCATTTCATGATTACCAACCTTCACGGGTACACCCTCGTCATCGACACACAAACAAGACTCGATGGAAACGCAAGTGTGTTCGTTGAGCCAGAACATTCCCTTCGGACATGCCATCGTCTTGTTGGCCGACACGCAGCCCGCTTGGCATTTCGTCTCCCCGTCGCATCCCCCTCTCGATCTGACAACGTGGGAGTAATGGACGCACAGCCTGTCACATTCGATGGCGCAGTCGCTTTTTACCAGTCCAGGGGGGCAAGTATCTGAAAAATGATCGGAGATAAGGGTTGTGTTTGTACCCAGGCAACCAGATGACGTTTCAGTGACGTCTTTTTACGTCAGTACAATGACCAAGGTGACGTCAGGAGTTGACGTCATATGACGTGAATAGGTCACGGGCCAATAACGTCATATCACTCACGTTTATTGACGTCAGTCACCAAACTGTGACGTCGGACTGACGTCAAAATGACGTTCAAAAGTTTCCTCGAACATGGTGTGATAACCACCACCGACCTCTGATAACATATAATATTGATTATGCATTTTTGAGTCTGCTTGGTGGTCCCTCCGGTCTCATATGTCCATTCAATCGTCTATTGACGATACATATCTCCATCAGAATGAAATCAGTTACTCGTATTTGTATAAAAAATTATGTTGTTTGTGTCGGCGATATGTAAGCAATCCAAGAATAGTTCACCAGATTGGTACGTCACACCGACGTGGTTTTTAGACGTCATAGATACATCACCGCAACGTCATAAAAGTGACGGTTTCGATATTGATTGATTGTCTTTATTACCCCAAGAAACATTTCTGTTTATGATAGGGATACATAAATACATATAAAAAAATAATAATAAAGGGTTAACTATAATGAATTCCACTCAGTGGAAACGAATTAATATTGTGTCTTATAAGATTAAAGTTATATTTCATTCCTAAGTAATCAAATCATGCCACATATTTTTCTTTCAAATTGTCCTGAGCAAGTATTTTTTAAGATTGATTTTGAACCTTCTTGCATCATGTATATTTTTATAGGTACATCTATATTATCATTCGTATATATACTTATATAGCTTGATTGGTTTCCGAGATATACAGTGTGTCAAAGTTTGAGAAACGTTTTCTATTACTTTTTGGGTATATATAATTCCAATAGAACGTTTTGATGTTGATGATGTTGATTTGTTTCAATGAGATATACCAAGACGTACATATGTGTGTAAGATTAATGAAAAAACGATTTTTTCTGAAAACTTTTCGACACTGAAAATGCACATCCTGTATATATTGGTACGTCACAAACCTAACGGTTTCACATGATAATGTAAGTATACATGTTTTAGATATGGTCTGGCAAACATGGACGTCGATAGGACGTCCCTGCAACCTCATGAAACTGACGTTTTATTTTACCCTTCTAAGTGACGTTCACTCGACGATGAGATGATAGAAGGTACGTCATAGTGACTTCATAAATTGGTGTGTGACGTCTCTGACGAAGAATCACTAATTAGGGACGTCACAGTGACGTGATCATTCGTTATATGGTTGCCTGGTTAGTTATTTTGTCGAATGATCTGCATACATACCTGCAGGTTCAACTGGACCATAGAATTCTTTTCCACCTGCAAAAAATTATTATTAATTAGGGATGAAACAACATATTTACCTAATTCTGACATGTGGTATAACACTTTTCAAAACTGACGGTAGTTTTGAAACGTCCTACTTTACGTAACTAGTTGCGTAAAATAACATTAGTTGTCAAACGCGATATTCTTTGGAATGAAGGAAACTTCGAACTGACAAGTAAAATATTGTATCCTCGAAATTCTCGTATGCAATACAAGTTCATTGATGATTATCAAAATCAAAATGTTCGATCTTGAGAAACAAACTATGTTGCTTGACAACTACAGCGCATAGCACGAGTGTGGTTGCTTACTCAGCTACCATTTCGTTTCACATCTGTACTACTTATTGTAACTTTCTAGGTACTTTCTAATTGTGTCTGTAGATGGCCGTAGAGCCAAAACTATAGTCACACACTGATTATTTTTATATCAAGTATTGTGGTCGACCGACTTTGAGTTCGTTTTTTCTCCTGTTGAAAAATACTGGACCACTTTGAGAATGGATGGTTTCCATGACTCACATGATTGCTTGATGCCCATGACTTCAGCTGGCCAATCGCAAATCCTCTTCTCCGGGTGGTACATCATGTCAGATCCGCAAGTTTTCAGGACCCACTCGTTGCCCTCTTTGCCGGGAGCGCATTCATAGAAGGCGCTGCAATTGGTGGGATCTTCTTTGCTGGGACTGCCTATGACGCATGCGTGGTCGGTAGTGTGTTCGTACATCGGTGTGGTGGATTCGATCGGCGTGCTTGATTCTTCACCTGATCAGAGAAGATAATATTGGGCACTATGTCAGTGACGTAAAATTATCGGCCATTGAACAGCTGATGGGGGACAAGCATAAACATTTTTTATACGGCTGTAACACAAAATTGCTATTGTTTTACAGTTTTTGAGAAATCAATGAGGTGGGTACATTGTATGTCTTCAATTTTTTTCTTGTTCTGGTTTCCACGAAAAGGGATATCCTGTAATGTTTAGAGAACATCGTGAGAACCAAGGGAAATAAGGTAGGAATTGGTGTTCTTCTTAAATTTCTGGAGGTTATATGCCTTCAAGAACACCTCCCATGGCAATGTGTTCCAGAGCCTCGCTGTTCGTTGGATGAACGAGTCTTTGGAAAGAGATGTTCTGCAGGTCTACAAAGTGACCACGAAGGAGTGCGAAGCCTCAACTCGACGGGTAAATCTCGCGGGGACTGCCAAGGGAGGAACCATTGTTGATATTTCAGAAGAGCATCGTCCATGGAAATATCTATAGAATAGAGCCAGATCGCCAACTTTACTAAAGTGTTTCAGAGAAGTGAGTGAGTTTGTGAACGAGGCATCACCCACGAGACGAATTGCTCTTTTTTGGACAGAATCCAACAGTTTCAGGGTATGTTTGGGTGCTGCACTCCAAACATGGAAACAGTATTCCGGGACAGGACGGATCTGTGCCTTATAGATCATAAGCAGCTGACTGGAAGTGAAATAGGTTTTTGGGATGTACTTTTAGCAAGGGATCTCACGTGATCTCCTCAATAGAGGTTATTGCTAATAGTAATACCGAGCAGGTCTCCAAAGTGACCACGAAGGGGTGCGAAGCCTCAACTCGACGGGTTAATCTCGCCGGGACTGCCAAGGGAGGAACAATTGTTAATATTTCAGAAGAGCATCGTCCATGAAAATATCTATAAAATAGAGCCAGATCGCCAACTTTTCTACGGTGTTCCAGATAAGTGAGTGGGTTTGTGAGCGAGACATCACCCACGAGACGAATTGCCCTTTTTTGGACATAATCCAACAGTTTCAGGTTATATTTGGGTGCTGCACTCCAAATATGGGAACAGTATTCCAGGACACGTCGGATCTGTGCCTTATAGTTCATAAGCAGCTAACTGGAAGTGAAATAGCTCCTGACCCGAAACAGAAAACCAAGTTTTTGGGATGCACTTTTAGCAATTGATCTCACGTGATTTTCCCAAGAAAGGTTATTGCTGATTGTAATACCAAGCAGGTCTCCAAAGTGACCACGAAGGGGTGCGAAGCCTCAATCTCGCGGGAACTGCCAAGGGAGGAACAATTGTTGATATTTCAGAAAAACATCGTCCATGAAAATATCTATAAAATAGAGCCAGATCACCAACTTTTCTTCAGTGTTCCACAGAAGTGAGAGAATTTGTAAGCGAGGCATCACCCACGAGACGAATTGCCCTTTTTTGGACAAAATCCAACAGTGTCAGGTTATATTTGGGTGATGCACTCCAAATATGGGAACAGTATTCCAGGACAGGTCGGATCTGTGCCTTATAGATCATAAGCAGCTGACTAGAAGTGAAATAGCTCCTGGTCCGAAACAGAAAACCAAGTTTTTGGGATGCACTTTTAGCAATCGATCCCACGTGATCGAAATGGATGTCTTCAAAGGTATGGTTACTCCTAATATAGGGCACTGTCAGTGACGTAAAATTGTCGGCCATTGAACAGCTGATGAGGGGACAAGCATACACATTTTTTATACGGCTACACAAAATTGCTCTTCAATGAAGAGTTCAAATTGGTTTATTTGTCAATCTAAAATTACTGGTTTCATTTGAAGTTTTCAGCTTGAATATACCTAATATACCTCGTAATATAGCTCAAGAAATACTCAGTTTGCAACATTGCAACAACGTATGCACATTGTTTCGTATAATATCTACAAGTTCAACCAAATCACCAATAATGGGTCAACAAAATCAAAATTCACACAATGCTTTGTTTGTCCCCCGATCAGCTGAACGCATGATTTGGATAAAACCTATATTTGACTGAGAATTCAGATAGGAAGCAAATAAAATTCATTTAATTTTTCAATTTGGATTTTATATATCCCTTCATTTTCCAATTTCGATTCACATATGGATCACAGAGTGAAAAAAATACAAATAAACCAGGATTTTTTGAACACTCACCACAATAACATAAAACTCTGATTTCGAAGTCTGGACAGAGTTTTCCTTTCGTTTGCGATTCACAAATCAGACCTCTTTCCAAAGAACATTCAACATCCAATCCAGTTTCCTTAGGATAGAGATGTGATCCGACTGTACGGCACTCAATATCTATCATTTCAGTTGTATTGCATTTGCTTGATCCTTCCAAATTGTTCTACAAGAGAAAAGAGAAATAATTGCTACAAATATTCCGGAAACTGGTTGAAATTTACTATCTGCTTCACGATCACGTAATAATACGAAAATTTCTCTGCAAATATCACCGAAGGCATTGATTTCAAAGAAATTGAATGACAGAAGAAGGAAGGCTATATACACAGTAACTTATCAACCCTATAAGGAAAACAATAGACGAATAATTATTATGATGACTATTCCTTGTTTTCGAAGTCCACTCAGAATCGCTCATTTTCACGTCATATCTTGTATGACAGTATTTTATTTTTGACGGCACGAATTTCTGTATTATCATTTATTGTCTTGATTCAATCATAAAATAGTCATACGAATACAACTCGTGATACTATTTTTCCTGGAAATATTCGTCGGTTGACAAACTCCAGCTTGCAGCTTTAATTTGGCTTGACATTATCCCAAAACTTCTCGCTTACAGCTGAATAATTTTCATGAACAATGTCACTTGCGAAATTTGCCTAATAATATCAAGCTGTCATAATAATCGCCGAATATTTCCGGCAGAATAGTATCACTTGTAGTATTGAATATAAAAATACAATATCGAGGCCAATCAGATAGCCAATGAGACAAATTAAAAGGGCTGAATACACGTTGACTTACATATTCATTAGGAGATGAGTAAATAGGAGAATATGACTAAAATAACCTCAAAAATCAAACCAATCAATTCTTCTCCTTGATTTTCTCGCAGAAAATATGTCTAGACAAGAGAAAAAGGATGGCTATATACACATTCAATTCCGTATCCAAACCGATCATTTCTGCATCTAGATGCTCTTACAGAAAATATGTCATCAAGGAATAGATTGACTAAGAAACCTCGAGAAATCATCCTATAAATTTTTCAGCTGGATTTTTCCACAGAAAATAAGTTGAGATAAGAGAAATAGAATGGCTACATAATTATAGACTTACATAGGTACAATGAATGAACATTTAAAACACTGTCTAAGGTTGCTGTAACTGTAGAATGATCAAAAACTGATATCAACCCTCTGGCATCCAGGTCACATCAATCATGACCATTTGCATTTCTAAACCACCCGATTTGAATAAATCTATTCATAAATTAAATATGTAGAAAACACGCACTGGTGTGAATAAAATCCTAAGAATGACATGTAAAAAATGAGGTATGTTTAAGATATTACAGAAACCAATCGCAAGAATATCACTGGATAACCTTGAACGTGCCAAAAATTTGCAAAATAATCCGACTGAATTAACATTTAATTCTCGATGAGGCGCCTCAGCCAAATGCTCGAAACTGTCATAGATTTGGAGCAGTGGCGAGCGTGGTTAGTACCTACTTGGATGGGTGACCGTAAAACAAGCAGCGTAAAACCGTGAAGCTACAGCGAAATAGCACAACACAGCTCGCACATAGTCGATGAGATTTCTTCAACCTAGATACTGACCCTCAGCTGCATGGATATGATTACAAACTGCGCAAAGAAAATGTTCGCTGTAGGATATGACTCTGTATTATCCATATCAGTTTTTCTTTTATTTTGAATAAGTTATGTTGCTATAGTAAGATGTAAATATTATTAATAAAAAATAATAAATCTTCCAGTAGAGGAATATATTTTATATCGAAGATTCATGGAAGTATTTGATGATATCTATTATAAAGCAGGAGCAGGAGATTTTATACGCGTAGATTTTGAAAGTGACCAAACTCCAAATATCAGGAACCCTGAACATCAAAATGACATCCAACATGATCATATCAGAATAGATAAAAACTACTTGAATATGATGATGGAGAAATGGCTCAACATGACCACGGCAGGTAGAAATCAAATGAAGATAGGTCCCTTCACCGGCATAAATGAAGACCCTTATTCATGGATCGATTCATATGAGTTTGCTGCAAGATCTAATGAATGGGAGTCAAATGCGGACAAGATATTCAATTTAGGATAGCATTTAAACGGAATCGCATTGAAATGTTATGAAGATAGATTCAAAACGAATTTGAATAATATGGATTGGCAAGAGTGGAAAAATAGTTTTATATCAACTTTTGATGAAGAAACTATATCTAAATGGGAAAAACTTCGAATTTCCAATTCAAATATGGATCAATCATTGAATTTTATTTTGAAAAACAAAGATTATTGTCTTGGGCTGATTTGAAATGTCAGAGGAATCCACATTGGCCTTTATAGTTCTTGGCTTGCCATATCATATCCGAAGGCAAATTTCGAAAAAGGACATGAAAAATAAAGTCGACTTATTGAATGCTTTGAAATGTGTGAAAGCAAGAGTTCAAAGTTTCAACGTTCGATCAGGAAGAAGACAAAATGAATTTCAAAGGAGAGACAGGAGTCGTGATAATCAGAATAGAAGTAGTTTGAGGTTTCAAGAAAGAAGAGGATTGGAAAGTGGAGATAGAATTCAGGAAAGAGGATCAGAAAATAGAAATGTGGCAAGTACCAACAATTATTCTGATGGGAATGAAATAAATGACACTGAAATTTATTGCACATTTTCTAACTATTTAGAACACATGAATGATGATAATACAAGAGAAGTACTAATAAATGGTTTCAGAGTGAAGGCTTTATGTGACACAGGTTCGAATATTAATATCATCAATACTGATAAAACTGAATATATGATTTTTCAACAAAAAAATAAACAAACTATAAATTTAAATCTCAGAATTAAAAATGAATCTTTGAAACAAACTAATGAGAAAAAGTATCTTGGGATTTGGTTTGATGATAAATTGAAGTGGGACAAACATATAAATGTTTTGAAGAAAAAAATATCTCCTATTATTGGAGCCCTGAGAAGATGTCCCAAGCTGAATAAAAAAGTTGCAAATATAATTCTATATTCTCATATACTCAGTCGTATTAACTATTTGATAAATGTTTGGGGATACTGTTCAAAAAACAATTTTAATAAAATATCTGCATTATATAAAAAGACATTGAAAGTACTGTATCGTTTACCATATGATACACCAACAAATCAATTATATAAAATAACTGAATCATTCTCATTAGAAGAAATGTTCAAAATCGAAAGACTGAAAATTACATACAATATCATAAATAAAAGATTGAAATCTAATTTTATTTTAACACGAAACAATGAAATTCATAATTATCAAACTAGACAACATGGTTTATTTCATCTTGATATCGCTAATACTTCTATAGGCCAAAAAAGATTCACCCACGCTGCTCTCTTGGAATATAACAAATTACCAGATAATATAAAAAATTGCAGAAATACAATAAAATTCAAATACCATCTTAAAAAATTTATCATTTCTGAACGAAATAGATGACTTACTTTTGATTCATATTGAAATTGATTTTTGCTCAGCAATATGAAATGATTTGTCAAAATTTAATAATTAATGTTTTCAAATATTTTATTGTTCATCAGTTTATTATAATTGTATAGTTTTAGGTATTATTGTTAACTATACTTCCTTATACCAGAACTTGATTCTGACTGGAAGTAACATTTTCAATAAATAAATAAATAAATAAATAAATCAGTAAGAGTGTGATAAATACATTTAGAATTCCGATAATTCCCACAAATATTGCGATCCGAAGCTTATCAGTTTTAACACAATGTTATGAGAAATGTAGATTGGAACTGCAATTCAATCAAGAAATCATTATGATCACTCCAGCAATAGTAGATAATGTTCCGTTCGATTTGATCATTAGAAGAAATACATTGAAATATCGGAAAATATTCAAAATTAACGAATGTAATGAAAATTCAAAAATAGAATTTACTGACAAATATATTGAAGATACTTTCAAGAATTTATCAAGATATGATGATACAAAATCTTCAAATTTTGTAATTGACTTTGATTTACGTCCAAATTCTAAAATCATCAAACTGAAACCCTACAGATATCCAACGAACAAGGAGGAATGGATAAAAAACAAGACGAGAGGAATGCTTCATAATGAAATTATCAGAAAGTCTCACTCACCATATTCTTCTCCCTGTGTAGTTAAAAAAAATGATGGAACATTCAGATTATGTATAGACTATTGACAAATTAATGAAGAAACATAATTAGACCATTTCCTTTTCCCACGATAGATAATATTTTTGAAAAATTTGGCGGATGTAAATACTTCACTTAAGATAGATTCCAAAGATGGATTTTGGAACATAAGTATATCGGAAGACACGAGAAAATTCTCAGCATTTGTGACAGACGATGGCCATTTCGAATTCAATAGATTACCGTTCGGCTGGAGGAATTCTAGTGCTAAGTTTCAAAGGGTGATGCAAGAAGTTTTTGCAGATTTATTGAATGAAAAGATAGTAGTTTATATCGATGGTATAATGTGTGGTGACTATACTCATGAGGACTGCCAGGAAATAACGTTAAAGATTTTGAATAAATTGAACCACTGTAATTTTGAAATGAACATGAAAAAACACATTCTGTGTACCAAAAGTAGTATTTCCAGGAAGAGAAATTGATGGCAATACCAAGAAAATGAGAGGTGAATTAATTATTGAATAAGGTTAGAGAAATGAAGTAGCCACATGATCTAAAATCTTTGCAAAAATTCATTGGACTGCATAATCATTTTCGATGTTTCATAAAGCACTATGGGAAAATCGTTAAACATTTAGATAAATTAAAAAGCAAAAATAAACATTTCATTTGGACTGATGCTTGGGAAGAGGCCTTTAGGAAACTCATAAACCTAATGACATCCGAACCTATCCTTAGAATTGGATGACTCTGTATTATCCATATCAGTTTATCTTTTATTTTAATAAGTTATGTAAGATGTAAATATTATTAATGAAAAATGATAAATCTTCGAGTTGAGGAATATGATTAATATCGAAGATTCATCAAAGTAATTGATGATAACAATTATATTCGCACTTCATCTCTTCTCCAACCGTGTTGTCAATCATTGGAACTCTTTAACCAGTGGAATTGTGTCTGTTTTATCTCTGATCTCGTTAAAAAGCCGCCTGGACCACCGTATGAACATGATTTATAACTTATATTGATATATTGAGTACTTTTATAATTAGTTTATCTATTCTCTATTTGCTAAACATCCAATGCATACAATTATTTGGACTGTATGGCACAAAATGTTACCTTACTTTGTTATTATGAGTACAATGAGCCTCTGCTCCTGCTATCATCATTTTTGTGATAATAATAATAATTATCATTATAGAAAAATAGTTGAGAGGAATAACTCTAAATTTGACGATGCTCACCAACAATAGAGTACTAGGCAGCGCCTCCACCTCCTTGCTGTTCTGCCTCTTCTTCGTCTTCGATCCGCCGTTATCCCGATTGATCCAACTGGACCAGCCGGGCGTACACCGCCCCATCTGCTCCATCTGGTGCGTCGTCATCTCCGGCGCATGCGTCGTCACACACGGCTCGCCGTTGCAAATCTTCTTCTCGCGCGAGCAGTAGCAGCTGTGGCAGAGGTCCTCCTCCATGAGATCGCCTTCGTAGAAGGTTTTGTTGTTGATTTCCATGCAGATCGGCTTGCACTCGTTCCTGGTGTGGAATGATTGGACTTTTTCAATGAAATTTCAAAGCTTGTTTATGTACGGGTGTTTCAAAAACCATGGGCACGGTCTGCTTGATCAAAAATTAGACAAAGTTATGTTCACATCGCTCCAGAACGGCCTCATTCTCAAGATACAGGGCGTGGAAGAAAAATTTCAAAAACGAAATAGACACCTATTCCAGATATCCAAATCAAAATACCAATTGTATTCTCGCCATAGACTATTCAGGATGACGCTTCGCTCAAATGAACTGCTAATCGCCTGTATCAGGAACTTTAAACAAAGAGGACGATATATCTACATCTTTCAAAGAGGCCAATATCGTTACTGCGAATGTCAGATCGCCTTCGTAGAAGGTTTTGTTGTTGATTTCCATGCAGATCGGCTTGCACTCGTTCCTGGTGTGAAATTATTGGACTTGTTTAATGAAGTTTCAAGGCTTGTTTATGTACGGGTGTTTCAAAAACCATGGGCACAGTCTGCTTGATCAAAAATTAGACAAAGTTATGTTCACATCGCTCCAGAACGGCCTCATTCTCAAGATACAGGGCGTGGAAGAAAAAATTCAAAAACGAAATAGACACCTATTCCAGATATCCAAATCAAAATACCAATTGTATTCTCTCCATAGACTATTCAGGATATCGCTCCGCTCAAATGGACTGCTAATCGTCTATATCAGGAACATTAAACGAAGAAGGCAATATATGTACATCTTTCAGAGAGGCCAATATCGTTACTGCGTATGTCAGATCGCCTTCGTAGAAGGTTTTGTTGTTAATTTCTATGTAGATCGGCTTGCCGTTACAAATCTTCTTCTCGCGCGAGCAGTAGCAGCTGTGGCAGAGGTCCTCCTTCATGAGGTCGCCTTCGTAGAAGGTTTTGTTGCTGATTTCCATGTAGATCGGCTTGCACTCGTTCCTTGAGTGAAATGATTGGACTTTTTTAATGAAATTTCAATGCTAGGGCCCCTTGATGTAAATTGACGTATTTGTCATCTTAATAGGGTACGGACAGATCCTCGTCTTCTCTCACTCTCAACTGTTTGTGAAACAGTTATATAGTTTCATCTTTATTCATTTATTTATTTATTTATTGAACAAATAACTTCCAGACAGAATAGGCTCTGGTATAAGGAAGTACATAATTATATACCTATAGGTAAACATAGCATCATTCAAAATATATCAACAACTGTAAATTGGCAAACAAAGAATATTTGTAAAAAACACACTAGATTTCTGACATTTGTTGTTTTTTAGGTTATGTTGAGGACATTGGCGTATCATACGTAATTTCCACATGTAATTTCTTAATCAACTCTACATATTATATCCAAATGATGATGATAATTTTCGAGTTTTTGATTTTTCAACTTCAGCATAATCATTGTGAGGCAGTGAGCAAATTTTTCTGAAAGTTCAATACGTTTTACCAAATGAGACTGTTCTTAGGCAGTACTTATCAATAAATGAATTTTGATTTCAGACTAAGCCTTACGGTTGAGAAATGGTGGAAAATTTTAGGTAGTTAAAATAATGTGCTGTATATATTCATGTTGGGAATCATTTTTGCAGTTTTTCACGAACACTTAATATTTCCTGAATGTAGGTATGATTTTTCAAATGGTAGGGCATATGCTTCTTCTTTTCTTCCTCCGTTCTAATCAAAAGTGTTTCTTATAGTAATAATTATAAACACAATGAGAAAGTATAATATGAGATTTCGTTTCAGTTTTTCCTCGAATATTTTGCTGATGTATTTACCAATTTTCCCCATTCGGTCACTTCACTTTCTAGTTCTAAGTTCATTTGCATTTGATGGTAAGCTAACAAATTCAAATTTGCCATCAACTGATTGATACAGCCTAACGCAGCACATTTTACCATCTTTCCAAAACAGAATTGAATGATGTCGTATTGAGATCAAGTATGAAATTGACATTTTGTAAGATCTCTTTTAACGCCTATGAATGTGACGTGACAGCAATGTCATGTCAGGGACACCAATACACAAAACGAAAGTCACTAGATGATTAAAAAAGAAAGTAGCTTTGATCTGTCCGTACCCTGTTAGATGACAAATACGTCAGTTTATGTACAGGTACGGATGTTTCAAAAACCATGGGACACGGTCTGATTGGTCAAAAATTAAACAAACATGTTCACATCGCTCTAGCGGCCTCATTCTCAAGATACAGGGCGTTGAAGAAAAAACTCAAAATTGAAATAGACACCTATTCCAGATATCCAAATTCAAAATTCCTATTGTATTCTCTCCATAGACTATTCCGGATATTGCTTCGCTCAAATGGACTGCTAATCGCATATATCAGGAACATTAAACAATGCGTATTCGAGTACAAAGAATAAACGACGACCTATCCAGTGATAACCAAGCTCTACAATCTATATTGGAAACAATTATAATAATACCAAATATTTGTTCAAATACCGAATAACGATACCGTGGCTTACTTTTTTCCGTAAACTAGAACCCGTGATACAACTCAACTGCGTTTTACACTTCAAAAGTAGATATCTTCGTTTGCGTTTGCTCAACGTGCTATAAACTTGATTATTTCTCATCCCTGTCTATGTAGTATGCGATGAACAGGAATAAGCTTGTAAAATAAAAACTCGATCAACTTTAGCAGGTTAGAGGTTAAGCAGCCATATTAATAGACAGATCTTTGCTTCTTTAACATCTTTTTGATAACTTGATTATAATTGGTGACTTGACAACCTTGCTTTATGAATGGAAATGGAAGATTATCTGACCAATAACGAGAAAGCATAAAAACTGACATTATAATTCATTAGACGTATCGCCAAATGGCAGCCATGACGTTTCGTTTGAAATGAGCTCTGAAATTCAACGATTTTGAACAACGCATAGACGTATTATTCACATATAAAAAGCGTGAGAAGTGTTGCAAAAACTAATTTACACGACGTGGAGTAATTGAATGCCAATAATTCATTATTAGCCCACTTGCCCATTTTCACACAGAAGGCTAGATCTAGAACATAGTAGTTCAGATTGACTCCAAGAAAGTTTTCTGTCGATTTTCTATAAAGTAATTCAGAGTAAGAGGTATGGATATATTATTGCAAGATTAACTGATGTTTTACCTGGGAATGCATTCGAGGAGGGTAGAGTTGGTGTAGATTTGGCCAGGCGGACAAGGCTTCGGTTCGCATCCTTCGATGCAGGTGTCCTCGCTGCAGGACCTGGAAATCTTCTTGTTGACGAGAAGGTCCTCACAGGTTTCTTCGGGACATGTGGATATGCAAGGGCTGTACGTGGTACACCTAACGTCGCACTGGATCGCTGAAAAAAAGAATCAAATTGTTGTGGTTTTTCTGAGTTTTATGCAAAAAAGTATCAAACATATTTTCGATAGGTATTAAGCATGAACAGGGTATCTGAATAATACCGAAAAAATTCTAGAGGTGTTTCCTTGTGATATTCTAGCAAATAAAGTTCATATAAACATGTGTCCTAACTTGCTCCGTTTTAGAGATACAGGATGTTGAAGTTGGAAGTATTAATTGTTTTCATTCATAACCCTCCTGTATAAGCTTTCATGATGCCAAAATTCAGTGTGGACGGAGACTGAGAAAGCCCCAAAATTTCAGAATGATTCTAATTGGGGTTATTCAGTAATCTCGATAGAAGTCTTGAACACAAGCCTACTTTGAAATTTAAAGTCAAATCGAATTTTTATTTATTTTATTGAAATTGATGAGAAGACAATTGTGAAATGAATAGAAAAAAAGATTTCATGGAAAAATTCCTGTATCTCGAAAACGAAGCAAGTAAGGACACATGTTTATATGAACTTTATTTCCCAAAATATCACCGGCAATCACTCCTTGAATTTTTTCTGTGTTATTTAGATACATCCTGTTCACATTTGTTCATAGAAGAGAGATCATATGGGATTCTCTAGAACATCCAATGAACACATTTGATGGATGTCACACACATTTCTGGAATATCGTTCGTAAGTCTGAAACATTGTGAGATTTGTTGGACCTTAGCGGGATATACCAAAAATATCCCGTGTTGTTAGGGTTGGAACCGGTTCATCATCAATCGTCAGTCTTTGCTACGTAGGTAACTACAGTCAACTGTGGCTTTCAGCTAAAGTATTTGTCAAATCAAGAAGTGTTTATCCACTACAGGGCTTAAGCTGATAGTTCCGTAGCTTACAGCTACTAATACTTTTCAGAGAATTGGTTATATATCCTGGTTGTATCAGTAGGTACTTGGTGGTGATTGTATACTTCCAATTTACCCACTTATTGTGTACCTAACCACAAAAATTCAAAAATATCAGGCAAATTAGTTTGAAGTCTAATTTCCTTTAGATTTGGAATCATTTATGTACAAGGTGATTGTTTACATTTTACTCAATAGCTATCCCAGTTAATATTGGTCTTACGAAAACGTTCGAATTGGCTAAATTGAAGTATTTATCATGGGCATTCAGGATCTGGTACTAGATAATGCAAAACAGCATCGTGAACCTGAAAATTTTACAAAAACTGGTATATCCCGCTAAGGTCCTCCGAATGTCCCAATGTTTCAGACTTACGAACGATATCCCAGAGATGTTTTTGAGACATCCATCAAATGTTTTCATTGGATGTTCTAGAAACATCCCATTTGATCCTTTTTCTATGAACAAATGTATATATGCTTAATACCTATGTTGCTAATGATGACTGACTTGATTGAACGATTCAAACGATAATGATTGTGACATTTGAAATATTGAAAGGTAGTTGAAATATGCAAATCAAAATTGTACTCCTACTCATACCTCTTATTCCTACCTAACGGTGGTAATGTCATCAATATGAAATCGAACTAGTTATACTTACTATGTTCTGGCTGATGCCTATTGAATTTTCAGTATGGGTTAAATATACTTGGTGTTAATGAACGTGATCACAATATCCACACCTGAGGCGCAAGTCAAAGGTGACGAAAAAGAAAACGGGCTTATCGTAAATGGCATGAGAGTGTGCTGTTCTTGGACCTACAGCAGTCAGTATTATTAGAAAAACCTACCCGGTACTTCGAGTTTTGTTTGCTGAAGTTGAGTACGAAAGATATACAGGGTGTCCGGAGATAAAACCGACAAAACTCATGGGGTTATAGGGACTGTCAATATGATTGCAGAATGCCATGAACGAATGTCCAGAACGGCTTCGTTACTGAGATACAGAGTGATTTGTGGATTTTGACAAAAAATTCAATCCGCTATATAAAATACAGGGATTAGCCGATTGGATTTGAATTTGGTACACGAATTACACTGAGAAGCGTCAACAAGTAGCCTTTTGATTGAAACCAATATCAGGACCGGAATAATATTTTTCCTCTATGTTGAGTTTTTGTTAGGATAACTCACCCTGTATCATAATAACCAAAAATTTCAACTCAGATTCGCAATCTACGGTGAAAATTGTATGGGAATTTGTTGAAAAATCTCCTGGCACCATCTTAGTTATTCCGTAATTAATTATTATTTTGATTTGTTTCATTGAAAAATCAATCATTGTCGGATAAAGTACGTATATTTACGAAACCATGACATGAATGTCGTTATCTTCTTCGATCAGTTCATGAATCGGAGTAAAATGAGATATTCTCATAACCCGAAAAAACTGAAGAATAAATTCGTATCGGGACTGGAATGGGTGTTTTGTTTGGTCATGATGTGGAATCCAACAGTTTCAGGGTATTTTTGGGCGCTGCACTCCAAATATGGGAACAGTATTCCAGGACAGGTCGGATCTGTGATTTATAGATCATAGGCAGCTGACTGGAAGTGAAAAAGCTCCTTGCTCGAAACAGAAAACCAAGTTTTTGTGATGCACTTTTAGCAATTTGATCTCACGTGATTTTCCCAAGCAAGGTTATTGCATCACTGGAAGTTGTTGTTGTTCTTTATTACCCCCAAGAAACATATTTGTTTATAATAGGGATACATAAACATATGATATATATATATATATATATAAAACAATTAAAAAAAACTAATTAACAAGTTATGTCAATATAACATAATAATTAAAATAAAACCATTCCAAGTATTCAAATGAGAATAAATTGCTCCGTTTATTGTGTCATGAGTATATATTTTTTCATATTGACTTTGAATCTTGTTTCATCATCAATATGTTTCAAATCATAAGGTAATGAATTATATAAAATGATTCCGTTGTAGAATACTGATTGTTTGCCAATGATGGAGTTATATGGGTTTGCTATTAATGAATTCAACTGTCTCGTTGCATGAGTATGAATTGTATTTACTTCAGTAAAGTTCAAGTTGGATATTTTTATTTTTTTTCTCACAAAATGGATGAAAGAACAAATTTTCATTTTATATAAAGATGATAAATTCAACAGATTTTTTGGTTTGTAAAGATTAATAGTTGGTTCCAGGTAATGTAAATTGTAAATGCACTTAATTGTTTTATTTTGTAATTTCATTAATGGTTTCAAATGTGATATACTTGTACTTCCCCAAATTGATATTAAATATTGTAATTTTGAGTAAATCAGACAGAAATATATATTCTTCAAATATCTAAGAGGAATGAAATTTCGAATTTTGTATAAAATATAAAATATATGTTTAGTCCACGATAATTGTTCATCAATATAAAGACCTAAGAATTTTGTAATATCTAAATATTTTATGGCTTTCTGGTTGAAAAATATTGTTGTTTTCGACATATCAGTTTTTCTTTTTGAAATATACATATACGTAGATTTGTCATAGTTAAGGGTCAGCTTATGAATTTGTAGCCAAGATGATATCATTTTCAAGTCACTTTTTATATCATCAACTATATCGTTAAATTCTTTAGAGGAATAGATTATTGTAGTATCATCTGCAAATAACTTCAGATCTCCTTTTAGTTTCAAAGATGATATTGAATTGATGTAAATTAAGAATAAAATTGGACCTAAAACGGAACCTTGTGGTACACCACATTTGATCTCCCTTATGGAGCTACAAATATTATTGACTTCAACATACTGCTTTCTATTTTCCAGATAATTTTTCAACCAATCAAATATTTTTCCTCTGATACCTATTGAATATATTTTACTCAGTAAAATTTTATGATTTACAGTATCGAAAGCTTTACATAAATCTAAAGACAAGAGACCACATTTATAATTTTGATCAATTTCAAACTGAATATCCGAAATTACATCCATAACTGCTACCTCAGTGTCTTTCGATCGGCGAAATCCATATTGACCACTGTATAGCAGACCATTATTTTCAAGAAAATCAAGAATGCGCTTATTCATCATTTTTTAAATAATTTTTGAGAGGATCGGGAGAACTGAAATCGGTCTGTAGTTATTAAGGTCATCTCTTTTTCCAGATTTATGTATCGGTATGACTTTTAGCAATTTTCATTTTATCTGGTATAATTCCAGTTTTGAAAGATATAGTAGCAACATACAATAAAATCGGAGCTAATTCTACTTTGATCACTTTTACAATTTTAGCAGATATTCCATCGAATCCACAAGATTTTCGTACATCTAAGTCATCAATTATTTCTTCAACTTCTGAAATAGTTGGCGGCATCAGAAACATAGATAGAACACTTGAACAGTCCTCCATAGACTGAGAATTTGTTGTTATTTTAGAAGATAAATTTGGACCTACATTTATAAAATGATTATTAATTTCATTACATATTTCATGACAATCGTCAATTTTCACATCATCCACTGAAATATATATGGACTTACGACAAAGTTCTTGGGCCCGCCACTTGACGGGCACCCCCCGATTGCTGCACTCGTGCGCGTACGCGGCCAACGCCGTGCACAGGCATGCGCAGTCGCCGCCTTGGTCGCAGGCGCAGCTGTCGAACACGCACTTTTCGAAGAATCGGTCGACGGGCACCTCGGAATGACAGGCGGAGAACTGCGCCGATTTCATGATTCCGCACTGCTTGGTGGCCCACACTTTGCGGTCCGGTCGGCTCACGCAGGTGTCCTGGAAAAAAGACCAGACCACTGATTTCAAGATTTAATAATAATAAATCGTGTTTATTCGAACAGGTACGAGATAGGCGTAGTTTAGCCAATTGCTACTCTTACACCTAACCTAGCAAGTATAATATTATATAAAGTTATTGGTAATAAAGCATTCTCTGCAGGTAACTAGTTCAGTTAACTACAAAACATAATAATGAAATGAGAAGAACATAAAAGGAAACATGAAAGGAAGAGACATAATCATATATTAAGTACATATTTTGTATAAATCATATTATATATAATACACAGGGGAGCAGCTGCTGCGGCAGTATTCTGTGATTTCTCCAAAGCATTCGACTGCGTAAATCACGAAATAATGCTGCGCAAGCAGCACCACTACGGCTTCACAGACAATAAGCTCCAATGGTTTAAGACCTACCTGACCGGTTGTCAACAAGTTGTTAAAACAATTACTACCTCAGAGACCGCGCAGATAAATCATGGTGTGCCTCAAGGATCAGTCCTAGGGCCAATCTTATTCCTCTTATATATTAATGATATGGCATTTCTTGATATAAAAGGCGAAATCACGTTATTTGCGGACGACACCACTATTCTATGGCAAGATAATAATGATGAGAGATTATACACGAATGTGATGCGAGATATAAAACTAATCAAAGACTGGTTTGACTCAAACCTACTTTCTCTCAACATTAAGAAAACCAATATTCTGACTTTCCATTGTAATATCCCAAACATGGAAATCGGTAATGACATATTAGAAAATAGAACATCAACAAGATTTTTAGGTTTGCATATCGATAACGCAAGTTGATGTTCAATGACCATGTAATATCTATGTGTAAAAAGCTAGCATCTGGATGCTATGCCATCAGAACAATTGCCTCTGAATTAGGGTATGCATCTGCCAGAACAACATACTTCGCCCTACTTGAGTCCCACCTGAGATATGGAATAGCGTTCTGGGGAAGCTGTAGTAACCGATTATTTCAAAGGAGTTTCATGTTACAAAAGAGAACTCTCAGATATATGTGCCATGCAAAATCAACAGATTCTTGTAGAGAGTTGTTTAGGGATTGTGGTATACTAACTGTGATTTCTTTATATATCTTGGAAACAGCTTCTCTGATTTACAAGAATATACGGTCTTTCCCACTTGTCTCCTCACGATATAATACAAGACAGAGCGGTCAAATAAAATTGATAATCCCCCGCACCACTATGATTAAGGATTCTATTATTTACTCTGGAATAAAAATATACAATTATCTGCCAAATGACATAAAAGGAATCGCATGTTATAAAAAATTCCGTACTGAGGTGAAAGCATTACTTTTACAAACATCATTGTACAACTTGACTGAATATTTTCTGCGAAGCTTCAACTAGAGTATCTCAAATTGCTGTGTATATATATATATATATATATATACATTACCTATTTTGTCTGTTGGATCAATTTATTTTTATTTATTTATATACATTTCGAGTGTTGTCAACAAGTGTGTGATTTTAAAACTAGTGTTGTTCATTTATTTATTTTTTATGTATTTTATGTGTATAACAAGCTTTGTCAACAAGTGATAACTCAAGACAATAAAGTATATTTTGAATTGAATTGAAATATGGTCATATTACATTGGGATAATTTAATAAGATCAAATTGTTAAATTACTGATGGAGGGGGGGGGGGATTAAAAAAATAACTTTTTAGTGCTTTCCGTATTTGGGCCTTAGACAGATGCATGTAACTGATCATCAGTTTGTTATAAAATTCTACAGATTGGTAGGTGGATGATTTCTGAAACATACTAGTGTGATTACGCATCATGCATATGAAGTATATATTTTGATCTTATATCTAATGAATGAATTTTACACCTAGGAGTCAATTTTTCATGAAGCGATGTTGGAATTTTAGATTTCAATATTCAATACATGGTCATATTTCCGAATGAAGAAAATGAATCTACAGCAAAATTTCTGAATTTTCTGCTTTCTAAGTTGATCAAGTTTACTGAAAAGATTAGTATAAACAACATCACCATAATTGAATTGCGATAAGACCAGTGACTCAGTAAGAATTTTTCTAATTTTTTAATTGAAATAATGCCTGTTGGAGTAAATACGCTTAAGGGTACCAAATGACTTTTTAAGCAAGTCATTCATGTGTAGATTGAATTTCAGGTCAGAATCAAATTGGATACCAAGGTTTTTTATGGAATTCACAACAGGTAACATAGTGTCATCGATTTTTATTGCAATATTTTGTGAAATAACGTCCCTATGACTTTTATTACCACATAAAATCAAGTGGCATTAACTTTTATTTAGTTTCAAATAATGTTGGTGAGCTGACTTAGAAATAGTCTGTAAATCAGAGTTGACGAAGTTTTGAATGACTCCGTAATTGTGAATGTTCAGACTAGTATAGAGTTGAGTGTCATCCGCATATGCTTGAATATTAGAGTAGTCAACAGAGGTCAGAATATCACTGGTATATATTATAAATAGTAATGGTCCAAGAATTGATCCTTGGGGTGCACCAGATGTAACATTTTTTGTGGATGACATAACGTTATCAGAACAGACTATTTGATTGATTGATTGTCTTTATTACTCCAAGAAACATAGTTGTTTATAATAGGGATACATAAACATTATACAAATTATAATAAGATATAACAAGTTAAAAAAAAAAATGCAAATAATCATGCAATATCAACCTAGTATTTTATAAGTAGGTATTCAAATAAGAAATGAAATTATCAAAGTCTCTGAAGCAGATATTTTTTTAAGTTAATTTTGAATCTAGTTGCTTCCTGTATATTCCTCAAATGACTTGGTAATGAGTTGTATAGAAGGATTCCTGTGTGAAAAATTGATTGTTTGCCAATATTTGACTTGAACGTATTTGCTATTAGTAAATTTGATTGCCTTGTTCCATGATTATGTAATGAATTGATTTCATTGAAATTTAAATTCGAAATTTTCAATTTATATAGGACAAATTGAATAAAACAACAAATTTTAAGTTTATATAGCGATGTCAGATCTAATAAATCTCTAGGTTTGTATAAATTCATGGTTGGTTCGCGAAAATTTAAATTGAAAATACACTTCAATGTTTTGTTTTGTAATTTCATTAGTGGACTCAAACGTGAAATATTGGTACTTCCCCATATAGATATTAGGTATTGAAATTTTGAGTAAATAAGAGAGAAATAAATACTCTTCAAGTATCTGGTAGAAATGAAATTTCGTATTTTGAATAAAATGCCTGTAATAGGATTAAGTTTGTTCCTCAAATGATCTATATGTTTATTCCACAATAGTCTTTCATCAATATAAAGACCTAAAAATTTTGTAACATCTGTATATTTGATGAGTTTATTGTTGAAGGATAGTGTTCTATTTGAAATGTTCAATGTTCTTTTTGCTATGTACATATATGAGGATTTGTTATAATTGAGAGATAGTTTATGAACTTGTAACCAAGAGGATATTTTCTCTAAATCACTTTTCATGTCCATGATAATATTATTTGAATCTTTAGAGAAATAAATCAATGTCGTGTCATCTGCAAATAATTTAAGTTTTCCTCTCAATTCCAAGTTTGATATTGAATTTATGTAGATCAAAAATAAAACTGGTCCCAAGACTGACCCTTGCGGTACACCGCATGAGATGTTCATTAAGGAGCTACAAGTACCACTCAATTCAACATATTGTTTTCTATTTGATAGATAAATTTTGAACCAATCATGAATTCTTCCTCTGACACCAATTGCAAATAATTTATTTAATAAAATGTTATGGTTGACAGTATCGAAAGCTTTGCATAGATCTAATGACAATAAACCGCATTGATCATTTTTATCTATTCGTAATTGGATATCTGAAATAACATCCATAACGGCTACTTCAGTGTCTTTCGATCTACGGAATCCATACTGACCACTGTATAGCAGATTGTTATTTTCCATTTGGCAACGGTTAGTGAGATAAGAGAGAAAGAAAAATACTGCATCATCTGAGAAGCCAAAATATTTCAATTTGAAGCATAATAAAGTATGATTTATAGTATCCTCTCCTAAAGCCGGCCTGAAAATCAGGGATTATATTATTTACGTTAAGTTATGCTGAAACTTGATGATGGATCACTTTTTCCAAGATTTTTGAAATAGCAGAGAGTATACTAATTGGCCGTGAATCGCTAAAATTTTCCGGTTTGGATACTGTATTTAAAGGTTTAACAATGGCGATTTTCCATGAGTTCAGAAAGTGAGTTTTTTCTAGACAACAGTTCCGAATATGTGTAACATAAATATCTATGAACACGTGAAAACAATGAATGTATAAATGATATCATCAAGTAAATGAAAATAAGAAATATTGAATTCGAAATACATAAACAGAATAATGACAATCCAGCATTCTACAATGAATATGAAATACGAAGTAATAAATGCTATGATCAAACGAGCAAAGGCCAGACGGCAAAAACTCCATAGTAAAACTTACTGATATTTCCAAAGCGTCTGGACAATATGGCTGAAGTCTCCAAGAGTCTCCAAAAATATTTGCTGATACTTCAGTAAGACCACCTGAAGGTGTTTGGAAATCGTCAGCTTCGTTATCATTATAGTTCCCACAAAGTCCTTTGGTCTGAAAGAAAATAGTTCTTTCTAAATATTTTCTACTACATTTTCCGTTTTAGCTAACAATGTCAATTCCTTCTGGTTCAATCATTCAAACGCTGATAACGAAATGATATATGTAAAAGCTTCACAAACGATAAGATTTCCACATAATTCTTAAACACACAACATACATTTAATTACTTTGTTCTGAAGGATTTTGATTGGCTTCATAATTGATAATCTAGCTGTACCCCACACTGAAATCAAGTATGGCGATTTTGAATAAACCAAGGAAAAATATATACATTTCAAGTATTTCAAAGTGATTTGGTGTCTGATCCTGTAGAGTACTCCGATTTCTGGAGATATTTTCTTTCTGATCGATTCAATATGTTTGGACCATGACAAATGTTCATCAAGGAATATCCCAAGGAATTTGATGGCTGTGGAATATTTGATGAATTCACTTCACAAGGTCCAGATTAACATAAGGGGGGTATTATGTTAATCCCCGCTTGGGCTTCCATACTATAATGGTACAGTCGAAGATGAAACATTTCTTCTTGAATTCAAAACAAATACGAGTGCTGTTATAAAGTTCTATGAATACAGGCAAAATTACCTTATCTTTCCACTTGGGATCGATTTTGACATAGACTCTTGTCCCTCGATCCCAATGCACAGATAGTCCCAATTCCGGGGCCTCAACGATAACAAACAATCCTTTTTGTCTCACAACTAGATGCTTGTACATCTTGTATCTCGCCGACAACTTATCTTTTTCTAATGTGATGCTATCCTTCTCGCTTCCTGATGTCACTTTAACTGAGACAGACTTGGAGCAAGATGTGCCCAATGATCCACAAGGCACATTCTGAAAAATAAGCAATAGTATGAATAGTTTTCAATGTTTCAACTGGTAGTGAGTTGCTTAATAGTATATTCCATTAACGAGCGCTTATTATCATTAGCGCAAGTTGAATACGACTATACATTACTACGACTATAACAATATAAATACTAAGGTACAAGTACAGAAGAAGAACAATATTCGCAAATCTTAATAAATAAGTATGACAATGCTTTAAACATTTCAATTTGATTACGCATTTTGTTTTTTAACCAAATCAACTTTCAAGTTTGCACAAACAATGAACCGAATATGTGGGACTGAATTATGGAAGTTTATTGTGTCCTTTTGTGATTGTTGCATATATATGTTATTGATGTACTAACTAGTTATTTGCAGTATCTATCTTATTCTTTCGGAATCATCATCGTACCCCTCCGCCACAGTTGCGGCGAAAACAATGCCTTGTATATAAATTACAGTCTGACAATTTTAAGAATGTAGCAATGTCTTTCCCCATTGCTACAAATTTATTAATGCATTCTTTGAGAGTGATATTTTCCATTTTGAAATTTAAAAAATAATATCGTTTGCGATATATCGGTAGGACGAAGATTTGAATAATATTTCTTAACTATGGTATAGAAATTTTCGGTAACAGTGAATTTTCTGTCAAATTCTATTTGGTACCGGCATGTATATGTACATAAGGACCTTGAGGAAATCCAGTTCGAATATAGTTCCAAGAATCTTTTCCGATTTATTATAGTGAGTTATAGTAGTGTGTTACAATAACTCAGTTTGTTTGTTCACAGATACTATTAATTTCTAAAAAGCAGTTGGAAAATTGATATACAATTCAATAGTTGACTAAATAAAAAAAAACTCAGCTGGTTGGCTTTACAACAATTCAATAATTTCATGAAAATAACAGTTACACTCATTTTGATTTAATTTAATATTCAAACTTGTTCATTGACTATTTTTAACAGTATTGTAACCGTTTGTATTCCATTCCTTCATCAGCCAAAGATGAAATCAACTTTCCTTAGAAGTCAGCTGATATCCTTTCTTTGGTATAACTGCATTTATCATGCGATGGTTTTTTTTCGAAAATTTTTTTTGGTACTTATATTTTTATCTAAAACACACGAATTTTATAATGAAAATGTGAACAAACCACTTATTATCGAGATATTTCAAGCAAAAGTTCGAAATTTCGCCTTCTTTCTCCCCTTGTATTGGGGGCATTTAAAACTACTTACTCTTCTTATTTTGTCATTGGACACTTTATATACTCATGATGTACTTCAATGACACTTTTTAAGATAGAAAATTCAACAGAAAATATGATTTTTATGGCGAGTTTTTCATATTCAGTGAACAAGCATTCCAGATGATGGCCTTTAATCAATAGTCAATCAAAATACGAGATGTCAAATGTCAATAAATTGCTTTGGAATGACATTACACACGCCATTATTTTAAATGATATTCTTCCTTCTTTTCACTAAATATGGATAAATCTCAAGAAAATCATATTTATAGTTGAATTATATGATAGAAAAAAATGTGTCATACATTGTTATATATAGAGAGTCCAATATGATGAAAAAAGGGAAAATTGTTTTGAATGCCATCTAGAAGAAAGGCGAAAAAGAAGGTGAAATTTGTAACTTTATAGTCAAATATCTCAATAAATAATGGTTTGTTCACATTTTCATTATCAAATTCGTGTTTTTCAGACAAAAATACGTGAGTACCAAAAAAAAATTCTCGAAAAAACCCATCGCATGATAAATGCAGTTTTACGTTTATTTCCAACTGAATTTGCTGTCACCCCCCTAGAGTATTTCAACACTAGGAAATGGAACTAATGTATACAGATCTGTCATTCCACCTAGGATAATGAAATTATTATCCTGACTTATGAATAATGACAATTTATGTAAAAAAAAATCCTGAGCCGCTATAATTTTGTCATTATGACGACAAAACTTTGTCGCATGTTTTCCAGGGACAAAACGGAACCTCACATTTGAAACCATGACAACAAGAATTGTGAACTAATCTTGATATATAATTGAAATGTACAATTCGAGTTTTGTTACTTTCGAGAAATTTAATTCATAAAACTGTCAGAAAAAATCTTATTGAAATGTCAAGTTTACTTGGACAAAAAAAGCTCTCGTGTGAGTAAAAATATAACTAAGAGAAAAGTTGATCTTTCAATGACCGTGCCATCATTTTGCAAATTAATCATATATCCTCAATAGTTTCTTACCTGTATTGTGACATCGAATGCGTTTGAGCCTAAGCTGCCTTTGGCCAAAATATAGTCGCATTGGCCTTGATAGTCGAAGTGTTTGCCATCGAATGTTTTGTAATGTGAATCACCCCAAGCACTACACTCTGCCGTACACTGCCTATCGCTGCACTTCCATTTACCGTTCTGGCATAAACTAAATAAACAGAAATATCAACTAAGAAAAAGCCAAAATGCTTAAAGTGGAATGAAATGTTGTATAAATACGCGAAGCTCAAAGTCATTTTGTTATAGTTCTTACTCGGTTTTAGTTGTATTATAGAGAGATGAAAATTGTGTATATCATGAAGAATGGCTGTAAGAATAAGTGGACATCATGGTTACTGATGAGGATTCAGAAATCCGAAATGGTTTCATTGCAATAAAGTCATATAACCTGTGTGTGAGAGATAATATTTCCCATATCACTGGTATGATTGATTATTTTTGGAAGTTTTCAAGCTCATCAAGATCAGAGTTTATGCCAGTATACTTCTCCTATACATTCCAATTTTCATTTCAATGCTGAATATATTGGTAAGTTATATTTCTCTATCATTATACATCATATTATTCATCCAATTTGAAGAAGAATGTCAATTCTCGATGTCGGAGGATTTTATTTTTTCATTTTTTATTTTTCATGTTCTCGTTTTGAATGTTCATCAGATATAATTCAATCTTCGACTTGGCAAATAGTCAGAAAAGTAGTTGTTTTCTGTTGAATATTCAGTATGATGTGTGCATATACATATTTTTGTCTGAAGGAGAATGCAAATTCTCAATTTCAGAAGTTTTTTATATTTTATTTTCAAACTCTTATCGTGTGTGTTCAATAGATATAATTCAATATTCGTCGTGGCATATAGCCAGGAAAGTAGTTGTTTTCTATTGAATAAACTGAAAAAGAGTAGATATTCTCATCACATAGAGAATGCGAATTCTCAATGTATTGCTTCATATTAATATATATCCATTTTTGTATGTCCATAATTTATCTGAGAATATTCCTTTTCTATATAGTTTTCGTTCTTCGTAGCCGGATTATTATTGAATCATACACCTTTCCAGGTAAATATTATCACGAACAATATCACAGTGTATAACTATTTTTTTTAAATAACACGTGATATATCAACTCAGTGATAATCATAAATTTGTTTCATGATTTCAGGGCAAATACAGAATGCCCATTATTAATAGTCTCCATGATAATTACTAAATACTTACCAAGTGTTGCAATCACTCTGAACTGTAGAATTTTCTTTGTAACTTTTCCCGCCGTGATGGCAAGGACATTCAGTCGGTTTCACACATCTTTTCGACACAGTGTCCAATACGTGACCTTTCTTGCATTTACAACCAGCATGGCATACAGATGTTGTGTATAGATCAGGAGAGTGCATATTCTGAAAATGAAATCGAATTACTTCAAGTGTCAAAAAATACATTCTCAATACTGCTCGACCACATAATATTTCGCGAGTGTTGTAAATTGATAAAAATTACATGATATTTATATTGATGTGTTTGTTGTACCAGGTAAAATATGTAAGGGTGAGTTTCATAGAAACTAACCAGTCTCGATGCAGAGGTATAGATTTTCTCTGCCTAGGCAGGAGGATTATCATTATTTTGTGAAACTCTTGACTTGACGTTAGTTTGTTTGTCGATAAAATTTTCCCAAATCCTTTAGGTTACCACTTACTTTACAGGTAACAGGTTCGACAGGTTCACATGTTGTGAATTCCATATTGGCGGAAGCGTTGCACTTGGAACTCAAATCATTGGCATTTGGATACTTTTTCATTTCTTCAGGTGTAGCTTCTCTGCATTGCCATAGGGCATTGGTGCATGTACTGAAAAACAAAATTGTGATTGCACCTCAGATCATACAAGGTCTCGCTACGTTCATATGGACTGCTAGTAAACACGCAAACAAATTGTGTACAGTTGGATGTTCCATTCCGCTTTTTTTATCAAAACTTGACTTCCACAGCTAGAATGATAGGCTAGAACGCTTAACGGTATCCTCAATCAGAGATGGGTGACTTATCTTTGCCCCAATCCAGATAACAACAGAATTGCAAGCTGCAATATGGAGCACTGCTGTATACGTTGCAAAAATATTCTTCAGGAGCTGGGAAGGACATGAAGGCCGTATCTTTTCATGGATAGAAAGATTCTTTTAGTTTTTCTTGAGACCATACTGCTAAGACGCAGTGGATTGACTTCTGTAGACTAGAAGAATGTGAGGTGTTCGTCTCAGATAGAGCATCTCCTTCTAGATGATTTTATGGACAACAGAGCTAAAGGAGGTCTTCGAGTGTTTTTCATTCTGTTTATATTATTTATTTATTCCAAATATTCTTAGTTGATTTGTTTTTCAATCAATAGTATTTTCATTCATACTGATCACTTTTGTTTCAATGTACCTGAATCAAATTATTCTTTGAGTTGTTTTCTTCAATGAATTATCTGTATCGTGACATGAAATTGGCAATAATCTTTCGAGAATCAGATAATTAGCTACCTCAGTCTTCAGTGCTTTCATTATTGACTCACAAAATTCACATATATTCGTTTTTTATTTAGTGAAGTTGAGTGATTGCAGCTATAGGATTTCAAAATTCTCCCCTTCTTCAACAATTCCCGGCACAACTGTGAAATGCTGACATGCACAGTAACAATCTCTGAGAGAAGCAGATATATTGCCCTCTTTGTTTAATATTGGCGTATTTTCCACACTCAGAAAATATAGGCGACTACCAGTCCATTTGAATAAGCGACAATGGTCTAAGGATTGCACCTATATCGTATGTAACGTGTATTCAATCAATAGAAACCATATTATATATACTGACACTAGAATTCTAATTCCCATCAATTTTCACAGAGAAGAGCGTGTTCATATGCGACTTGTTTCATGATGTGCACATACTCAGTTTTAGGTTAATTGAACTAAAACGTTGCCAGATTTTCAAAAGAATTATTGATAAAACTATTTTAATCGAGATTAAACTAGATATTTCACATGTGTTGTACAGAATTGTGAACGTACATGATTACTGTGTCACTGAATGTTGAAAATCCTGACTTAGACCACCCAGTATCCTAGACAGGAGTTGTTAGAAAAATGTCACATAATTTATCGACTGTAATGTCAAGTTATTAATATAATTCTGTTCTTAACTGAGCTTTATTGAACCTTCACAACGAATCGATCAGGGCAGTGAAAAACATATTAACGTAGTTTTCACACTATATTTTGTATTTGTACTGTTCACAATTTGAATCCGATGAGAAAGTTATTTAATCACTATCAAGCAGCTCACTGCCTCACAAAGATTATGCTGGAGTTGAACAACCAAAAACTCGAGAATTATCATTATCATTTGGATATAATATGTAGAGTAGAGAAATTACATGTGGAAATTACGGATGATACGCCAATGTCCTCAATATAACCTAAAAAACAACAGATGTCAGAAATCTAGTGTTTATCCCCAGAAATGAATAAAGATGGAACTATATAACTGTTTCACAAACACTTTAGAGTGAGAGGATCTGTCCGTACCCTGTTAAGATGACAAATACGTCAATTTACATCAAGGGACCCTAGTGTCAGTATATATGATATGTCGTCGGATGTCCACACTCTGTAGGAACCAATCCATCAAGTAACCCCCGTTACTTACCACAATTCCGGAGCTTTAGACGCAGGCCGCACTTCCTGGTACCCGGGCGGAAAATCCATTCCGTCCCACTGACACTTGCACCGCCCGATGGGCACGCACTCGCCGTCCTCGTCTAATGCCTGCCCTTCCGGGCAGTTGCAACCCTCGGCGCACTGCCGCCTGCAATCAGGTTCAACGGCGATGTCGAAGCAGGTCCGGGTGCAGGAGTTACCGCACACTTGGTACTTCTGTCCACCGGGACAGTGCAGTCCGCACTCGCGGACTTCCTGGCGCCAGTCGATTTTGATGCCCTTGAGGGAGCACTCGGTGGCGTAGCTCGATAGGATCGGGCACAGGCATCTCGATACCTTCGAAGTAATGGAAATCTTTGGTAGAAGTCCACATTTCGTGAGATCAAATTTCACTTCAGAAAATAATAAATAGAAGACGTACTTTCTGAAAATTCGCAGAGTTAAAATACGATTTCCTGTGCCAGTACGACGTTGCCGACATCATCAATATGTCTAGATTTCCGGAAATTGTTCTTTGAATGCATAATAACTATATCATTAACAGCAATAGGACATAATAGGTTCTTCAATCCTACTTTGCCAAGTATTATGAATAATTCTCATAAATATATCATTGGCTGAATGAAGTTGATTTCTAATGAATATTTATTATGACATTTTGCGATAGTATCTATAATTTTTCTCTATCGTTATATTAACATATGTTATTCATAACTTGTCAGTCATTTTATTATATCTCGCAACAGCGCCTAATACGGCCGTCCACTCCACTCAAAATACTGACAGGCACAACAAGAGGAAGGAGCAATTTGTGTCGGCTCCATTCTATTCTGACCGATGGCAGTAAATTAGAAAGGATTGTAGCATTGAATGTAGCCAATAGTGATTCATTGATTCAATGATAATTCCGTTTATGTTCGAGCTCTATTCGAAATATGCATAAATAACAAAACCATAACCTGTCAGAATGAAGCTAACTACCTTCTGCATTCCTGCTCCGAGTGCATTTGTGGTTATGTATGATCCACATGATCCACAATTTAATTTTTCAGAACTGGAAATTTTCCAGGAGAAATATGAATAGTTAGTGAATTAGGCGTCCCGATTCCGAATCTGAAGTGATTTTCGACCTATTTTGACTCCTACTATCATTTTTCGGAAATTGAGGTGGTCCCATGGCTGTTGGCGAGCAGTGTATATCACTGAAGATGACCCCGCTTGGTCATAGAGTGCATTTTTGGTATATCTCTCGCTCCAGCGAATTTCAGGATCCTTACCCAACGATTACGAAATATACAGAGGTGTTTCCATTAGAAGTGGGTCACACTGTACATCAAATTTCTTTTCACTCCACCTCGTATACTTACTATCGATATCGGAATCAGTCGTACTTAGTATTCGGCAATTAATCGGTGGAAACGATTGATGATCTTTCAGCTTATAATGAATTCATGTGCCACTTCAAAATCGTTTATATTCGACAGCTAGACTATTTGGCTTTCCTGTCAGGAAAAATCATTTTTCATTATTTCCAGAGTAAGAACTATTCATACAATTCTGATTTGCACAGACTGAATAATGAAAAAATACCATATGATGCTGAATTCAACGGTTTAGACTGTATATTAAATTTCTTCTCACTCCACCCCGTATACCTACTTTTTATAACGGAGTTTGTCGTAATCGGTTGAACGGATGACGTAGCTAATCAGTCATGATAGGATGATGAATCAAACAATCAGCAGTCTCGTTCTAGATTTCATCGCATACGGTCGAATTAAGTGATATAAAAATATCTAGAATTATTCTAAAGTGGAAAATCGAAATTGATCTTCGGTGTAGTGATTGTAATTCATTTGAGTGTGTGAAAGTTGTCTTTTTTCAAGAAGGTATTTGTTTTTGTATATGGAAATGGATGTATTCATCAAATGGCTAGTATTTCGCTTCGATACATTTTCATATGAGTACGATGAAAACATTTGAAATTCGCTTTATATACCTATATATACAGAGGAACTAGATGGATATTAATGCAACATGTTGCGAAGATATTAGCCATTCTGTTGATAGTTAACAGGAATCGTTTGAAATTTCGTAATTATTTAGGATGAAATAATTCGCATTGTTAACGTATACAGATTCACTGAAAATATGTGTTGGAAACAGTTGCAAAACACACCATTTTGTAGAGAGTTATAGGTATACAAGACTATACGAAAATTGGTATATCACGGTGAAACACATGGAAGTGAATCGTACTTTGATTGATATCTATGCACAATATTGTTTGCATACCATAATTGGCAATTAATTATGATAACAAATCGTATCGGAATTCGAAATGTCAACAAGAATGTTGCTACTGATAGTCATTCATATAGCAAGTTGTGAAATGTAACATTCTTATTCAAATTGGAAAAAACTTTGTTTCGTAAGTAACAAACGTAAGAATCATTTTTGTAATCTTTGATCTTCAACATTACCAATTTGGGAATATAAAATAGTTATTTTCTTTCAGCTAATAATTAATTTATTTGCCAATTTGAAATTGTTGATATTCGAAAAATGAAATTTTTGACATTATATTTTCTGACAGGAAATGTTTGATTCGACAGCAATCGATTGATAAAAAAAATCGATGAGTTCGCATCATTTCCAAAGTAAGAACTGGATAATAAAAAAACACATGATGCAGACTTCAAAGAGGACACTGTATATCAAATTTCTTTCCACCTCACCCCGTACACCTATTATCAATATCGGAAATAGTCGTACTTGTTCGGGAATTATTCTGTTGAATGGATGACGTAACTGAATATTCAATGATGAATTAAACCAATCGGCAGTGTCGTTCTAGATTTCACCGCGTACAGTCGACTCAGGTGATATAAAAAAATTATTCAAATTATATCAACATTCCTAATATTATGACTCATGACATGACGTTGAGGTTGGAGTTTCCCTCACGGGAAAATGATCACATCAGCACAGTTCATTTATTTATTGTATTTTCAACTCGGACTGCCTAAAGCGGCGTTCACAACCAAACTTTTTACGTTTTGCTTTTTACGTTTCGTATTCTGATTGGTGAAGCAAAATCTGTAATTGAAATGACGCAAAAAGCTGAAAATATTCAGCTTTTTGCGTTGCGAGAAGCCATCGTCTGTGAAAATAGTAAAAATTGACGAATAATATGGAACATCTTGTGATAATATGAAAGTTATGATGATTTTTTCGTGAATCCACAGAATAGTAGATAGGTATATTGTTCAATTCATTATTCTCTTGTTGAAGATTGTTTTTTCTTTTCAAGTATCGAATAAGGATCAAATTTCCTCACCGCCAGTTCTATCAATTCAATATTATTAATTATCTGATCAATATTATTGTTATAATTATTCACTTCATTTCAGGATGAAAAACAAGTAACAAAACCAAGGCAACTGAGCTATAAAAAGTCACGTTGATTTTTTGTTGTTGTGAATGACATTTGCATTGGTTTAGTTCACGTTTAATATCAGATTCTGCTTCACCAATCAGAATACGAAACGTAAAAAGCAAAACGTAAAAAGTTCGGTTGTGAACGCCGCTTAATACATTATAGGAATCGAGTTTATTGATAGAGTATAGAATTTTTCGTGTGAACGATTGTGCATGTCCAAAACCAAAAAATCTGTTTTGACATATCATTTGACCACTGCATGGAATATAGAATAGCGGAATTCAAATTGAAGAGAAAGTGAGGTAACAAATTTGAATTCAAAATGAGATCGGAATTCTTCTGGTACTTTAAAGGCACTAGATTTATGCATTTGTTCCATAAAAAAATATTATCTGGACTTACTTTGAATTCACAGGAACACATGTCATACAAGCAGTCTTGATAGTAGTCATCAGGATCAACGAACCAATGACAATCTGCGAACAAGATATATAGATATTAAAAGAAGTTATGAATTTTCGAAAAATTCAAAGGAACTTCGCTTGAAATACATCATATTCGATAATGTACTTAAAACTGATAATGTTTTTGCTTCAGATATGCAGTCGCGATATACAGAGACACGGTATGTCTATTCGCATGTTAGATCAGTCTTTCTCCCACTATTTTACTTCAGCTTGATCGTACGTTGCATATTGTGAATAATATCACAATATGCATATATGTGATATTATTCCTGGAAACATCAATTATCCGCCAATTTTTGTAGACTTGATAATAAAAAATATAGAATACTGCCTGTAGGCCAATATATGAGGTGGAATTTTATTCCAGTAGCCGCATTTTCACCTATATATTTTGTTCAAAATTACGATATCAACACAAACGAATTACGAAATATTTATCAAAATATCAACAATAATATCAATGCACTGTATGCCTTCAGACTACGCGTGTTTTGTTCATTGAACTCTATGTAAACAACTGGAAGGAATACTGCAATTTTCTCGAATAGCACAGAGTTTGTCAGGGGCAGCTGCAACAAAGATAGCTTGTGTTACGGTAACCTGTCTCTTTCACACTCGTGTTGGTTAATGGCGGATTGGTGTATACATTTCCTTTTATCCAATGATTGGAGTACTTGGAACCTATTTTTTCATATGAACAGACAAAAAAAGTGAAGACAGAAGTCCATTGTTTTTTGTTAAGTGAAACATCGCTAAATTTGGCGAAAGGACTGAATTTGTAGGTGTGGATTGATTGGTGTTGACAGGGTTTGTGATTTGGAATCAATAAACAATGTAAAAACTTCACAGACGATAAGACTTTCACAAAATTCTCAAACACACGGCATGTTTCGCTAACACAGTAGCTTGGTCAGGTGATACAATGAACTGAAAATTATATGAATAATAGACAATGGTTATTTATTGTGTTGCCTTTGGATGCAAAGCAAGCAAGACAAACAGAAGTTGTCTTCCATGGGTAGGTTGAAAATTGTTCGGATATGTCTGTGGATATGTGTGTGGATGTTCATAACTTGGATTCTAAGGACGGTGTTTTTCATATGGACATTGATTTGCCTATACAACTTCCAGCTCCCGAGTTTCAAAGTTTATTGATAATGAAATAAAAGCTGTTTCATTCAAGAAGGCCTATTCTATTGCGCAGAAAAGTGAAAACACTGAAACAAAAAGTGAAAAGGAGAATGACAATCTCGATGAGGTACTAAAAAACATTTTTAAGGTAAAAACTACAAGTTCAAATTTTTAAAATCACAAGCTACATCATTTTGTCTTTTCAGGTTTGCCTTTGGAGCTTCTCCTTCTTCAGGAAGGAAAAAATGAAGGTGTACATTCTGGGCGACGCAGATATTCATCTTTAATAAAACAATTCGTCCATACATTGTACTTTCATTCACCTTTCTTTCACTTTCTAATAGAAATGTTTATGGAAAAATAGGTACCATTAAAAATTAGGCTTAAAATAGACCTTAGGTACTCAATATCATTCAAAAACCTCTTTTCAATTTTTTTCTATCGTTTCTATTTTTCGTCTGATAGTGCTGAGACATTGAGCTTCGATCACCCTGTACAATATATTGTGACATTTGAATGAGAATATATAATTTCTATTCTGTTTTAATTCGACATCCTAATTCTGTAAGAATTAAAATGAAATATCACTTCTGAGTCAATAAAAATCAATAATTATTTTCGAATAATAATTGATTGCATCATTATCCCTTTTCCTAAATGAATATTCATATTCAATCACGTTTACTCTTAAATTAAAGCAAAAAACGAGAAAATATTTCAAATAATGCGAGCGCTTCCCATTAGCCAACATGAGATAAAAATAAGAGATAGATATCCGTAACCACTGCGGGTTGCCTGAACAATATTTCTGCCTCACTCGTCCTTCACAGAGGGTTCCTTCCAGTTGTTTACATTGAGTTCATTGTTTTTGTTACCAACAAGATTCTGCGACCATGCGGATGACGGCATCATATGACGATTTTGGGACGCGAAACTGGCATACTGTGTCTCTTTGTGATATGTAGGTACCCACCTTTGAAAAGATCAGACTTTATTTTTGAGCAATACTCCACAGCTGTAGCCTTCTTCTGTATATTTTTATCGCACGGATGTGAAGATAAAACTTCTGGTAAATCGTTACACTTCTCGCTAGTTTTCCACTTATTGGCGAATGGAATCACAGCTTGTTCGATGTCGTCTTGAGGTGTGATGAAGTCGTCTTTCTGATTGTCATTGAAAGTTCCACAAAGTCCCTTAAAATATTATGATCATTATGAGAATGGATTAGCTGAATGCCATTGAACTCACCCTTGTTTTCTCTGCAAATTTAGCTGGAAGATCAACGTATACTCTCGTCACGCCATCCCACCATATTTCTATACCATTAGGCAATTTTGCTGCAAATCGAATCATGTTATGAGATTTGGCCATTTTGATTTATCAATGCTAATATTATAAAGAAGAAAGATTTGATTGTTTGATTGTTTATATGTATTGGATGGCCTCCGAAACTACTGGATAGATTTGGCTGAAAATTGGTGGGGAGATAGCTTAGATCCAGGAGAAGGTTATATGATGCTAAAATGATCTCTGACAATCTCTGACCTTCAAGGGCCACGGATTGAAGAACCACAAGTGCACCGTTCAAATCCTCCTACACAAACTCCTTGCAATATCTGGAAAAGGTGACTTAATAATTCCTTACTTGGATTCATCAGTTACTTCATTTGAGCATAACATACCTACTTTCTCACTACTGATTCTGCCGCAGTTTGATATGTTAGATATAGACAGTATAGTAGATTTTCCTTGAAAATCACAAATTTTCTCCGGTAATTATAATATGGAAAAAATTTTCAGTAAAGGCGAATTATGATAGGGCAAATAGAAAAATGCAAAAAAAAACATGAAAGAGATGGAAATTGTTGGATATTATAGGATAACATCCTGTATACAATCGAAGAGTAGTTATATCCATTATTGATTTATATTGAACGTCCAGCGACGCAAGAGGAAGGAAAGAACTGGGATATTGCTGATAGAAAAGCCCGTTCTGACTTGATATTATCTATAAGCCCGTGTGAGCTGAAACAAGTTAAGGGCTGTAATACATCCCGTGAGGTATGGAATAAACTTCACAGCATATATCAATCAAGAGGTCCTGCCCGAAAGGCAACACTACTTAAACAAAAATAGCAGAATTGGTGACAGAAACTAACGCGGAATCTGTTAATTTCACTTGCTCAACCATTGAGAAGAGTGAAAACCAGGTTGAGGTCTACTATGACCGAAACTCGACACAGTGGACTTTGGCTCATTTCATAATGAATAAAATTTCGTAGTGTGCTATTAGTGTTCTGAATATACGTTTGATATATGAACAGAATTTGTTGCAGCATTTCAAAAAATGCCCTACTGCCCTTTCCTAAATTAAATCCTGGCTACTTCTATGCTTCTTAAGGTTATTTCGATATAAGATCAATAGGTCGCGTGCACGATGATCGACCCTGGAGGTAAAACATTGAAACACAATTTCACTTTTCTGTAAAACATTGAAACACAACCTCACTTTTCTCATTTGTTTACAAAGAAATCAAAGGATTTAAATAGTTTTTCACAATATTTTGACATACGAATTTTTTTTGGGCTATTGATTAATTCAAGCATGCCATCACATTCCAATGAGAAATGACAAATCTTCAAAATGAAATCTATGAGTGAAAAATCGGATAATTCGTCTCTCGCTGCATTTTTTGTGCATTGTACAACAGCACAACGTGATGACATTGAATTAATGAATAGCTAAAAATCACGATTCATATGCCAACATTTTTTTTTATCGCTTGGAGCGCACGAAAGGGAATCCCTACAATGTTCAAAGAACATCGTGCGTTCCTAGGGAGGATAGGGACAGGAGGTAGGTAATGGAATTTTTTTTTGAACTTTTGGAGATTATATGTTGTTGGAAATACTTCCACAGGCAATGAATTCCAGAGCCTAGCCGTTCTATGGATGAAGGAGTCTTGATAAAGTGCTGTTCGACATCTTTCGAGGTTGACAACGAAAGGATGTGCTGACTGGGCTTGTCTAGTTCGTCTGATTGGTATTGCTAGTGAAGGGATGATAGCAGAGATTTCCGAAGAACATTTCCCGTGGAAGTATTGATAGAAAAGTGAAAGGTCGCTGACCTTTCTACGGTGTTCCAATGATGTCAAAGAGTGAGTGAGTGTGGCGTCACCCACCACATAATTGTGGAAAACTATTCCAATCCTTTGTAAACAAATAAAAATAAAAATGAGGTTGTTTTTCAATGTTTTACAACCAGGGTCGGTCATCTGACAGATCTTGCACACAACCCATAACAATACCAATTACCTGGCAGATCCTAGAATGAAGCAGGAATAACCTGCAAATTCTGACAGGACACTGCCATCTAAGATACCATTGAACCAACTAACAGACTGTCGTTTCTGCTGTGTGGAGGACGAAACAGCTGAATACATATTATGTTCATGCTCTTGCTTAGAGATACTAACGTTCAGAACATACCCAGGAAAATCTCACTCTATAGGGGTGAGCCACAATAGACCCTTCTGGGATCACAGTGGAGGGGCGGTAGTCATCCCACTCCATTGGAACCTAACCTAACTTAAGCTGTTTCCTCAACAGCTCATCAGTATTTTCATTTTCATTGTGTGTCCAAACTCAGGTGAATTAATTCTTAGAGCTACCAATTATTACTCTTTGTCTTCAGAAACCTTCAGAATCTCCGACAATTTGATAACACGTTTATTAGCGACAGCCTCAGACATTATTTAGATTAAAAAATGCGAGTTATATAGAACATAACCACAATGGAAACATTACAAATAACCCCTTCTCCGTTGAGAAAGATTTGTTCGGAAACATATCTACAGAATATATCTAGGTTTCTTGATCCATTAATTTCCTGTTAGCATTCACCACAATAATTCGAATTATCTCATTATATTATTAAATTTTCATCAAATAATCAGTCCATTGTCATCATCATATATTATTATATAATTATTGTACTCACTGAGAAGAAAAATGGAAGATACACTTCTGATTTTTATGCCTGCTATTTCGAATGGGATAATTGAAATATCTTGTCCATCGACCACAATTTCATGGTTCTGTTTCAACTTTATTATATGTCCACTCATCTTGATGGTTACCGTTTTTGTGCACGAAGGTAATCCGGAAGATACACTTGCAGGAAAATTCATTGCCTACAACAATTTTTTTTTCTGTTTCAAACTGTGTCAATTGAACAAAAATTTGTTACCTGTGAGATGGAACCTGCACAAGGGGTGTTCTCAGCGTCTATTGAAAAATTCTCACTTTTAACCAGATAATACGAACATTGTCCCATGAAGTCGAATTTTTTGCCATCAAAGGTAACGTAATGGGGATCTCCAATCGCTGAACATCTGGCACCGCAGTCAACCTAAAGATAGATATAAGAAGTATTATCACAACTGATGATGGCCATTAACTTGTGAACAAGTTGCACAACAGTTTGCTAGCATGTTTTAGAAAATGCTCTTGTTGTTATGATTTGAGTCTTCTATGTGAACAACTTTTTTCTTTTTCTTAATTGGTGTCAACCATAACATTTTTCGAATTATTTCTCTCATATTTTGATTCAGACATCACAAGTAGATGTTGAGAAAATGGTATTTTCTATCGATAAATATTTTGTGGAAAAATTTGGTACCCTATTATAAATAGAAAGCGCTATTTTTATAACGCAGCAGACTTTCAAAATCTCCGATGGAAGGGTTTCTATTCGTGGGGTTACCTCAAATCCAGAGTATTTTTGGACAGACCAAACAATTTGGAGGAGTTGAAAAAGAAATGCTGAAGAAACGCACTTTTCTTCAGCATTTCTCTTTCAACTGCGGAAATGGTTGAAAACGTGCAAAGAGGTTCATTGATCGCCTTGGATATGGTCAATCCGTGAAAAGCAAACATTTTAATCATTTGATTTGACTTGTTGTTCTTTTTTTACTGAACTAGTCTTTACCTATTGATATGTTGATTCATAATCCTTCGATAACTGTTTAGTTCAGAGGTCATGGTACTTGAAATATACCTAGAATTCGGTGCAAAATTCAAAAATGTAATTCCTACAAAATAAGTAAATTCCGGTTCGAAGAAATGAAGTTGGCGGTTGTAAATTTTTATTGGAGGCTACCTTGTTTACATGAATATACCATTAAAAACACCGCATCAAGAAATAAAAATCCCCGGTACGAGCGTTTTTTGCAAATTGGTTGATAGAATTTGAAAAAACATTATTTCCTAACTAACTATAAGTTAATCGTCCACGTGGCTTCAGTCGCTATAATGTAGAGGTTTGTTGTGGTCAATTGTCCGTGTGCAGCGTGTCTTTCATTTAAGGTTCAATATCGCCCACGTTCGTGTTAGTAAATGCATTTTAGGATACCGAAAAGGTTCCAACAATGGAAAAGAAGCCTTAAAATACCTTCAAGTCCTTAAAGGAAACTGCCACACAAAAAATAGTAGATTGTTTTATTAGGATCAAAAGTGACACTTTGTTTGACAAGCGAAGTCACTTTTGATCCTAATGAAACATTATTCATTCCTTTCCAAACTACACTGTGTTTGACTTGATAATCAAATAGTGGTAAAGAATATCGTTGTTTGAGACAACAAACTATTGCTTGCCGTGATTATTCAAAAACAAATTATCCATCCCGAGAATAACGAATGAAATACAGCTCAAGCAAGTAGGTGAATTTTGAAGGCTTCCCAGATCAAAACAAAAATACTTAACTAAGATGTTTATAATTCCTATACTTAACTACAATAAGGTGTATTTATATCTCCACCATGGGTATGAAATGCCAAATCTGCCGAAATCGGAAGCAAATCAGGTATGCGTCCGAACCCAAATAACCAACCGTAACAATGTTGTTTATTCTTGATACGTCTAGTACATCCCTTTTAGTTCCTAGGAGTGAACGTTCAACTTCAGCTCTTAGTAACTGTAGTCCAACTTTAGCTCCTAGGAACTAAATATGTTGCCTAGCAACATAGGTACCTATTTTTGTGTCAGTAATAGAAACGTCAATTTAAGAGCTAATTTTGGTATCAAAATGGACGACTTTTGTGTCGGTTGCAGAAATAGTATATTATGTAACAAGTGTTATAAACGTCCTTTTAGTAACGAGTATTTTAAGCACGAGCGGAGCAGAGCAATGCAAGTGTTTGATGAACGAGTGTCTAGAAGAGTTTATAAACGCGTTACAGACTATGCTATTCCTACTAACCTACAAAATAATTCGAAACGAATGGAAAGTGCGAACATCATGCAACTGCATGCAACCAGCGATACACGTGATAGTGATATTGGTTGTAGATGTGTCCAGTCCATTGCTTACTAACCTTTGTTTCACGTTTATTGTCATGGTCAGTGCAGAATAAATAAATTATTCCCAAAGATGGATGCTTCATTTTCACACTTCTTGGAGATATGCAAGTACCAGGACATTCTCTTCGATTTCACTTTCGTCTACATTTCGCATATATTTTTGATGAAGAATTCTGATACAAACGAAAATTGTTTGAATAATTCTTATACAAAATTCGAAAATAACTAGTTGACAGTTAATACAATTGACAGGCCAGACATGTCTCGAATTGCTGAAGCTGTGTTGCAATGGTAATGTGTTTGAGAAATCGTGTTGCCATGGTAAAGTGTTTAATATTTTGAATAAATCACAAATCGTCAATCCGTGATTAATCAATCATTTAGCTTGGAACATATCATACTATTGTTCTCTCTCTCTCCTACTGCCATCAGTGTCATTATTCACAATATTCATAATATGCATAATCCAATATTGATAATATAAAAAATTTCATTATTTACTCATTCTGAATTTATATCGTATTCTTTCATTTCCTGCACTAAGTATTTACATATAGATACTTAATTTTCATTGTATTTTGGGGGGTACTGGCTTTGTACGGGTATGATTTGGAAAATGTTTGAAATTTTACACAGGTTAGGTGGTAGAGCAGGACTCCCCCTTGGGGGAGTACCTGAACCTCGCCTGGGAAATGATAATATTTGTTCTATTAACTATGCTGCAAATCTTCTTGTCCAATAAAGACATCATTATTATTATATCCGTACGCTGAATGCCATTTTAGTTATGTGAGTAGAAAAAAATTGTTTTCACCTGTGTGCAAATCCACTGGCCTTCGCTGCACGTGCACGTATTACAGCCCTTGGGCACCGAGGACCCGGGCGCGAAGCTCTTCCCGCGCAAGCTGCAAGGGCACTTGTCCCTGGCGATGCACCTGCCCGCGTCGAGGACCGTGCCCTCGGGACAGAAGCACCCCTCCACGCATGCGCCCTCCTCTTCCGGTTCCATCTCGGAGATGGCGCCGCAGGCGGGTTGGCTCTTGGCGGGACCGCAGGGCTTGTATACTTTGCCGGCGTCGCATTGCATTGCTGAAACGGGGAGACTGTTGGATCTGGAGCTGATCACTTTTTATATTATGTCGTTGTCATGATCATAGTGGAAGGAGAAGATGGTGTGCTCAACAGAAAGCTCAAACTCGTCTTGTTCTGCGCATGACGTCAGCTGGGATATAATATAACTGTCATTGTTATTATTTGTTTTCGTGATTGATGTCTCGAACTTCAGATATCAAGTATATAAGTACTAAAATTAAATTAAATAATTTCGAAATGGCTACTTGTTTCGTTTCTGGTTATGGAAATTCCAAATAACATACAAAAGGCACAGATATTGAATTTTCCTGCTTTTCCAAGAATGGAGACCTAATGAAACGATGGGAGCTTGCTGCCGACAGAATATAAACTCAAATTATGGTACCTACCTTTTATTCCTTATATCCTCATTCCAAAGTATTCACCTATCATATAACATTCATATTACAGCACGTATTTCTTCATAACATTTCCATGCAAAATGTTCCCAAACAAGTGCGAAAGTACGGGTCTTGAATTACACATCTCCAAAAAATCACAAATATTTGAAACAAGATGCCATTCCTACAGTACATCTTCCAAATATCTAGTCAGAAATAATTGAAAATGGAATCAAAACTCTTAATTACTCACAAAATACAAATTGCAGCAAAGATTTGAATAACAAAACGGCAAAAATTGATACTCCTGTTGTCGATGTCGGAGCAGAAGTAACGTCAACGTCGTTAACTGCTGAATTTCAGTCTGTCAGAATCGACACAGTAGTGGATCATTGGGATTGGCAATGCATGATAATTCGTATGTATTTGCTATTTGCGATTGCGAATTACCTCAAGAATCAAGATCACAATTTCCAGAATCAATGAAATAGTAAAATCGAAGGAATAGGTACCTGTTCATATAAATTGAATTATTTCTTAACAGATCGAGAAACTTATAGAAATTTCAATGAACATGATTGAATTCATTGCGCACGCCCATGGCAACGGTATCCGTCTGTGACTAGCAGCTGATATTGGTAGCCCAGATGACGTCACATAATATGCGAGTAGGCACACCATCTTCTCCTTCCACTATGGTCATGATTATTTTTTATTGATACAATTGAATTGATTTTTGAATTTTTGATATTGTCGATCAAGTTTTGAGTAATAAATCTTTAAAAGCTACAAAACACCTAATTACGCTCTTCTCGTATCTACATTCATTTGCTACATTATTTGGCGACCGTGACAGGACTGCAGAATGTGTGATTTCGAGATACTGAACAAAGAACGAGCTTTCTTGAGACAGGTGTTTCGGAAGATTATAACAAATTTGGAAATAGTCTTAAGTGAAAAATCGATCCAGAAAGAAGAGATTGCCGTACTGCTTGACCAACTAGAAGACAAAGCTAAAAGAATATCAATTTTGGATGAAAATATCGCCGAAGAACTCATGAAGAAAAGGATAAGCGATGAAGAATTCGAAGATGAATGGGAATCTGTTTAACTATATAGAAATGAACTGAGGTTCAAGTTTCGTTTAGCTGAAATCAGTTATGGAAAAACTGTTGCTATGGCAACCATTGCCATGGTAACAGGTAAATAGAAAACAAAATCCCGTGGTGAGGAAATGCGTGGTTGCAAGTTGTATCGGGTTTAGTTTGGCTGAAATCAGTTATGGAAAAACTATTGCCATGGTAACGAGTAAACAAAAATCATATTCCCGTACATTTGTGTCTCTTAAATTTGAACATACAATAAGGTTTTGCTGACACCAAACCTTGACTCGTCTAACGAAGACATTTTGAACTGACACTCTTGTGTCATTTCTTAATCAAGAAATGGAAAAGTCAGCGCAATCTTCGACCCTCAACTTTTGTATCACAAAAGTTCTTGATAGTATTCAAACAATAACTTGATTCGAATGAATACCCTTCTTATCAATTTCTTGAAGACTGTTCGTCGTTGATCAATTCCCAAATTACTACTTCTCTGACAATCATATTATATGGAAATAACGTCAGGAAAAAATAGGCTCTGTTATGTAACAGAGCTAGACAAAATAGCGAGCGACAAAATAGTGCGGAACAAATAGCGCATAAGGACTACTTTTTCTAAACAATCTAACCTAACTCGGCTTAAATGAACCTTCTTAAAAAATATATATTTTTGAACATCGATCAGATTTGGTAGCAAGGCATCGTTCGTGTGTGTTTGAAGACTGCATAAAACAGGACACTACTTTTTCCAAACAATCTAACTTGACTCGACTTAAATCAACCTTCTTCTTAAAAAACATATATTTTCCAACATCGTTCAGATTTGGTAGCAAGGCATCGTTCGTGTATGTTTGAAGGCTGTTGCTGAATCAATATGTGCGCGTGAAGAAAGATATGAGTGAATCGAAATGAAGGCAAATGGAAATGTGGGTGGGCCTAACGAGATGTTTCCATCTGTATCAGACAATCAGTACCTGCAGTCTCTCTTCTTATATCCTGCGCGATACCTCGTAATGAATATTCCAAAATGGCTCTGTTTCTTTTTGATTTTGTCGAATAGGTAGCTCGGCACGCGAAGGATAGTTACACTGAAGAGTGTTTTTGAAATTAATGAATGTAGCAATATTTCTCCGATACAACTTGGCAACCACGCATTTCCTCACCACGGGAATAGGATTTTTGTTTTCTCGTTACCATGACGATCGTTGCCATGGTAACAGTTTTTCTATAACTGATTTCAGCTATACTAAACCCGATACAATTTGGCAACCACGCATTTCCTCACCACGGGAATCGGGTTTTTGTTCACTAGTTATCATGACGATCGTTGCCATGGCAATAGTTTTTCCACAACTGATTTCATCTATACTAAACCCGATACAACTCAAATACTGTCTGTAGGTTAATCGAGGAGGTGGTACATTCATTTTACTTGGTTCTTTGGGATTTTCTCTCCTCGTTTCTATAAAATAAAAGTATTCGTATTATTTCAATATATTTGTAGAGGGACAAATCAGATGATTTGCCCCAAAATGTCACTGCGTTTAACAAATTTTTCTATCAGGGAATCTAAAAGAAAAATCCAGTAGCTTGTCAGTGACAATTTGTTTGAAAAAATTTTTGAAGGAAAGAAATATAGATATATTGAAAAAATATCGAATTTGTACAATACATTGTGGCTATTTCGTAGTTGATGCGAATTAGTGTTTGAGATAAGGCTTACCGAATGTTAATTGCCACATATTTGCGAACATCTTGAGTACATTCTTATAGAAATTCTGGAAAAAATTCATCATTGTCATCAAGTTTCAGTTATGTACAATAACTCAAAACTGATGTGTCTCCAATATATTATCCATAAATCCAGAACAGATTCCATTTTCTCAACGTTGTCACAGTTTTACTCTCCGAACGTACTGTTGCAGCCAACTTTGGGAGCTAACTTCAACAGTCTGAGTTCTTAGCTACCCAACCCGCTGTTTATGGTATCAAGTTAAGAATCTGTTGTCTTTTGTTACCCTGAATATCCATTGAGGAAGGTTGAACGAAGGATATTGATTTATGATGAGTTCCCCCAACTCGAACAGTTATAGTATATATTTCTCACCCCTCCTTCCACATATTGGTCTATGTCTTCATGCACAACTAGTTAATAAAATGGATAAAACTACAACGATTTGAAGAGGAGTAACTGATGGTAGAAGAGGAGTAACTGATGATGGTAAGTTCTAGGGGTAGTGGTAGTAAACAAATCTTCATTAGGGCTATACCCCAGAAGGAGATTGCTCAATGTCTTGTCTTGAAAGTTGGTCCAGAAGAATATATGTTTCATCTCAATATCGACCAATAATAGATAAATAACCAACTTACGGCATGTATCGTCATCTCTCCAGTTCATCAATGATTTTACACCTTCATGAGAGCAGTCTCTGACATAAACGTTCAAAGTTTCACAAGAACATGAGGAACGATCTTGATTCTTGCACCGACAATAGTCCGAACGGCATGCGTCATAAAGAGAAGATATGTCAACAACCTAAAACAATGAAGTCCTGAATTTTCCCTCGAACTTTGATGTGCAATGACATTCAAATGTCAAATTGTCCGCTGCCTAGAGATAAGTATTTAAATTGTTGCATTTATTGCTGCTCTGCTATTGAGTATCAGAACTTTGTTGACAATGTTCTCAGCGAAGTTCCTGAGCGAATAAAAAACATTTAAACAGAAATTGCCACTCACGTGTTGACAAGCGTTGAATCTTTTATCAGTCATGACTTTTTTGCAAAATTTCGTTGCTTCATGTCCTGCAGAACCCTCTACACCTGTATCTTCACATACTTTCTCTTCCTCAGGTACATCATCACATTTATCTGAAATTATAAATGCAAAGTTTATTTTTCAAAACATTCATAATTTTGAACTGATGTAATGTATTAACAACACCCTAATCGACATGCTCAAAGATCTAACAATATAAGTTTACTCTACTTGATCCACTGAAAAATGACCATCGAGTTGACTGCATGTATAACAAAGACCGATATAGTTTTACTCAACAATCAGTTAGCTGCTCGTAGCCTCTCTCTCGTTTGTCGAATTGATTGGTTAGATCTCTCTATTTTACTTTTTTATTTAATTAATTATTGCTAATTTTTAGGTGCCTCAGTATATTGAGCAATGTTATATTATTGATGGTCTTGTCAGTTATCAGATTACAGTCATATTATATCTTATTAGTTTATTCGATGATGTATTGAATTTAAACATATAGTAGAGATAAATTAAAGAGATAAATTCTTAGGGAATAGGGTGATAACTTTTGCGATACCACAAATATTCTTCAACATATGAATACATACCTTCAAGAGCTTCAGCTTTCCAACTGGTAGCAAATGAAGCTAAATTCTTAGGAAGGTGTCCGTCTTCCATCATCAGATCATTAGTTGGGTCACCGTCAATTTTTCCACATAAACCTTCAGTTCTGTTCCAGAGATTTTCTTTTACTTCCACTTGGACAAAATGCTGAGAAAATTAAGAAAATGTTTGTGGACAACGAGAAATTATAACTGATTATGTTATATCATGTTCTGACAATGATGCCTAATATTTTCAGTCTCACCAGTCAGAGCTAGAATGCTTTGTATTTGACACATTTGTTTTGACGTTTTGAAGTTATGTTTTTGCCAAATAAGGATATGAACATATGGTTTTCACTTCGATAAAGACTTCTCTTACGTCAGTGCTTGTCAGAATATCTGTTCTATAATTATTTATAAGGTGGCATTGAAATAAGTGCAAATATTTCAAGACTTGGGAGCTCGACGTGTACTATCGAGTGGCACCAATGAAAACAATATAGGGATCAAAGAAAAATTTTGGGCTGGACCCCTTTTTCCACCGAAAGTTCCACTCTGTAGCAATTCTGACGTCACCTCTGTCAAATTTCCGTGTGGAAGGCACAATCACGTGGAGTTCAATCATTTGAATTGGTTTAAAGTGGCGTACTTGATTTTTTCCTCGTTTTTTATTTTATGTTCGGGATGAAATTTCTCAAATACTGTCTGTAGGTTAATCGAGGAGGTGGTACATTCATTATTTCAAATTTTTTGGAATTTTCTCTCCTCGTTTCTATAAAATAAAAATATGAATATTATTTCAATATACGTGTAGTAAGGACAAATCAGATGATTTGCCCCAAAATTTCACTGCGTTTAAAGAATTTTCCTATCAAAGATTTTAAAAGAAAAATTCACTAGCTTGTCAGTGACAATTTGTATTGAAAAATTTTTGGAAAAGAGAAATAAAGGTATATAGAAAAAATATCATATTTTCACTTATCTTTGGACGTTTCGGGACCGATTCTGCTCCCGTTTTCAACATAATAATAAACATGAAAAGATATTTTTACAATTGCGAAGTCTTATAATATGTCTTGAAGCTTTTCAGTTTTCAATGACAATTGGTGACGTTGGCAATCAAATAAGTTACAGGATGTTTTAATTAATTAATCTTGAATTTACCATTTTCATGTCCAGATTTGGTAAATTCAAGATTAATTAATGAAAACGGTATATAAACGTCAAAACAACAGTATCAAATACATTAAGAAACTCTAAGAGCTACTGGAGCTTGAGGTTTATGTCAATGTCAAATTTCTAAGAATTTTGGAGGATAGACCTGAAAGCTAAGGCCTAGCTGTTTTACTGAAATTTTGTTGAATCAGTAGTATGTCCTTTGAAACCATTTAGGGAAACTGGTTTTGGGCAGGCTTTACTTTGTACTTTCTATAAGAAACTAACGTCAAACTTTTGGAAATATCAAAGATGAAGTGTCTGCTTTGCAGAACCTCACATAACTAGCGAGAGCATGTTGAACATTCGAAACATGTTAGGCCTCATTGAGGAGTTTTAAACAAAATAAATAAAATACAATTAAAATTTCATGAAAAGGGATTAAGAATGACAAAATAGTATATTTCATTAGGAGTCTGGAAATAGAGATTTTTCCGTACGCGTGTGACAAATTCTCGGGAACTCATACAAGCACGGAAAAATCATTTTTGGACGAGTAATGAAGGATATTTTTTATTACAATTCGTATTTTCATTCTCACAGTTGTAGGAATGAAAAAAACTTTGAACTACTAGAACTGGATTTTACTGGTAATAAGTCCGCGGTCGCTTATACAACTTGCTCTAGGATATCGTCGGGAATTTCGGAATTTTTATTTGAGTTCATTTTGTCGGCATACATTTGATTGACAATGCTGGCAATACAGTGTTTGGTATGTATGATTCGTTTCCATGGTTATTGTCAAAGTTTTTCGGTGAGCTGTTTTCGTGCGATAGCCCGAAAGACTATCTTACAAAAAACAAGTTGATTTCAACAAAGTGTAATAAAAACCAAATTTCATGACTTGTCGTTACTTCTACTGAATATTTTATTCTCACTAACCTGTCCATCCCAACGTAATTTAACCCCAACTACATCAAGCGACACCACTAGATGATGTGCAGACATCTCTATTCTTATACCAGGGGCCTGTCCAGGTATGGGTAACAGTTTTTTCCCGGATCCGAATATCGGAATACCTTCAGGAGATAGTTCTAGGAAATACTGTCTGTCTTGCAGGTATATTTTGATGACTTTATGGCAATCTAAAGCGTTGGTGTAACAGTCTTCGTGATTTTTCGTGATTATGCTAAAAGTGTGGTCCACGGCGTCTCTTACTAGGATATGGGCACATTTTGAATCGAAACTGTGAAAAAATAATGAAATGAAATTATTTCACAGTATGTATAATTTGACAGGTATAGCCGATTGATAAACAAAAATTGCCAACGTCATTTTGCATCACTTTCAAAGCAATTAAATTTACGTATATTCCGTATTTATTTTGGTATACATGAAGACGTACCTATAAACTCTATCATCGAAGGTTTTGTAATGAATTCCTCCCCAATGAAAGCAGGTGCCTGGTTTTGGTAATTTCTGCTCTACGGTTACAATTTCGAAATCGTTTCGTCCGAAATATCCCCCACGGGGGTTTTTGATGTTTGTATGTTCAACAAGTTTATCAGGAACAGTCTGCAAACAATGTTTGGTTAGTATATATATAGTAAGTATATATATAGTATATGGGCCAGCGTAGCTTCGTGGTTGAAGCGTCAATGTTCTATCCACGTTGGATTGCCGGTAGGTGGGTTCAATTCCCACCAAGACCGCAGAAATTTTTCTGATGACCTAAGAAAGTGTTTGGGATCACATGTTAAAAGGTAAGACCCCCGTCATTCCTTGTTAGCACAAGTCTCTTGAAGACTTCTGAGGGTTTCTCGTAAGGCGGAACCGAATGATGGATAAGAACAATTTTAGTAGTTTCTTTCTACCAGCACAAACCTGAGATATCACCGGAACTGTCAATATGTAGTTTCATTCTACCCAAATTTCAGAAAAATATTATGAAAAATGTGAAATTCACTGTAGCTAAAACATTTTTTTTGTGACGGGTAAACAACCACTAATTTCAGAATTTTTCAAAATCAAATCACAGAATTAGACTCATTATAGATATTTGATTATTCAAAAGAATGATGAAGATGCCTGCAACGCAGGTGTAATTCCTGTTTAAAACTTCAAATTTCATTTTTTGACGTTTGTAGAAAATTTGATAATTGTAGTTATAAGAACTCAAGAACCAAGAACTCGGGCAAGTAATAACAAAACATTTGCAGTGACTACATCTCGGACGAATTACCAACTGAAATCTCCACATGTAAAATTTCATGAAAAGGGATTAAGAATGACAAAATAGTATATTTCATTAGGAGTCTGGAAATAGAGATTTTTCCGTACGCGTGTGACAAATTCTCGGGAACTCATACAAGCACGGAAAAATCATTTTTGGACGAGTAATGAAGGATATTTTTTATTACAATTCGTATTTTCATTCTCACAGTTGTAGGAATGAAAAAAACTTTGAACTACTAGAACTGGATTTTACTGGTAATAAGTCCGCGGTCGCTTATACAACTTGCTCTAGGATATCGTCGGGAATTTCGGAATTTTTATTTGAGTTCATTTTGTCGGCATACATTTGATTGACAATGCTGGCAATACAGTGTTTGGTATGTATGATTCGTTTCCATGGTTATTGTCAAGGCGGAACCGAATGATGGATAAGAACAATTTTAGTAGTTTCTTTCTACCAGCACAAACCTGAGATATCACCGGAACTGTCAATATGTAGTTTCATTCTACCCAAATTTCAGAAAAATATTATGAAAAATGTGAAATTCACTGTAGCTAAAACATTTTTTTTGTGACGGGTAAACAACCACTAATTTCAGAATTTTTCAAAATCAAATCACAGAATTAGACTCATTATAGATATTTGATTATTCAAAAGAATGATGAAGATGCCTGCAACGCAGGTGTAATTCCTGTTTAAAACTTCAAATTTCATTTTTTGACGTTTGTAGAAAATTTGATAATTGTAGTTATAAGAACTCAAGAACCAAGAACTCGGGCAAGTAATAACAAAACATTTGCAGTGACTACATCTCGGACGAATTACCAACTGAAATCTCCACATGTAAATATGGCTATATTCTATAACGAATATCAAACGTACTGTGACATATTTCGAGATAGTGTAATTACATTCGGAAATCAAATAAAAAATAAATTATCACACAATAGTGAAACTGTACTTATTCAGTAATTATTCTTATTTGGTTAATACTTTGTATATATTATTAGATTTGAGTTAGATTTTGGTCAGGTTGTTTGGACTAGTACTGTATTTTTTGGAAAAACAGTATCATTACTGTGATTGATGCAGAAGGTAAAGTACTACTTCAATCAACCATTCATACACACACAACATGTAATTGGGGTAAAACCTGTTTGTTGGAATAAATAAATAAATAAATAAAATAATGAAATGTGTGTAATCATGAATGATTAATAACCAATAAATACTCTCTGTAGTTCAATCGAGGAGGTGAAATATTCTTTTCGCTAAATTATTTGTAATTTTCTCTCCTCGTCTCTTTGATTAAAAATATCAGTATAAGTAAATATTATTTCAATATACTTCAAGTAGAGACAAATCAGATGATTCGCTCCGAAATATCTTTGTGCTTGAAATTTCACTATTAAAAACCTCGAAGAGTAATTTAATCGACAGCCAGTGAATCCTCATTTGAAAAATGTTGTAGATATGATATAGTTATTTAACCAACTAGTGTATTAATGAGGGCGAATAATGATCGAGATCATTAATCGCCTTTTAATATACAAGTTGGTTACAAAATTTTTCCGTCGACTATATTTCTCATTTCTCCTGCAATGAAGAAAACTTGGTTCGAGAATTTATCATTCATCACCGGAAACTGCTGAAATGATCAACATAAAAAATAAATCCCTTGTGTTAGGAAACAGGGATTACAATCGTGTCAGAAACTTGGAAAGGCGAACCCGTTAACGGAAAATCTTCGATGAAATCCATATTTTCGATTTGAATGCAGATTCCGTAAGTTATAGCATGTATGATCTAAGGCATAAACAATGAATGCACGCGGTGTATGTTTGGTTGCCTATAAAACAATCGTGCATTAATAGACAAATTGATCATTAATAGGGGTCATTAATGAACGATTTCATGAACATTGAACTTACTCGTTAATACGAGGTCGACGGAAAACATATTTTTTAACGGTTTTAGGTTTGAAATTCATAAATTGAGTCACATTCTAATTCAAATATTTTTTGTTTTGAAGATATTGAATACTTACATAGGCATACTGATTATTGGGGATGAAAGTATAAGTTGGGGGTGTGCTATACATCGGGTCACCATCGTTTCCAAAAAGACTATTCAAATCAATGTTTGAACCATTAAACATGTGGAAATTGTGGGAAGCTCCAGGTACCCTCATGATGTTAGAAAGTTCAGCTGCAAATGTATATGGAAAAAATGAACATTTGAGACCATCCATTCCTGGAGTTTGCCAGAAGTGCAAACATCATATTGTCGTGTATGTATTTATGACGACCTTTCCAAAATATTATACCCCCCTTGAGGGTACTCATTCCATAGACTTAATTTACTTACTCGCTTGGCTTTGAGAGGGTTGTTGTTGAATTGTGGAACACAAAGAAATGAAGAGAGTATTTAAAAACAAATAAACAAATAACAAATCTACTTCATTTTCACTACTTCTTATGATATTTTCATTGCAAATAAATAATTAAATGAATGTTGAGAAATATGAACACTGGTTTCTTTTATACTCAGTATACTGTAACTTGAAGTGTAAGATATGGCGTATGTGGTATGGTTGAACTCAGAAAAATATGGGCTTTCAATTTTTGATATAAAAATATACCCTTTCAATTTAAAAAAAATATCGATGACGTCATATCTTGTAAGGTGGTGGGGGAAAAATTATTTTTTTGTAAAAAAAGATGGAAGACTGAAATACAAAATCGACCTGTCCGAGCTTTACCTCTGAAAATAATTATATCGTAAGATAATGGAGCGTTTCCACACTTTATGAACGCACTGTATAGAAAATCGTTAAAAGTATTGTATCGTCTCCCATTTGATACACCAACCAATCAATTGTTTGAAATATCAAATACGTATTCTTTAGATGAAATATATAGAATTGAAACTCTTAAAATATCATATAATATCATGAATGAAAAATTGAAGTCGAATTTTATGTTGATACGGAATTCTGAAATTCATAATCATGAAACAAGACAATATAACTTGTTTCATCTTGACGCCGCTAACTCGATAATCGGACAAAAAAGATTCACTCATTCAGCCTTAACTGAATTCAATAAACTACCTGACAATATAAAAAATTGCAGAAATATAGGTACATTCAAAAATGAAGTGAAAAAATTGATTATTTCTGAGCGAACTGCATAAAATTGAACATGCCATTTTTTTTTATTTTTTTTACAAATATTATTCTTTGTTTGTCAATTTACAGTTGTTGATATATTTTGTATAATATACCTATAGGTATATAATTATGTACTTCCTTATACCAGAGCCTATTCTGTCTGGAAGTTATTTGTTCAATAAATAAATAAATGAAAAATAAATAAAAATAAATAAATAAAATAAATAAATAAATAAATTCTCAAATCCATGAATATCATACTAGACAATATGACTTGTTTCATCTTGATTCTGCTCATTCTACACTTGGTCAAAAAAAGTTCACTCACGGAGCTATCTCAAAATTCAATAAAAATTACCTGATGATATCAAAAGTTGCACAAATATCACCCAATTCAAAATCAATGTCAAGAAACATCCTCTTGCAAAGAGAAAATCAAACCTGAGTGAATGATTTCTCATTTACTAATTTATTTCATCATGTCATAATGTTCTTTTCATGAGCTTTTTGTTTTATTATTATTTTTTTTATTCTGTTGTTTATTTCAATAACTATAATTTAATTTGATAACGCATGAATAATCTCATACCAGATATGAATCTGTCTGATTATTCATGTTATTCCATTGTAAATGTTAATGATTATATTAATATTTATATGAGATGCAATGTAATGTTTATAGCAAAGAATGAAATAAAACTAATTCACCTCTTTTCTTTCTAACAAAGAACTTGATACTTACAATAAATGCATCTCGGTATTGGGTTTGGAGTAAACACTCCTGTAGAGTAATAGCATGTATATACTGACTCCGGTGGAAACTGAAATTCGATGCCCTCCGGACAAGAAATGGAACAGCTAAACGAGTCCGCATTACCGGAACAGTTGTAGGCACCGTTAGTTCCTAACTTCTTGACAGAACATGAATCTTCATCTGGAAAGATGAAATTATATTTTAGGAGCACTGGAAATTCTTTGAACTTTTCTCGATACATCAAAAAAATGCAGGATAAATGAATTGAATATTTTTATGATATGTCCATTAAGGGGTCACTGGTTAACTTTTGAATTGCTGGGTATTTATCTATTTTTTTTGCTCCAGTAGTAGTCCAGTAGAATACAGGCTGATTCACGGTGGATGGCACATTAGACGTTTCTGGTGAACCAGACAACGGATCATTTTGAAAATCCAATGGAGGGCATATTCGGACATTCTCTAGACAACTAAAATATTTTCGACAATGCGGTGTTGCCGATTCTATTAGAAAGCAGTAGCAACTTTGATTTTTCAAATAGAACACTCTGTATTTTATTGCATTTTCAGATTCTCCCTGAAGAGCTGATTTCATTGATGTATCACACTTGGGGTCTAGCGGAAATGATTACAGAGATATAGGGTGTGAAAAATCGACATTTTTCAACTTTAGAATTTTTTTGTGTCGAAACTATTCATCATTGGTCAAAACGGCTTACATGTCCCTATCTCAACTTTTGATTAACTATCTATTGATATTTAATTGAGACATATACCGGGTGATCAAGATTCTGAATTCTGCACCACCCTGTATTTGTTTCAATTAAATTTTAGTAGATAGTTGATCAAAAGTTGAGATAGGGACATGTAAGCCGTTTTGACCAATAATGAATAGATTCGACAAAAAAAATTCCTAAAGTTGATAAATGTCGATTTTTCACACCCTATATCTCTGTAATCATTTCCGCTAGACCCCAAGTATGATACATCGATGAAATCTGCTCTTCAGGGAGAATCTAAAAATGCAATAAAATACAGAGTGTTCCATTTGAAAAATCAAAGTTGCTACTGCTTTCTAATAGAAGCGGCAACACCGCATTGTCGAAAATATTTTAGTTGGCTAGAAAATGTCCGAATATGCCCTCCATTAAATTTTCAAAATGATCCGTTGTCTGGTTCACCAGAAACGTCTAATGTGCCATCCACCGTGAATCAGCCTGTATATGTATCTTCCAAAACGGCGTCTGGAATTTCTATTTGCCAGGAAATATAGTAGGGAGGCAAAGAGGCTAAATAGGGATTTACTCGAGCGTCGTGGTATCAGTCGTATCAGATTGTGACGATTAGATGCGAAAATAAAAAAAAATATGATATATGAGCTTCCACTGGTGGAGAGGGCGTGTACAGGTGTTCAAAAATGTAAAAAAAAAAAACACAGTCACATGGAAATACTCGAGCGCATCAGATATTGTTTCTGATAACCATATATTTACTACTGATATATAAATCATAGCTGTCCTCAAAGCGGGACCAACTTCTGTCTCTATAGGTAACAAAATCGACCAATAGGAGTTGATGTCGACGTAGGGAAAATATAATACGAAACTTGTGAAACCAATATGGCAGTTTCCATCCTTCACTTTCCGTGAAAGATTAAAAAAGTACCTCTCATTTTGGTTCCATTTCTGTTGAGATATCGTATAGGCGATGCGCTATATATAGAAATAGTAGATATATGCTGAAAACCGAGAAATATTGATCTAGACAATAGGTGAAAAATGAATTTATTCGAGCGTGTCAGATATTGAGAAGGGACGTTAAGTGAACCCTCAAGTAGCTCCTTTTCAAAAGACTGACGATTTGGACGGGACCAAGTCATGATCAATTTTTGAAAATGAAAAAAAAACGTGACCTTGAAATACTCGAGCGCGTCAGATTATTATACAGACGCTTTATCTTGATGTCCTTGTCGTATCGACCCATAATCAGACAATTATTTAGAGGAATTACCTTGATCTAACGGTTGGATTTTTTTGTTGTTGACTGAATGTAATAAATAGAATTTAATATATACAGGGTGGGTCAGTTTTTGTAGCAGGACTTCAACAGCTCGAAAAATTCACAGTTAAAAATCCCGAAATTCCCGCTTGGGCTTCCCTACTATAGGTGCGTTCGGTTATAACATATCTGTTAGCTCGATTCCATCTGTTAGCTCGGAAAGCGTTCGATAAATCAGATCTACTTCCTCTGTCTAATCTGCTCCGTGTTCGTTAATTGTCAGAGCGAGCTGAAAGATGTAATCTGTTTGCTCCGCCTTGAGGAGCAGATCATTCAGATTTGATCGGTTATTCGGTTGTCAATTGTCAACAAATCAATGTCAACAACATGTTATTGAAATTATATCTCTTTTATGTCGAAAAATTGGAGACTCGATCAACTGAAAACGAAACACGAAACTGAATTTTGTAGAATCCTCCTTGCCCAGAATCGCCAGAATGAACGACGAATTTGCTGTAGGTAGCATATTAATTATATATCTGTAATATATGCGATCACAACCCTGGATCCACAGTTAATGACCGATCATATGAGACAGAATCATTCCTTCCCTAGTAATTTTCAAAATATAAATAACAAACATTCAAAAGAACTTTGTTGCCCTGACGTGTTTTTAAAAGTAATAAGGTTAAGTGAATTGTTTCTGTTTTCTGTTACTTCTGACAGCTGGCGCTCGCAATCTACCACCTCGTTGAGCGTTCGTTAAATACCATTAGCTCTATCTGCTAGGTGATCACGTGACACCAAATCTGCATCTGCTCGCTCGGCTCCGATTTTGTTAAACCGAACGCAGCTTATATTGAATAGATTTTGAAATTCTGAGACCAAACGTCGAACAAAGTCGGTCTTGGAAACGGTAGGACGTAATATCTGTGTTAAACATTGAGGTATAGGAGATGAATAATGTTGAGTCAACAATCACCGCATAATATCACCATCATTTCTTAATGATACTTACTGTATTGGCACTGGGGTCCCCTGAACGCCTGTGGACACTGGCACACATTGAATGAGAGACAATTTCCACCATTTTGACAAGGAGGGTCACAAGTTGCTGAAACAATCAATTTATTGTACAGTATTCTCATATTTTGAGACAAAAAGTTCGAGAAGAATAATTATTGAATGGCGAATTCTCACTTATAATAAAGACATTTTGTTCACCTTTACAATCTGGAATGGATGTCCATTTTTCCTTAGATGGAACCCAGTTGCCATTCTTGCATTGCATTGTTGTTATCGATGAACCATCAGGGTATACATGTCCTTTCATACACGATATGGTGCAGAGCCTATGGAATAAAACGACAATATATACACTTTCCCAAAAATTTAATGCACCACCAAAGAGTATCCAACAAAAGGTTGAGATACATTTTCATCAAAACTACTTGTCCGATTTGGACGATTTTTGATTTAAATGACAGGTTATCTCCTTCTGAATATTGGCGTGCAAACTGGTATTCGCATAAAAACCTCTTATGAATACCGGGTGTAGCAATTAAATACCCTGTAGTGTAACATTATCAAGTTAGAATTGAAAAATTATGCTTTAGCCTCATAGCTTTCCAACATTCCTTTTTTGGATTTACTCTGTTACTCCTATTACTCCAGAAGACAATTTTATAGCATAACATTGTGAAGCTCCACTACGTTCTCTCCGGTTGGCCTAGGCAGTGGACTTCACAAGTTACCTAATTAACCGGGTTCGTGAATATTTAGGGAAAATAATTTTGTTGTAGGCAGAAATATGGCAACTCATAATACATAGATCCCTATTCAGTAATTTAGCTTATCGCCAGACAGAGTTGACAAGAATATACATCTAACGGTGCTTACATAATATTGAGTGTTTATACATTGTTGGCGATGTATACTTGCACTATTATACTGGGTAGCTCTCGAAAGTTAGAACAGTTCTTTGAATATTCAGTAAACAGCGATACACATATGACATCAAAACAAAAGGTTCACTAGGTACGCTCTTCAGAGCAATTTCTGATATCAACTACATAACACGTATAACAAGACTGCATAGCAAAACTACTGGTTCAAGAAGTTGACCAAGAGTTCCTTTCAAGACTGCCTTTATTTCCGATGCTCACAGAACACTTTTTGACTAACTAAACGGAACTTCAAACATGTTGGCGTTAGTTTCTGACTAATCAAACTGCACCAAGACTCTTGACTGTTCTGATACTTGTCTGAGACCGTTCGTGATATGGACATGGAGTAATGTATGGAATAAATTCATTATTTCAGAAATGGGAGAAATTTGAAAAAATTCCAAAAACACGTGTTTTAATTTTTGAAGTCTCATCTCATGATATTCATAGGTGTTGGAGTAATGACGTAATGGACGATTTTTTCAAATACAAACAGGGGTCATGTGTTTGAAAAGTCTACTGATCGTCTATCCCAGAATCAAAATTTTGCATAAGAAGATTGAAAAATTAAAATGGATTATCATTTGAGAGACTGAATCTTGCAGAGGTCTGCTACTGAGAATTGAACATCGAAGGGTCGTGTAGTTAAAAAAATACAACAATTAAAAGAGTTCTAAACTCTAGTTTTTCGATTTTTTTCGAAAGTCGTATTGTTTTGAAATGAATTTATTTCATATATTTGCATCATACTGTATGTATCAACAAAATGTCACTGAGTTTTGGTAGATAATGTTCGGTCGTATTTTTCTATATATTATTGCCGTCGGCGAAGAAACACTAAATTTACGATTTTTGCTTTATATTTCAATTTGATCAAAATCCTCGAGTCTAGTCTCTCTAGAAAAGTGCTCAGATCAATGGTGGCCTAGTGAAGATTAGTTATAATCAAGGTAGGTGACTTATTAAAATATTTTTTATCAACCATACAAAATATTCCTTATAACAATACCTGGAATCAAATAATAACTGAATTTTGGGTCATTACAAATGATTTGTACCTCGCAGGCTCTTTTGACATCGGTTATTCTCTACTAAAACTAAATATTTACTGTACTATATTCAATTCCTGATTCGATTTCACGTAATAATTTTGGTCAACATTCCCGTTCATCAGTCATTTCTCTCGAAAAACTGACAGACAAAATTCGCAATTTTTTCCTGTTGTTTCTGTTGATCAATTCAATACACCTTTTTAGGTTTAATTCAAACGTATTTTGGAAATATCGAGTCAGGAAAAAATTTAAAAAATACTAGGTGTCTTTTTTTGGCGTTTCAATTATTATTTTTTTGCTGAAATCTATTTGTGCTAATTCATGCATGGTAGATAGTTTTCAATGAAGTGGATTGTATTGTTAGTAGGTAATGCCTTACTTTGAATTACAGGTTCTTCTTGAATTCAATGGCATATTGGGGTAGTTGAGACAAGGTGTCTCCTGGAATTGACACTGCGGTCCAGAAAAATTCTCTGGACAATTGCATTGGTTTGGTGCGGTACATATCCCATTATTCTGGCACTGGGGTAAACAAATAGCTGAAACAAGAAAATAACATATTCGTGTGATTATTCTTCGACGTTTCTGGCGACCAATAGGAACTTTAAATCTCGGTCTTCCACGTAGGTATCAGCCAATCAAAATTTTATTATAGTAGGAATAATCTATTACATTATAAGAGGTAATAACATATGAATCACTTCAGAAATTATGCGTTTATTGAGTTCATATTCGAATTTGATTATATATTTCTGCAATTTTACATATTATGTATTAGGTAATTTATTATATTCAAAAAAGGCAGCGTCGGTGAATCTTCTTGTGCTATCATAGAGTTACAGCTACATCAAGGTGAAATGAGTCATGTTGTCTAGTTTGGTGAAAATGAATTTCATAGTTCTTGTTGAGATATGTAATCATAGATTTCAATCCTTTTTTTATGATTTTACAGCTAAATTTCATATGTTCAATTGAACATTGTTTCTTATAATTTATACAGGGTGATTCAAAAACGTATCACCCTGTGGATTTTATGAATCTTTGAAATGCTTCATATTATGATCTTCTGAAAAGTATTAACCAAACTAAATTACAAATTGATATCTTCAGAGGTGAGCGAGATATTTCAATTGATAGAAAAAAATAATTCAACTTCGACCCCCTGTATCTCCGCTACTGATCGATATCGGACACATATTTATACACACTTTTTCGATCAAAATGATGAGATTTATCACCCATTTCAGTATGTACCTTGAAACCTGAATCACCCTGTATATGAAAAAATTTTCTGGCCATCCATAGCGCAGATACTGGGTATTATGTGACAATTTGTATTGAAAATGGCTTGGAGAAGAGAAATTAAGGTATATAGAAAAAATATCAAATTTTTACTCATCTTTGGACGTTTTGGGAACGAATCTGCTCCAGTTTTCAACATGGAACATGGATTTTTTTGTATTGCAAATTCGTATTTGTCTTGACACTTTTCAGTTCTCTGTGACAATTGGTGACGTTGGCAATCGAATGAGAAACAGGATGTTTTCATTAATTAATCTTGAATTTACCATTTTCATTTTCAGATTTCAGTCGTGAATACCATGTTCTATCTATATCAACTGAACCGGAAGCAATGCTATTGTCTCCGTTCAGAAGAATGCAAGCAGATTTCTTGATTTTTCTCTTCTGGTTGTTATCTTCTTTTTCAATGATTTTTATGTTGAAAACGGGAGCAGATTCAAACCTATCAGTTTGGATTATCAGCAAATGTCACGTCGTGTCACACAATGAAAAACAGGGAATACCAGATATTTCATTATAACTTCAATTAAAATCCATATCTATGTTTTTTTCTTGCTCTTTTTTACCAATTTTTGACCAACAAGAATGTACAAAAAATCAATTTACATGAACCCAGTTGAAAGTTAAGTTATCGGCCAGGTCGAACTCGAAAATTCATTCGAACGATTTTGTTTCATATTTTTTATAGAACCGGTCAAAGCGTGCCGTGCAAATTGAAGAGCAGTTCTCAAGGCATTTTGTCTGATCTAGAAAAGTGATCACAAAGTGCAATTTCTTGACATAACAATAAAACATTATTTTTCCCAAGTCCCTAGGCCCAATCTTGTTGTTGATATATCTGAATGACTCAACATATTTGAATCTAACAGAAAAATTTACATTATTTGTTGACGACACTACCCTCATATGGCATGGAAAAAATGTAGATAGCCTCAAGAAATTTATATCCCAGGAATGAAAGGAAGTTAAATCATGGTGCAATACTAATGGGCTTATATCACAAAAAAAAATGTATATCATAATTCGATAGACCTCACCCAAACTAGCTCACCACCGCAAACCGTTTCTTGCTGTGAGCTCCCTACGTTTTATAAAAAATTATTGAAATCCCCGATTTTTCGGACCTCTGAAAACGAGGCGATGATGTGACGTCAAAACCCTAATACTGAAAGAAGTCTATTCCAGACAGAGATGAATGATACATGATTTCTGACAGAGTGAATTAGCGCGAGATCACAGTTGAAATAATTAATATATCTGTTGCCTCAGTCTCCGTCGGGCGTTTGGTATTTTCTTTCTATGGCGAGATGATGTTTCTACGTCATAAGAGGGTCCGTTTTCAGAAGGTACTATTATTTATGTCCAAAAATAAAACATTCCAGTTAATTTTTCGATCGAATTATATCGTCAATCATTATTTATGTATAAAAGGATCATTATAAACATGATTTGAGTTACAAGTTCTACTAAGGTGTACACGCCCATTCTCTGTGTTTCAATGCAAATAAAACTAAGATCGTAACATCCAAATTCGAGTATGAAAATCTCAAAATTAGTAATATTCAAATTGAAACGAGTACTTGATTCCTTGTCTTATACATCGATGATAAACTGAGATTCGATATCCATGTCAGGTCATTGAGAAAGAAACTCGCATATGCTATGAGAATTGTATCAAATGAGCTTGGCCAAGATATCAAGAACAACCAATTTTTCACTGAGAATCACATATCAGATATGGCATAGCCTTCTGGGGATTATGTAGTCAAAATTCATTGAAGTCTGTGCTCACTTCACAAAAAAGGGCAGTAAGATCCCTATGCAAAGTTAGAGCAAGAGACTGTTGTGGACCACTATTCATCCAACAAAAAATTTTGACTCTAACATGCATTTTCATCCTTGAAACGACCTGTCTGATTCATATCAAACAACTTCCAAATATATGCATCCGAAATGAGAACAAAAATTCTCTGCCAATACGTAAAACATCGTTCAAAAAAAATTCAGATATATATGAAAGCAGAAAGATTTATAATCATTTGCCAGAATATTTGAGAAAAGCAAAAAACCCCAAAATATTCAGGGAGGGTTTTAAAGACTTCCTCATTCCAAAGATAACCAGCAGGAATTTTGTGATGACAAATTTTAGATCAGGAATCAGCTGTATGTGATATTATATTAAGTGCTTTGTATGTATCTCTAATTGTTTTGTTCATGCACTTTTTTTGTATGTCATATACAAATTTTAATTGATAACTTCCTATACATTATGTATATCATATTTTGTACTATACTGTTATATTCTTCATTTTTCTTTTGTGACGAAATGAATCCTTCCACTACATAATTATATCATTAAAGCTTCGTCAATAAGAACAATATGCTTGGACAATAAAGAACAGATTGATTGATTGATATTTATAAATAGAAGGTTTCAATGGAGCTATTTTTTGAATTGTAGTCTTTGTTGATTATGTTTTTTATAAGAGTGAGATTTCTATTTTTATGAAAGAGTACCGTATTGTCTCCATAAGTAGCAGAATAACTATCTGTTAGAATTTTTCTTATCTTTTGAATAAGTATTTTGTATTTTGATAAATACAGGGTGATTCACATAAGAACCGACATAGAGCAGGGGCATGTAGGGGGTCCCAAAATATGGCAATTTAACGCAACTTACCTCTATACCAAGTTGCTTCCCTAAGGAGTCATAGGCTTTGGAAGTGAAGTTATAAATTTTGAAAAAAATCAATATCTCCGTTACTTAAAGCAACCAAATTTGGTACACTTTGTGGATGTATTTAGGGCGTTACTTGACAGTAACTAGAGCTTAATTGAAATTTGTAAAGGGGGTATACCAGGTGGCGCACCATTAATATTCAACAGAATTTTGTTAACCCTCGATGGATTTCAAAAATATTTGCTTTGTTGTGTGGGCAATTCAATTCTAAAACTTTTCTTAGACTAGTAATATTTCGAAAAACCTCATCATTTTCATCAAAAACTCGAATAACTGAAAACGCGCGCTCTAGGTGTGTTATTTAAAATCATCGAAAATTCAAAATTTGGCTATGAAAATAAACGTACAACAAGAAAGTAGGTCGTTAATTGTGATCAGTAGAAATTGGCTGGCAAATCATTATTTAGATACGTAACAAAATACGTAAAGTAAGTACAGACACTGAAATGTGAAAAACTGGGATTAACAACTAACCAAAATAAACACAAAAAACTTTAACAACAACCAGAACAAACAATTGTTTATCGATAAATTACTGAATTGAACAACTTACTTGCTTCATTGTCAAGTTTGACGTTAATTTTCATAGCCAACTTTTGAATTTTCGATGATTTTAAATAACACACCTAGAGCACGCGTTTTAAGTTATTCGAGTTTTTGATGAAAACGATGAGGTTTTTCAAGAAATTACCACACTAAGAAGAGTTTTAGAATTGAATTGCCCACACAACAAAGCAAATATTTTTGGAATCTATCAAGGGTTAACAAAATTCTGTTGAATATTAATGGTGCGCCACCCGGTATACCCCCTTGACAAATTTCAATTAAGCTCTAGTCACTGTCAAGTAACGCCCTAAATACATCCACAAAGTGTACCAAATTTGGTTACTTCAAGTTCAAGAATAACGGAGATATTGATTTTTTTCAAAATTTATAACTTCACTTTCAACGCCTATAACTCCTTAGGGAAGCAACTTGGTATAGAGGTAAGTTGCGTTAAATTGCCATATTTTGGGACGCCCTACATGCCCCTGTTCTATGTCGGTTCTTATGTGAATCACCCTGTATAAAATTGGTTCTGACACAGATCCTTGCGGAATATCTTTTCAGTCATAGATATAGTCTTTGAGAATCTGAGTTGGTAAATACAATTCAGAGACTCACATCATGTCATTCAGCTCATCTGTGTAATGAAAAAAGAGATGACAGAATTGACGGGCCACGATATGGTAAAACATGGCAAGTGCCAAGTACTTACGTTCACAAGATGACACAGATACCAAATCGCTGTCAGTTATCTCCCATTTTCCATTGATGCATTGAAATTTCGCCATTTTCTGACCATTCGGGAATTGGTAATTAGGGATACAGTCCGCCCTACAGCCACTGAACATGGAACACCTCATTCCGGAGTTCAAAGGGTTTGGAGGAGGCGAACTACAACCTGAAACAATAGTTCAATAAGAGCTAATCGGTTGGTCCGTCTAGACGGAGCAGACTTAGAATGGCAGCAAGAAGTGGAGTATCTAGGGCTCGTCCTAGACTCAAAGCTTCTCTGGAACAGACACGTAGAAAAGATCGCCAGTAAGGCAAAAGCATCACTGATGATGTGCGGGAACCTTGCAGGCAAAACCCGATGGATACTGCGATGGATGTACAGGGTGGGCCAAATTCGATAGGATTTGGGGTTTTCTCTGAAACTATCAGTGCTAAACAAAAACCGACCACGGTGTCCTGAGCTTGATTTCCGTGAAAAAAACAATGGCGCAAACCGCGATTGTCTATCGTTTCTGGCTGCCGAACTACAGAGCGTTTTTGAGATTTTACCTTTTATTGGTGACGTCATCATCTCGATCACCGTGAGTCCTGTCAAAAAATGAATAACACTTTCTCATAGCAATCTTTTGGGTTGAATTGATTACTGATAAGAGCAAAATTATTCTTCGAACAGTTTTCGAGATATGAACCTAATTTAATTTTTTCAAATGGGACACTCTGTAAATTATTTCACCATTCGATCATACTTCCAATTACCTTTCGAACGATATATCATATGCTATAGTTACTCTGAGAACAAGTGGTTGTTTTTCGAAAAATCTGATATGAGTCCATGAAAAACTGAAGAAAAATATAATAACTAACTAGCTTTATCAAATTCACAAATATTCACGTTAATTTGATTATTATCATTCGAAACTGTGAAAAAGTTCGAAATATTCAGTTCAACTGAGGTGCGAATTGTTTCCTATTGTCGTCTTCCAATTGCATTTCATTATGTTCCTTATACTTCTCAAGAAGGCCATGGTGAAATGACAACCATAATCCATTAATTATTATTGTCAACTGTGACGCTTATTCACAAAAAATGGTTCAATTCAGTAATGAAGAACCGAATTAGAATCACCCATCACTTGTTCCCAAACGATTTAAAAAGACGTTTAGATTTTTGCCACTGGTTTTTACACAAGTGCAATGAATCGCCAGGTTTTGAAGGAACTGTCATATGGACGAACGAGACCCATATAAGCAGTGCCGGAATCTTCAACAGACATAATAACCATCATTGGGCTCAAGAAATTCCCTATGCTACTGCTACGGTCAATCGTCAAGGACGATTTGGTGTATGGTGCGGTTTAATGGGACACCAAGTAATAGGCCCATATTTTTACCGCGGTAACTTGAATTCCGAAACATATATTCAAATTCTACGACAAGAAGTTGAAACATATATAGATAATTCGCCTGTGAGACAATTCCAAAGAATATATTTTCAACATATTGGGGCGCCAAGCCATACATCATGTGATACTAGGAATTATTTGAATGTTCAATTTGGAGAAAATTGGATAGGTATGTTACTCAGAACTATTGTAAAACGCAATTATATATTTCGATCATGATAGCATTGAAAGTTTCTTCTAAATTGTTTTAATGCACCAAAGTATATGTTAGAATAATTAGCTCATTCAAATATTATTTTATTTGTAGGAAACAATGGTCCTATTTTGTGGCCAGCAAGATCTCCTGATATCACCCCTTGCGATTTCTGGCTTTGGGGTCATTTGCAGAATGTGATATATAGAGAACCATCTAATAACATCGAGGAATTGGAAAACAGAACGTTAGCTGCGTTTCGAAAAATAACTCCTATAATGATAAGAAATGCCACGAATGCTGTCAAAAGGAGATGTCAGAAGTGCATAGATGTCAATGGAAGACAATTTGAAGATTTATTTTAATGATTCTTTTCAAGTTTTCTTCATATTCTTATAATAATACTTACTTGATAAAATTATTATCGATCTACTCCCTGAATATAAAGATTTTCGAAAAACAACCACTTGTTCTCAAAGTAACTATAGCATATGATATATCGTTCGAAAGGTAATTGAAATTATGATCCAATGGTGAAATAATTTACAGGGTGTATCAGTAATCAATTCAACTCAAAAGATTGCTATGAGAAAGTGTTATTCATGTTTTGACAAGACTCACGGTGATCGAGATAATGACGTCACCAATAAAAGGTAAAATCTCAAAAACGCTCTGTAGTTCGGCAGCCAAAAAAGATAGACAATCGCGGTTTGCGCCATTGTTTTTTTCACTAAAATCAAGCGCAGGACACCGTGGTCGGTTTTTGTTTAGCACTGATAGTTTCAGAGAAAACCCCAAATCCCATCGAATTTGGCCCACCCTGTACACCATGCTAGTGAGACCTATGATCACCTACGGAGCAGTAGTATTGCACGGCAGAACCGAACTCGCCACAACAAGGAAAATATTACAGAAGGTGCACACATTGGCATGTCTTTGCATAACAGGAGCAATGAGATCAGCTCCAACAGTAGCACTAGAGGTCATTCTGGATCTCACACCTCTACACATCGTGGTGAGGAGAACTGCCTATGGAGCACATCTCAGGTTGGCAAGGTCGGACTAAGAGGGAAAACGCACAGTGCAAGAGGCTCACCCCCCACTGAGATTGCACACTTCGCCGATCTTCCAACAGACCAAATCATTAGGAAGTTCCGTTTTGAGAAGAACTTTCGAGTGGAACTGAGCACAAGCGCGAATGGAGCATAGAATCCATCGAAGCGCTGAGAAGGAACACACCATCACTTGGTATACGGACGGGTCTAAAACACCCGAGGGAACTGGAGCAGGAGTCATTGGGTCTCGCACCAAATACTTCGAATCCATGGGACAATTTCCCAGCATTTTTCAAACGGAAATACACGCCATAGAAAGATGCATCTAGTTCAACCTAGACAGGAAATACCGGAAGAAGGATATCACGATTGTATCCGATAGCCAAGTAGCCATCAAAGCGTTGAGCTTTCCTAACATCAACTCGAAGATTGTATGGGAATGCCTAAGCAAATTGAATGAGCTAGGCATTAACAATAAAGTGATCATCCTCTGATGGGTGCCAGGGTATATCGGAGTGGAGGGGAATAAACAAGCAGACACTCTAGCACGACAAGGGGCCTCAATGCCACTGATCGGACCAGAGCCATCCTGCGGCCATGGAAATACCTATTTAAGAGTATTTGAGAGTCAGGCAATGAAAAAGACTTCCAGGACTGCGGCAGGCTAAAGATCTCCTCGGAAATTTCAACCGAGATCTAACTGATAAACCTCAGCAAAGGAAGTCTCAAAGCAATAACGGGATTTCTAACGGGGCATTGCAGACTCAAAATGTTTCCCCTCCAGGGTCGGTCATCTGACAGTTCTTGCGCGCGACCCATGGGGTCACGGTGTATAGGAACCTAACCTAAACATCCTTATCTTATAATAAGATTTCCTTCTACTCACCACCAGCGAAAGAAATCATTTTTTGTGAAGCTATATTTTTAGTTCCATAGTTGGTAGCAGGTGGAAAATCAGTTGCCATTGGTCCAGGATAGACCATTCCCGATCCAGCATACGGACTTTTAGTCTTCGTTTTGGTTTTAGTTTTTGTCTTTGTGTATGTTTGCTGTGCTCGCCTGAAAAATATAAATAACTTTCATGTCCAACAGAGAATAAAAGGGTACTTTTTATTTCTCATTTGATATGGATTAAGAGTGGACACTGGCATTTTTTCTCAAACAGCACGTAACTTTTTGATATCAACAACAATATGATAACCAGCCAGCGGCCAGCAAAGATGATACTTTAAAACTATACCTTTTCCATTTGTATTTCAGAAAGCGTCAATTCTACTTCAGAAAGCGTCAATTGTATTTCAGAAAATATCATTTGAATCTCAGAAACGGTCAATTGAATTTCAGGAAGCATCAATTGTCTTTCAGAATACCTAGTCAATTTAATTTCAGGAATCGTTCTCTAGGAACAATTTATTGCCATAACATGATAGGAATTGGCTGGTTTCAAGGCTGGTTCTCATCTCCAAATCAATATAATATACCTATTCGATGAATAATGAACTTATAGGCCTTTTGTTTTGTGTTTGCTCTACCTGCTGAACTCGATTTTTTTTCTATATGACTTTCTCTGTTTACATCATGCCATGAACAGGTACAACTATGGAAAAAATCAACTTTCGCAAGTTCAGCAATACAAACGAACTTACTTTATATTACTCTATGGCACTGTATGTCTTAAAAAAAAACTGTAAAACTATATAACCATCAACATCCAATATTTTTATTTGGAAAAAATCACATTGATTTAGTTCGCTTAACATGGTTTAGCTGTCAACGAGTTTACATTCTCAAATTCTTCTTGAAAAAAATCAGAACATTTTCATCTGATGGAATGTCATAGAACTAAGTTAATCTTTTCACTTTGATGGTCCTCAACTATAGATTTCTGTAATCTGTTCAACAAAGAGTACCTAAAAAAGGAATATGAAGTAATTAATTTGAAAATATCATTTCACGAACCTGTTGAGGGTTGTAAGCACTGACACTGAACACTGAACTAATTCAACTAATCAATCTTGATGATCCAATAACTTGGTAGATTTCAATGCAAACAAAACACAAGCATGCCTTTTCTCTAAAAAAGCCGATCTCACTGTGCCCAACTGTTAGGAGTAACCATACCTTTGAAGACATACATTTCGATGCTTGGTATTACTATCAGCAATAACCTTTCTTGGGAAAATCACGTGAGATCAATTGCTAAAAGTGCATTCCAAAAACTTGGGTTTCTGTTTCAGGCCAGGAATGGAATACTGTTCCCATATTTGGAGTGCAGCACCCTAACATACCCTGAAACTGTTGGATTCTGTCCAAAAAGGCGCAATTCGTCTCGTGGGTGATGCCTCGCTCACAAACTCACTAACTTCTCTGGAACACCGTAGAAAAGTTGGCGATCTGGCTATATTTTATAGACATTTTCATAGACGAATTAGCTCTTCTAAAATATCCTCCCTTGGCAGTCCCCGCGAGATTAACCCATCGAGTTGGGGCTTCGCATCCCTTCGTGGTCACTTTGGAGACCTGCAGAACATCTCTTTCCAAAGACTCGTTCATCCAACGAACAGCGAGGCTCTGGAACACATTGCCAAGGGAGGTGTTCCCCGAGGCATATAACCTCCAGAAATTCAAGAAGAACACCAATTCCTACCTCATTTCCCTTGGTTCTCATGATGTTCTCTGAACATTACAGGATATCCCTTTTCGTGGGAACCAGAACATGAAAAATAAATACAAACGACACTTTCTGAGATTCAATTTATTAATTTAAAATACAATTGATACTTTCTGAAATACAAGTGACTATTCTATAAATACAAATTACGCTTTCTGAAATTGAATTGACTATTCTGGAATACAAATGACGCTTTCTGAAATTGAATTGATACTTTCTGAAATACTACTGGAAAGGGTGTAGAGTACCACTACGAGTACGAGAGTATTGTCTTCAAATATTCCCTTGAATATTACATTTTGAGTTTACTGACTCCTGAAGTACATAAAATAGTATGTAAACCACGTGACCAAAATTCTTATGAATCCCTCCAAACTTTAAGCATCGGGAATGGTTGCTATATGCTTCATAACCCCCACTCATGGCAATAATTTGATCATTCAATTTCAATTGAATGAAAAGTTCGTAATCCTTGCATTCACAAAATATATTTAAACACTAACATCAATATTCAACACACGTCAAAATATCAACAAATATATTCAATAAATTGAATAGCTATTTGTATTACTAGGGAGAAAAGTGTCACTTTTCATAACGCGGAATGTAGTTTACTGTTCTCGATGCTGAAGCTCGCGGCTTATAAAAATGTGTCCTGCAACTTGGTTAGTTAGTATTATGTATCATTTTAATTTCGATACAAAAAACATTTGAATGATATCGTATGAAACACACGCCATGCTTTCCAATAATTTTATTAATCAGAGCTCAGTCATTAATCAATAGGAAACGTTCGGAAGTGTTGATAACAATATAACTACGCGCTTCAAATTTTACTACTACGCAATGCATTGGCATAAGATTAAACGTTGCAATAAAGTAGAATTGAGTAGACCATACGCAGACTTTACGAATAACTAGAGTGTGTGAACTCTAATTTCGAAATAGAAGTGATAGGTAGGTACCACTTTTTCCAGATATTTTTGGTTCGGAACTTATGACTGCCATCAGAAATTAATAGTTTCAAATAAATATATTCCAATTGAGACTACACTCTCTTCCAAAGGTCTTTCCAATGGAGAGGGAATATTTAGGGTGCCTAGGCAGCAAAGTACCCACTTTGATGCCTAGGCAGGAAAAGTATTACTTTGCTGATTGATATGTGTCAGCAAAATTAATATTTGCTGCCAATCGGAGAAAAACAAATGTATTTTGTAACTTGGTCAAATAAACATCTATCTATCTATCTATCTATAATAACTGAGATCCCCATGGTAGAGCTTGAAAAACGGACACCCTGAATTTGTCATGGATTCAATAGCAATTAATAGGGAGATAATCAAGAAGGGGTATAACGCAACTTTTAATTCATTTATTATAATTTCAAAAATTTTTATTGTGATTTAAATTTGATTTTTCTCATTCTCATGAAAATTGAGCAATCCAACCTCCCATGAAATAGCTCTTGGAATATCATCATGTTTTAGATTGAAGTGTGATCCCTTTTTAACACAATAGTTTTTGATTCTCATCAATATCTCTTTTTAATGAGAGGATACAAGTGTTTTAAGAAAGTATGGATTCTTCAAATTTTGCAGAACACAAATGAACTTTCGATTAGCAACTGGAAAAAACATCGAAAAATTGATGATAACACTTATTTCCACCCCGTTTTTTAAGCACTCACCAGCAAACAGACACCTTAATTACTTAAAACAAACGAAAAGCAGACCTCCTAGATGTTGTCAATAAAGAGGATGCCCTCTTCGAGCTTGAATTACAGCATTGGCATCGAGTAGATCAAATTTATTGCCTCACATTTTCCTTGTAGCTCTTGAAGAGCCTTTGACAAGGCCGGACGAAGGCGATTGAGCCTCTGAAGTTCATCCCAAAGATGCTCTATAGGTTCTTAATTATTGTTAATGAGAATAAAACAATTCCATACTTTCTCAAAACACTTGTATTTTCTCTTATAAAGGAAGATATTGATGTGAATCAAGAACCATTGTGTTAAGAAGGGACGAATCACGAGATCACACCTCAATCCAAAACATAATGGAGAATGGTTCTGAATTATTAATAATGAAAATGAAAGAAATCCATACCTTCTTAAAACACTTGTATTTTCTCTTGAAAAGAAGATATTGACGTGGATCAGGAACTATTGTGTTAAGAAGGAATCACACTTCAATCCAAAACATAATGAAGCTAAGAAAGAGTAACTTTTGTTTTCACCTGAATAATGATCATGCCATCAGCTTTTTACTCCGAGACATAAATCTACGATTTGGTCGAAATTTCACCAGAATCGGTCATGAATTGAAAAAGTTACAGGGTGTTCCAATTAATGAAACATAAGTTTGGGTTGTATCTGAATAATTACAGCTTATGCTGAAAATCTGACTACACCACTGGATTCTACGTAGAAAAATGTATGAGCGACAGTTTTTACTTTTTCGATAAGTTGAAATATCGCTGAGAGACAGGAGGGGGTCCCAAAATGCAACTTTTCCAATTCCGCCCTGTATCTCAAAACCGAAGTGACTTAAGAAAATTTTGTTCGCGGTATCGTGAGTTTCACAAAAAAGTAGCCAACGTTCGCGAAAACCTCGAATCTCCATCTTTGAAAATAAGTGAGATATCCCGTAAGGGTATCGAAAAGGGGACAGCCTGTACTATGATTTCATATCATTATAACAGTATGAAATTCAAAGTCATTACCACAATAGTTCAGAAAGTGAACTAAAATGGTAGAAAACGAGAGAAAAACAACTACTTTCCTGGCTATATGCCACGCAGATACCTCCCGAAATCTATACAATAATTCGTATAGACGAATGAAATCGCAAGTGTTTCCTTCCCAAACGACGCCGAGCTGCGCCTAAGTGGTTCAGGAACGCGTGACTACCTGCAGACCCGTTTCGAGCTGTTGGCTCTCATCAGTGCACGGCTGTTCCAGATATCATTCTTGACCGCTATCTGGTGCGAACCTGACCCAACGCAAACACATCTCAGCATTTATCCCAGCCAGCAGGGTGACGTCAATTCTCGTCGAGCCGACGTGGATGATAGGTGGCAATTGGTCGTCGTCAAGATTCGACCAATAATTGACGTCATTTTGACGTGTTCCAAAAACGTATCTGATAGACGTCATTTGACGTCATTTAGACGTAACATCTGTACCAATCATTTTGTTTTATTGCGAAGAAATTACTCCATGAACTGCATATCCAGGACTCATGATTGAACGCTTATCAAAATAAAATAGGTACCTATACCTCAGTAAATAGGATTCACGTATACCCGACATGGATAAAACTAAGTGGTGAAATATGTAGAACAAATATTAATAAAAAACACCCCGAAAGAGATAACATGGTAACAGATACGGAAGATTCAAGAATTTATTATATGTATACAAATACGGTAATACCAGTTGCCTTCATGTTTTATATTGGCGCGCCACGTCAAGACATACAGATGCTTATGATTGGTCAATCCGTGCTTCGTGTGTCTTCGTTTCGCACACAATGCCACCGCTATCCCTATCGGACATCGTCGATCGTAGCACAGTTTGTCGTAATCAGGATGGACAGAAGAGCGCATGCGTGATCCAGTTCATCGAATATGTTGTAATGGATTCGTGATTTTGGGTCATGGAAAACAAGGATATACTATGGAAAAGTGGGGTTCAACAAAATATATTGCAGTTCGCTGGTTATTTTCCAATTCCAGGCAATAGAAATGTTTGTGGGAATACAATATTCCGAGGAAAGGCATTGCTCTCGTTCAGTAGAAGTAGTTGACGCCATGACGCCTCGTAAGGCTGCGAAGTGTAGTGGCCGCCTTTCAAACAGCAAGACTTTTTCAACAGGTCAATAATTGAGAAAGTGAAATCTACAAATGGAACTTGGAAGTTGTTTGATGTAGTGAGGTCGTTATTTGAAGGAGGCAATCTATAAATACCTTAAATCGTAGGTACAAGAATAATTTGAGGTTATTAGGTTGAGATTCCTTTGAAACTTGACATCTTCGTTTATGTCTATATACTATGAAATATAGTGGATTTTATGTTTATTAGTCTTATTCAGATGAAGAATACCTATGTATAATTATGTAGCCAAATAAAAAGTATCCACAACTATGGTAACTAGATCATTTGAACTGTTTTGCCAACCATCAAGGAATAGGATCATGGGAAAGTGATTTCGAGTTTCACTGTTTCTTCGTGAAGTCGAAACCTGGACCTGATGCTTGGTAACTATTCAACGTGTAGACGACGTCGCTAGATCACGTTGTAACGACGTCGCTAAATGACGTCCTTTCGATGTGACGTATTGACGTCACATTTACGTCTCTTTCACGTCGATAATTTCGTCATCTCGACGTGATTGGTGACGTGTATATGACGTGTGAATGCTAGCTGGGATACCCCCCGAGGCGTTCAACGTCGGCAAAATGAACGCGAACGCCGAGTTGAAAATACGTCAGTCGGGCAAACAGCCACTCCCATTTCCCTTGAGATAAAATCTTGTTTCAGAGTGGTTCTTTGCTTGCCAGGAGGCGTTCGGCGTTCGCGTTCATTTCGCGGACGTTGAACACCTCGTGGGGTATAAATGCTGAGATGCGTTTACGTTAGTTCAGGTTCGTACCAAATAGCGGTCATGAATGATATCTGGGACAGCCCTGCACCGGCCTTTAGGAAGGAAAGACTTGCGTTTAATTCGTCTATACGAATTATTGCATTGATTTCGGGAGGATGTAATCCAATGCTCTGCGTGGCATATAACCAAGAAAGTAGTTGTTTTTCTCTCGTAATTTACCATTTTCGTTCATTTCATGAACTATTGTGGTAATGACGTTCAGTTTCTCTCTCTTTGTAACCATTACATTCCACTTTGAGTATTTGTGATCTTCTTTGTTCGGAAACACAACTTCATAGTTGGGACATTGATATTTATCAAATTGACTAGGTATGCACGAAATAAAATCGTTAATAGAATTCTTCAATGTATGAGTCGTTTTACAGAAACCTACTTACTCTGGAGCTCCTGTTAGCATTCCATAATTATTTCCATATTTTCTTTTCAGGAATTGTGGTACTTGTGCTCCTCTGAAACGAAAAATCAATTAGGTAGGCACTAATGTTTTTTCATGCAGCCATCTTAAAAATTGTCTTCTTTACACCAAGATCGATATCAAATGCAGTAGGACTCTAGGAAAAAATGTGTGCTGCTAAATTACACTTTTCATTGTTCCTAGCTCTATTCCTGGGATCCAAAATTTATTTTTTACGCATGTGAAAGTGTCACATTAATTTGATCATGTAATGTGTCTAAGTTTCATTTTCGAATAAAATTCTTTCGATTGCAGAATTATTCACCAGAAACCCTGTGTTTCATCAGAAATACAGGGTTTGACGTAACGACATTGTCGTATTTTGATTCGTCGTCTGTCTTTTGCCCGCGTTAATAGATAAACAGTTGAAATTCTTCCCCAAAAAACAATCAGTGTCGGTAAGATATACTAACAAACAAGAGATGGATGACGATTTAATGAATCATGAATTTAATCAATCTCAAACTTCTGTACTTGTTCATTGCTATTTCAATCATATGTTATGCATGTTGCCATGCATGTTGCCATTGCATTGTATAAGCGAGGGTATAACATTATATTTTGTTAATTTTTATGCATTTTATTTTCACCTGCTTTTTTGCGCGTGTGTCGTCATCCGTTATTGTAAGATGTGAAATGAAAAAATTAGTAGATAGAGAGTGGATAAATATAAGTACCTACATTATTCAATATAATCTGAACGAAATAATATTTTCTTCACATAAACTTCGAATTCTCTGTCAGATTAAACCGTTGAGAATGCACTGAGCAATCGTTAGTCAGTCATCACTAGACCAAAAATGAATAAGCAATAAAAAGTAATGCTCAGCCAATATTGGCGTTATATCGGCCGGTCGGTCACTTTTGTGATTTACTATCACTATTTAAGTCAATCTATTATTGTATTTCTTATGCTTATATTTCTATTAAATCAATACTGTTTTTGGATAACTCCATCACTCAAAAACTCATCCCTTAGATACTTGAATAAGAGCCAGATTATCATCTGAAATACAGAAAAAAACTATCGCTACAAATAGTTTTCAATTAGTGATGAAAATATAGTACAGCAATGAAAAAGAGGTTCAAAAACTTACTCTGTCGAAAATAGCCCAAAGGCATGCGAAAACACTAAGAGGACCGCACAAATTGTGAGGGTCCCCATTGCTACTAGTACTAGCACTGGTCAAGACTGAAGCCAGCCTCTGGATATACGAATATTTTATCTTTGAAATTGTTGCAAGAGGCGTTTACATATGACGATAAACAATTTTGCGGACGCAGGAAGGAGATAAAATATACACCTATATGTATAGTCGCATGAGTTTTCGCGAAATCAAATTTCGTTTCTAGGGTAACCAGTAGATATCGCACATCCTCAATTCCAAGAATATAGTTTCAAAAACTGGACCGAATTTTCCAGGGAATCCCGAAAACCAGTCCTTGACCAATTAGATCTCGCGTGAAAAACCCTATTTTATGTGACTCGGCTGTTACTTGATCACAAATGATAAAATTTTCACAAAACTCACGATATAATTCGCTGACACAGTAGCTTCTTCATGTGAAAGATGAAAGTTATAGCATTATTTGAAATATTAACTAATCTCTTGGAGATATACATATATGAAAATTTGAAATAGTTCAGAGTCAACTTAGGAATTTGCATCCAAGATGTTTTCCAAATCACTTTAAATATCCCGTTCGATATAATTTATTTCTTTCGATACATAAATTACTGTTGTATCATCCGCCAATACTTTGTGCTTTCGTTTCAAGTTCAGAGTTGATATTGAATTAATATAAATTGAAAATAAAATTGGTCCCAGAACTGATCCTTGCGGTACTCCACATGTGATATTCTTTAGTGAGCAACAAGTATCATTCACTTCAACATACTGCTTTCTATTTGTCAAATAATGTGTGAAATAATCATGAATTCTTATTTTAAAAATGTTGTTTATTATATTAAAATATGAGCAGGGATATGACAGAGAAAAATAGCATTAACAGCTTCAAGTCAAACGACATGATCAATTCAATATACGTCGTTCATTCCATAAAGGTCATGTTTAGTCACTAGCGAATACAGCAATATCACTGCTCAACTTTGAACAGTGTTGCCAAATTTTGTTTTCGTGGCAAAAGTTGTAGTTGGAAAAATTCACCGAAAACTTGGAACAGGCGCGAATGATTGTACTATAACCTGTTTGTGATCATAATAGGTACTTAATGAGATCTTTCCTCCATCCACCACCCCACAACAATACGTTCATTTTTGAGTTTTTTCTTTTGCTAAATGAGATTTTACTAGTTTTTTCAATATTAGATATTATATTCAAGAAATTTGGAACCTCAGTTTTGAAAGTCAGTTTCAATCTTCTCCTGAAGATGCTAACTTAGTACGCGAAACACGTGTCAAGGTGTAAAAAATCGGTTTGGTTAGTAGTAAAAGTGTGTAGTGGAAATGCATTCATAACAAGCTATACAGTGTGTCCCACTTACCATGCTCACCATGGGTATCTTCTTAACGGTGAGAGATACGAGGTCGGTTAAATAACACCAAATGGGGAGTTCGTCAAGGCTGACTATAATGTGAGAAAAAATTTTGATAAAATCTATTCGTTTTTGTTTCATACGCAAGAAACAGATTCTGATCATTTTCACGTCTCCTCCATAACTTCTTTATTCATGAAAATATTCAAATAGGAATTTCACATTCTCATGGCAGTTTTTCAAAGTGATTTCGAAAAAATTATGAAATTTATACAAACTCTTATAGAATTTGATATATCAGCACCAACTTTAGTTTTTCAAATGTAGGTCATAGCTCACTATGCCTTAATTACAAATAACTTTTTTTTCTCTTACAGATGATATTTCGCAGTAATAGTTTTGTGCTGATAACAACGGAGTTATCGTCATTTATACAAAAACAAAAAATTATTTGGAAGCCGTCATCTTGAATTTATAAATTTTAACAAAAAAATCATGATCTCCGACCTCGAAAACCCTCACTCACCAATTTTGAATGGAATCGGACCAAATCTTGTCCGCCATCTTGGAGCAGCCATTTTTTTATATTTAAACAAAGATTCCATGATGTATATTGTCACCGAAATCATGAACACCCGCCAAATTTCAAGTTAATCTGAGTTATGGAATTTTTGTTGAAGTTAAAAAAAATGGCTGCTCCAAGATGGCGGACAAGATTTGGTCCGATTCCATTCAAAATTGGTGAGTGATGGTTTTTGAGGTCGGAGATCATGATTTTTTTGTTAAAATTTATAAATTCAAGATGGCGGCTACCAAATAATTTTTTGTTTTTGTATAAATGACGATAACTCCGTTGTTATCGACATGCTATTACTGCGACATGTCATCTGTAAGAGAAAAAAGAGTTATTTGTAACTAAGTCATAGTGAGCTATGACCTACATTTGAAAAACTAAAGTTGGTGCTGATATCTCAAATTCTAGAAGAGTTGGTATAAATTTCATAATTTTTTCGAAATCACTTTGAAAAACTGCCATGAGAATGTGAAATTCGTATTTGAATATTTTCATAAATAAAGAAGTTACAAAGGAGACATGAAAATGATCAAAATCTGTTTTTTGCGGATGAAACAAAAACGAATAGATTTTATCAAAATATTTTTCGACATTATAGTTGGCCTTGACAAACACCACATTTGGTGTCATTTAACCGACCTCGTATCTCTCACCGTTTAAAAGATACCCATGGTGAGCATGGTAAGTGGGACACACTGTATATAGGCAATATACCTAATGTATCTCTTCGAAATATTCTATTTATTGAATTACCTAGTCACAAAGTGACCGGATTGACTTAGATAACCCCAAAACAAATACCGATGTACCATCAACTCATACATCTTTTATGATAGTGCAAAAATCCTTGCCATGATCAATAACTTTGCCACGTATATTTGTATATGAAAAGTATCCATGTATCCCCAAGTATTCCCATTCTTACAGTACTACATTGAAATTCGGTGTGACGGATCAAATTGTAAGGGGTGATGCAAATATTATCTACTAATAATAAACCAATTCGAAACAAGTGAATTGTTGATGTTGTCTTTTTGAAACTTTCTCATGTTGCCAGTTGCACTTCAAACAAGCAAGAACTTGATTTCAAATTTATACTTTTACTCATGTCATTTTCACATTAACAAGACTCTTACAAATGTACACTCAACAATAAATACAGAACTTGTGAATTCGAATATCTTCAATTCAAATACTGAGATATCTTCTACTTCTATAGTAATGTTGCCTCTTGTCAAAACTGGAGTATGGTTCTTGTTCTACGAAATGTGTATGTGACATTGGTCAAACAGGTAGAATAATTAACCACCGCTTATAAGAACATGAAGAAGGAGCTACATAACTAGAAACTAATTCACAGTATGCTAACCATGTTTTACGACTTAAAATCCTCTAGTGATTATAATAGAGTGTCACCTTCAGAATCTTACATGTGAAAAATAAGGGAAAATCAACTAGGTATGTAATCAAAGAATGCTAAAATTTTCCTATAACCAACCAAGTAGAAAACTCTCTGTTTATATACATTTTTTTTTGTTAATTCAACACAAAGAGAAAGGCCATGAAAGTACTGTTGATATTATGTTATAAGCTGATAAGGACCTAAGTCAATTATTGGTGATTCATCTTCGATGTTCAATTAATGTCATTTATCATTATTTGGTCTTGTTATAATTATTCTTGGGATTCAGGATTTTATTGTAGAGATTATTGTATACTCACGATGATGCCAAATTCTGCATTGGCAAATTCCTCGTAGCTATTCTTCGATTGCCATTTTCAGGTCATTTCAACGGCAAATGTTATCAAATCCTCCTGAAAGTTGTTATCAACCACCAGCCACATCCTGTTTATATTTTTTACTCCTACAACACTTGAAATAGACTGCTAAATGAGAGTTTAATTTTAGATATATTAATAATGATTGTATTATCTTCAACTTTGCTATTCTAGTGAGTTTTTTTGATAACTAGTTAATATATGGGTCAAGTTCATTTTGGCACTAGACTGAAAAATGAAGAATGCTGAATAAAATATGTACCTAGGCCACCAAAAAAAAATTAACAATGTATATACCGGGTGATCCACGAGCTAGGTTACATAAACTTTGTTATTTTTTTGTGGTGGGAAATTATAATTTCGTAATATTTTTTTATCTACTCACTGAATCGAGAGTAGACGTTTGCTCCCTCATTTGAGCAAACAAAGTTGTCAATTCCACGGGAGAAAAAAAACATGAACTCCCGTGGTAGGTACAATATATTGTATTCAGCATGCATCCTTTGGCGTCGATTTACCTATAAAATCTATGCAATCCAAGAAATCATAGTCTTTATCACTGTTATAGAACAAATAACAATATCTTTTTTGTATTCCATTGATATCATACGCTTGTTCATATTCTGAATGTTATTGATTGATTGATTGATTGTCTTTATTACCCCAAGAAATATTATTGTTTATAATAGGGATATATACAACAAAACATACATATAACATAATAAATCGAAACAATAATCATTGCACAATTATTGTTTTTCATAACAAAAATTATAATAAAATATAAAATGAAAATATTATATTCCATTGAAAGTAATCAAATTGTGAATGATTAGTACTATTCGTAGATATGGAATTAAAGTCTACTGAGCAGTTATTTCTTTAATTTGATTTTGAATTTTTCTGCTTCTTCTATATTTTTCAACTCATTAAGTAAGGAAGAAATTATATAAAATTATTCCATTATGGAATATTGATTGTTTACCAAAATTTGACATATAATTATTTGCTATCAATGAATTAAATTGCCTTGTTTCATGAGCGTGAATCGTATTAACTTCATTGAAATTCAAATTCGATATTTTCAATTCCTTCCTGACAACATGAATAAAACAACAAATTTTGAGTTTATAATATAATGGAACTGGATTCAGCAAGTCTTTAGGTTTGTATAGATTCACAGTTGATTCTAAAAAAGGTAAATTGAAAGTGCACTTTATTGTTTTATTTTGTAATTTCATGAGTGGCTTCAAACGTGAAATATTTGTACACGGAAAAAAAGGATTTGTTGCATCAACAAATTATTTATGAGAAAATTCCCGAATATTGAATTTGGTTCAACAAAA